TGGGTGCCCCCTTCCAGGCAGCTGCTTTGTCTTATCTGGAGGTTGCACCTAGCGCCCTTGTATCAGCCCTAAGTGTGAAGAGGGAGAGAACTTTCTCAAGAGGTGCTAAGAGCTCCCAGCACCCACCAGCTCCCAGGCCGGGGTTTGGCAGGGATTAGAAGGTATCCCCAGGACAAGTGGTGAGTTGGGAGCAGTGTTTGCCTGCCTGGCTGTCCATCTGCAGACCAGTCCTCTGCCTTCACCACTCTCCTCATGTGGTGATGAGTGCCCGCGGGGCAGCTGGGCCATGTGTCGAGGTGATGGCATCTGGGATATGTTGGGTTACATCCTTAGTTAAATTAATTCACCTATTACTTTATTTTTTTAATTTTTATTTTTTAAATTTATTTATTAGAGAGCGAGCACAAGCGGTGGGGAGGGGCAGAGGGAGAAGCAGATTCCCTGCTGAGTAGGGAGCCCGACGCCCGATGTGGGGCTCGATCCCAGGACCCCGGGATCATGACCTGAGCCAAAGGCAGATGCTTAGCCAACAGAGCCACCCAGGCACCCCTCACCTATTACTTTAATATGGCTTTTTAATAGGAACTTAAAAAAATAGGGATGAATTGGTGGAGTACAGGATTTTTAGGGCAGCGAAGCTGTTCAGTGTGAGGTTATAGCTGGCGGATACATGTCCTCATACACAGACTGTACAACCCTGAGAATGAACCCCCACGTACTGGAGGCTCTGGGCGGTAGTGATGTGTCAGTGTGGGTTCTCCAGTTGTCACAAATGTGCCCTCCCGTGAGGCATGTTGACAACAGGGAAGGCAGTGTGTGTGTTTGGGGGGTGGGTAGAGAGTATGGGAACTCTCCGTACACTTAGCGCTCAATTTTGCACGAAGCTAAAACTGCTCTAAACAAGTCTATTAAATTCATTTCACCTGTTCCTTTTGTTAACAAGGCAATTAAAAACCGCTAAATGTGATCTGCCATATTTCTCTTGGACAGGGCTGCTTTAAGGCCCACACCTGGACTTAACCTGGCCTGGAGTGAGAGGTGTGGTGTCTCCAGCCAGGTCCTGAGCCTGGCGGGGCCTCTCAGTGGTGTGGGGGGATGCGGGAGAGGGACTCTCCGGCCTCTCCGGCTTAACCTGGGCTAACTCCGTTCTTCTCTCAGATTAACTCGTTGCTGTGAGGCAACGGGAGGAGAGGTGGCTGCCCTATTTCACTCTTGAGGAGGCTGAGATTCAGAGACTGGGGAGGCATTTTCAGCCCAGACCGGGAGCCCCGATGTCTGGCCACCAGGGGCCATTGAACAAGACATAGACCACATTGTTTCTCAAACAGAGAAGTGGGCAATAGATTTTTTAGAGCAGTTTTAGCTTCACAGAAATTGAGCCAAAATTACAGAGATTTCCCATATCGTGTCCCCTGCCACATTCCCCACTGTCAACATTTGTTGCAATCAGTGAACCAAATCCACACATCATTGTCACCCAAAGTCTATAGCTTACATCATGGCTCATACTTGGTGTCATACATTCTGTGGGTTTGGACAAACATATAACGACTTGAGTCACCATCCATAATATCATACAGAATAGTTTCATGCCCTAAAAATCCTCTGTGCTTTCCCTGTTTATCCATTCCCCCTTGTCATTTTTTTTTTAATTTTAAATTGTGGAATAATTTTAGATTTACAGAAAAGGTGCAAAGATAATACAGAGATTTCCTTATACCCTTTACCCATCTTCCCCTAAAGTTCATGTGTTACACAACCAGGAACGTTGGTCAAAATGAAGAAATTAACACTGGTGAATAGTCACCAACATCTAGACTTCATGGCAGTTTTCCCATGGGGGTTCTTTTTCTGCTCCTGGATCCTGCCCAGGATCCCACATTGCCTTTCTTTGTCCTGTCTCCTTAGTCTCTTATGCTCTGTGTGAGTTTTCTAATTTTCTTGTTTCCACACTCAGTTCTGTGTGTGTATACATGTGTGTGTGTGGTTTAACAGGCTTTGAAAACTATCTTAGAGGGGCACCTGTGTGGCTCAGTCAGTTAAGCGACTGCCTTCCGCTCAGGTCATGATCCCAGGGTCCTGGGATCGAGTTCTGCATCGGGCTCCTGGCTCAGTGGGGAGCCTGCTTCTCCATCTGCCCATCCCCCCCGCCACCACTCGTGCTCTCTCTTTCATGCTTTATCAAGTAAATAAAATCTTAAAAAAAAAGAAAAGGAAAAGAGAAAACTATCTTAGAGTCACAGAGCCGCTAGCAGCTAAACGGAGTGCGTTTCCAGCATGCTGCGAGGCTCATTGCCGCGGGCACCTCCTCTCACCTCCTTACCTGGGTGTGTGTTCCTGCCCACTTTGTCGTCCTTCTTTCATCGCTGGCAGGCTCTTTTCTCAGAGGAAGTCCCTCCGTGGGGAGACCGCAGTGCATTTCCTCAGGGGCTTGGGGTTCCTTCCTTGACAGTGGGTGAGCTTTGTGTTCTGAGTCCTTTCAGTGGAGGTGTTGATCCGTGTCCGGGCGCGCTGCCGGCTGCTCAGCATGGGTCTATGATGTGTGTGCCACGCCGGCCCCGGGCGGGGGCACTCGGTGACAAGCCAGAAGATGACTTGGAGATGTCTTTTTGGCTGTGTTTCACACCATTGCTTTTTGCACCAGGCTTTTTTTTTTTTTAATTTTTTTTACAAGTTTCTTTCTGAATACCCCAGATCGATGGTGTTCCAGTGAGTTTAAGCGAAGGTCTGGGAAGGAAGCAAAGACGGGTAGTGCCTGTTGTCTTCAGGGCACTGTGCTGAGCGCAGCCCCTAGGAATGAGTGTTGGACACTCTGCACAGGGGACACCCCTTCTCTGGGTCCTGGATTACACTGTAAGTGCCCTGAGGACAACACCTGTTTTTCTGCTCTGTAGAGTGTGCAGCGGATTAGGTTGTGCACCTGCTTAAGATCCCCCAGTGGCTTGTCATTGTTCTCAGAATAATCTAAGCTCTTTGCTTGTGGCCTCCAGTGCCTCCCTGACCTCAGCTCCTGCCATCTCCTTGACCTCAAGCCCTGCCTCCTCATCTAAGGACTTGTTTTTCCAGTTTTGCTGAGCTATAATTAACATAAAACATAGTATTAGTTTAAGGTGTACAACATAATGAGTTGATACATGTGTATATTGCAAAATGATCACAGTAAGTCTAGTTACCATCCATCACTATACATAGTTACAGTTCTTTTCTTATGTTGACAGCTTTTAAGATCTGTTTCCTTAGCCAAGTTCAAATATGCAGTACAGTACTGTTAACTATAGTAACCATGCTGTACCTTACATCACCAGAATTTATTTAGTTTATAACCAGAAGTTTGTACCTTTTGATCCCCTTCGCCCATTTCCTCCGTCTCCCACCTCTGGCAGCCACCAGTCTCTTCTCTATTTCTATGAGTTTGGTTGCTGTTAGAGTCCACACGTAAGTGAGATCATACAGTATTTGTCTTTCTTCCTCTGATTTATTTCACTGAGCATAACACCCTGAAGGTCCATCCATGTTGTCACAAATGGCAGGATTTCCTTCTTTTTTATGGCTGAGTAATATTCCAGTCTGTGTGTGTGTGTGTGTTACACATTTTCTTTATCCATTTGACCATCGATGGACACTTAGGTTGTTTCCATGTCTTTTGTGTGTCTATTGTGAATAATGCTGCAGTAAACATGGGGGTGCAGATATCTTTTCAAGTTAGTGATTTCATTTGCTTTGGATACATTCCCAGAAGTGGAATTGATGAATCATATGGTAGTTCTATTTTTAATTTTTTTGAGGGAACTTCCATGCTGTTTTCCACAGTGTCTGCACCAATTTGCACTCCCACCAACAGTGCAGGAGGGTTCCCTTTCTCCCATATCCTTGCCAACACTTGTTATCTCTTATCTTTTTGATCATAGCCACTCTAACAGGTATGAGGTGTGAGATGTGGTTTTGATTTACATTTCCCTGATGAGTAGACTCCAAATTTTGCAAAATTCTCAAGAAAAGCCATCAGCAGCTTGGGGTGGTGGTTAAGAACACAGGCTCTGGCCAGTGCCTCCCATCTCCTTGACCTCGGCCCCTGTCCATCTCCTCGACCTGAGTCCCAGGCCTCAGATCACACTATCCCTCCTGTCCTCGGAGTACTGCTGGCTGCTCCCACCTCAGAGCCTTGCCCAAAACACCAGATCTTTGTGTGGTAGGCACTGAGAGGTCTCCCCCAGCAGCTCCCCAGAGCACCCTGTCTGCAGAGAACTATAACGGCACATTCTCACTCAGCACTCTCTGCGTAGTATCCGCTCTGCTCATTCCCACTCATTCCCATCCCCCCTCGACCCTGAAACTGTCGTCAGCCTGTGTCATAGGTGAGAAACCGTGGCGCTGACCTTGGGTCACTCCCCCAGTCGTGCCTTCCCTTCATCCTGTTGTTGTCAAGTCCTGTCTCTCCATGGGACGGCTTCTCATAGATTTTACTGGTCTATTTATGTATTATCTGCCTTTCTCCCCATCCTTACCTTAATGCCAGCTCCGGGCCCACCAGGACTTTACGATTGTTGTTATCTTTACAGTCGGTGATCTCCAGGTTTGCCTGCTGTGTGCCAGGCCTGGCCCAGAGGTCAGCAGAGATCCATGGCAGTTCCTCCGAACCAAACACCGGAGGCAGTCTTCCCACTGAGAGAGAATTATTCCTAGTTCCACAGACTAGTCTTGTAAGGCGACCCTCTGCTGAACGTGGAGGTTATTCCCATGTGTTTGGTCTCCTGGCTAATTTGCTCAGTGGGAGCGTGCGTGTGGAGGTCCCATGCACTCAGGGGGTCACGCTCTTATGAGCGGGGTGTTAGCCAAGCCCCGTTTCTCCCCGGGTGGGAAGATCCTGGACACTGCCCACCTCTATTCTGTGTTTGAGTCTGGGACAAAGCCCCGGATGGGGAACTGCAGCTTTGGCTTCGGGGCCCAGCTGTGCCTCTTGGGGTAGCTCCAGAGAATAAATTCTGACCTTCTTGCCACAGGTCATCGACCCGGCCGGAGGTGGCCAGTATCGAGCCGCTGGGTGCGGATGAAGCGCAGTGCTCCCAGAAGGCAGTGGTGCAGGCCCGCCTGTCCCAGCCTGCCCGCCTGACCAGCATCATCTTTGCCGAGGACATCAGTAAGAGCTTTGAGTGCCCTGTGGGAATCCCTGGTGGGGACAAGAGACGGGAGACACCCCACTGAGACCTTGGCCACACAGCCCGCCAGTGCGCTAGGCAGTGCTCTGTCTCTTGTTGGGTCAGAGGATGCTCAGGCAGGACCCACCCGGGCCCCTCCCGCCAGCTCTGTGTCCTGTTTTCCCTCTCGTCGAGGCTGCCTTTCATTTCTAAATAATTATCTGTTCCCCAAATAACTCCTCAATGGGTATTGAATCAAAATGAAAAAAGTTGTTGCAATTCTTTTACTGCCCACGTTTAATTTAACATATGGTGGTAAACTGCTTAGAAGACAATTAATGTCATTTTCCGTCACGCTTTCTTCCATTTAACATGATACGAAGTTTCCATTTTTATAGGGTTATTTGTAAGGGCTGAATACCATTCCTCACAGGGGCTTGTCCTGTAAGGATCCCCTTCTATTGAACATTTAGATTGTTTTCAGATGTTTGTTTTGGTGTTATATAGAAAAATAAATATATTTGTACAGAGAACAATTTTGGGTTAAGTTATTTTCTACCAAGGATAGATTCCCAGTTTTACATATGAGTATTTTTAAGGCTTTTGATGTAGTGCTTTCTAACAAGGGACCATGAACGGTGCACAAGTGGTTTTCTACGGGGCCTGGAGAATGGGCAGGATGATCTTGTGTCACGTGCTGTTATTTTTACGCTGGAGAATTCCCTGGGTAATGCCATTTATGTATCTTATTTATGGAGCTAATAAAAAAGTCTGTGTGCTTGCTCACACCACCCTTTCATTCTACAGTACAGTTGATGGTCTTCTGTAAAAACACCAGTGTAAGCAAACAAACTCCGGGTGCCATTCCTAATTTCAGCGTAGCGACAAGCATTCAGAACAGCATTATCTTTCTGGATGCTAATTCATCATAATGTATCCTTGTCTTTTAACGTAATGGTCACAAAACCAGATTCTCTCTGAGGAGTTTTCTTGCACGCAGCTTTAAATGCAGCTACTCACCTTGCCAAAGTACAAGAGGGGCAATGAAAATGCCCCCAAGCCCTTACTCCGCACAGGTCTGTGCTCACTTTCAGAAGGCCCGTGTGCTGGTCAGCGGCTTGGCTGCTGAGGTCAATATGGTTGTCCCAGCTCCATTTCGTGGTGGTGGTCTTGTTGGTGGCTCTCATCCTTGCCAAAGTGCGAGAGCACCTGACCCATGAGACTGTGGAGGTGGCATGGTGCTCAGGGCACCGCTTTCTGTGCTAACCCTTCCATTCCCATCCCTCCAGCCACGGGCCAGGTCCTGCGCTGTGATGCCATCGTCGACCTCATCCACGGCATTCAGATAGTCTCCACTACCCGAGAACTCTACCTGGAGGACTCACCCCTGGAGCTGAAGATCCAGGCTCTGGACTCTGAAGGTGAGAATGGGCCCCTGGCAGTCTGTTTTTCAGTCCCCTCACGTCCAGCCCTGTTCTTCCCCCATGGAGGGTGACTCCAGCCAGGATGGCAGAGTCGGTGCTGAGGAGACACTGAAGAGGTCAAGACCACTGAGTGTCCCCCAGGCCCTCGGAGGCTGGCACTCATTGGCCTCTGCAGCAGGGCCTGTGAGATGAGAGATTTGGCAGTCCCTGGAGGCCGATTCCATGCCTGTGCCCAGGACCGTGCTGGGTAAAGCGCATCTTTGGGAAGCTGACATCCGGTGTCTTGGCAGCAGTGGGAAGCTGGGAGAGGCTTATTGGGTCACCATGCTGGAAACAGTGGGAGTGTTCTCCTTGCCTGGCTTTGAGGGCTGGGGTTGGCTTCCTGGTCCAGACAGCAGGGTGCGCGTGTGCACGTGTGCTCGTGCGCTGGGATGCATCCCTGTCCTGGCCCGGGCACCATCATTCACTTTACTTCACTGGAGTCCAATATAGGATTGCTCTGGGGTTCTTAGAAGATCTGTTCTTGGACTGTCTTGGCTGCAGCCTTACCTCTTTGGAAGCTGAGCAAAGGGAAATTTGTAGGTTAAGATTCCCGTTGGAAAAAGTAAGTTAGGCAACAGATGTCTTTCAGATGAGGGCTCTCCCAAAACTTAAGCCCAGTCCTTGGCTCACCTTGTCTTTGAAATCTTCCCTGACCACTCCAGCTCCCTCTACTTAAAAATAAATTCTCTAGATTAGAATTTCCCAGCCTAGGGTAGTATCCACACTTGGGGCTGGATAATTATTTGTGGTGGGGTCTGTCTAGTACATTGTAGGATGCTCAGCAACATCCCTGGCCTTCACCCATGAGAGGCAGTAGAATTCCCCAAGTGTTTTTTTTAAAGATTTTATTTATTTGACACAGAGAGAGAGAGAGAGAGAGAGCACACACAAGTAGGCAGAGCAACAGGCAGAGGGAGAGAGAGAGAAGCAGGTTCCCTGCTGAGCAGACAGCCCAATGTGGGGCTTGATCCCAAGACCCCGGGATCATGACCTGAGCCAAAGGTAGACGCTTAACCAACTGAGCCACCCATGTGCCCCAGAACTCAAATTTTGATGACCAAAAGTATCTCCAGTCATTGCCCAATGTCCCCTGAGGACAAAATCACTGTTCTAGAGGATCAGTCAGGTCCCTCCTTCCTGTCTATTCATTTATCAGATAAGCTGTCTCACTTCTCTGAACTGTTTTCTGGTTTATGAAATTGAGATAGTGGTGCTTATGTGGGGGTTGCAAGGACTTGGTGAGAAGTGTGTCCAGGGTTTAGTGCTGGGCAGCACGGGAGCGGGTCTCAGTGAGCCACGTGGCATCTGAGCCGTTCTACCTGCTGGGCATCCTGCCAGGTGCTGGGAAGGAAGGGCTGGCTTCTGCCCTAGTAGGTCAGGCTGTAGGGGGGCCCACATGCATCTCAGTAGGTGCTGCTTGTCATCAAATCGGATGTAAGGCAACCCAGGGAAGGTTGAAAGTTGGGTGTGGGGGACAGAAGTCAGGACAGTTTCTTAGGGACATGATGTTTGACCAAGCCATGAGGAGGATGGTGTTTGCCCACCTCAGAAGGCCATTTTATTCAGGAGGAGACTAAACTTGCAGCAGGGTGGTGGGGTGGGGGATGCAGAATGTAAAGAGTCTTGCATGTCCCACATGAGGTTTGCACTTGGCTTAAAGCAAAGGGAGCTGGGGAAGGGGTCTGTGCAGTGAGATGATAGGAGCTCCTCTACAGGGCTCTTTGGGGATGACTCACCGATCTTGGGAACAAATGACCAAGCTTGAGGCCACGCTGGGGCCAGGCACTCCTTTGAGCACTTTGCATGCTCTAACCTCATTTCACATCCAGATGATGAGACCAAGGTACAGAGTGTGAACACACACACGTGTGTGCCGGGGGAAGACATGTAGTTAGTATGTAGCTCCAGCCTGGTCCCTGAGTCCACTGTCTTGGCCTGGGCTTAGCAGACTTTTCCTGTGAAGGGCCAGAGAGTAACTGTTTTAGACTTCGCTGGCCACACCGTCTCTGCTGCAACTACTCAGCTCTCCCACTGTTACTCTAAAGCCGTCCTAAGGGGTGCATAATGGCTGTGTTCTAATAAAACTTTATTGACCACCTGCTCTTGACCACTCTGTTTTATTTCCTGTCTTAAGTTACTTTAAAAAAAGATACATATACCATGAAATTCATCCATTTAAAGTGTATAGTTCGGTGGTTTTTAATATATTCACAAAGTTGTACAGCCATCATCACTAGCTAATTTTAGAACATTTTCATCACTACAGAAAAGAAACCCAGTACCCTTGAGCAGTGGCTTCCCATTCTTTCCTCTCTGGCCCCTGGCAACCACTACTTTTGGTGTATATAGATTTGTCTATTGTGGACATTTTCTGTAAATAGAATCATACCATGTATGGTCTTTTGAGTCTGACTTCTTTCACTTGGCATAATGTTTTCAAGGTTCATTCATGTTGTATTGAGTATTTCCTTACTTTTTAGGGCCGAATAATATCCCATTGTATGGATAGAGTGCATTTGTTTATCCATTCATTTGTTGATGGACATTTGGGTTGCTTCTACCTTTTGACTGTTGTGAATAATGCTGCTGTGAATATTCATGTGCCATTCTTTGGACATGGTTTTTCATTTCTCTAGCTTGTATACCCAGAAGTGGAATTGCTGGGTCACAGAGTAACTCTATGTTGCCCTAAAAGTAATGGCAAAGACAGCAGCCCAGTTTTCTGCAGCTTTTGCTAAGCACTGTTTCGTTTGGCTTCTGAGATCTCACAGGTGGGGTGGGGCAGGACCTGGGGCCCGTCTGACGCTGAATGCCTTGCCCTTTGCACTGTAGTAAGAACTTTTCTAGACCCCAGATGCTCTTATTTGGGTTTCTGGCCAGACAGGGAATATAGATGAAGACTATGGGGCGGTGGGGGGTGGGGTGGGTAAACAACATGGCATAGTGGGGAGTGTGGCAAATCCGAGACCATGATCCCTTCTTGCAAGGCTGAGCCAGCCACCGATCCCCAGAGGGACTAGGATCCAGGAGGTCGGCTCTGTAGACTTTTCAAGAGAACTTGGAAGTTGGATTTATATGTTGCATTTCTTCATTTGAAATGATGGGAAATAATTCAAAAATGTAAAAGCAGCATTGCTTAGGTAAAAGCAAAGCTGCAGCTCCTAGGAGATCAGGCCTCGGAGCCACCGGTTTCCACCTCCCACACCGTTGTAGTGCGTTGACGGGAACCAGACCTTGTACTTATACTAACAAGGTCTTTACGGAGTCCTGTCTCCACAATCATTGCCTGGTCCCAGGTTGGGCTCTCTTGTCCTGACATCCTGTCAGAAGGCTCACGGACAGCAAGCCGGACTGCAGAGCTAAGACCAGCTTGGCTGGCTTGCCATCTCCTCCACACTGGGACCCTGGGAGTCTCGGCGTCCAGGCGAAGAGACAAGATGCTGCCCTTCATCCACAGCTTCTTTCCCTGCAGAGGGAGAGTAAGGGGGAACGAATGACTCAGGTCTCGGGAGCTCACCTGAACTGTGAAGTCCTTATAGACCTGAGGGGTGGTGGTGTTACACACTGCGCTGAGCCTGTCATGAGCCGTCAGAGGTACTGTGGGAGGAACACAAGTGCTCACCTGAGACAGGTTTGGGTTCGCATCCCAGGTGAGCCCCTCATGGTCACATGACCCTAACCCTTTAAGCCTCAGTTTCCCTTTCCTGAAATGGAGGCCTAACACCTGCTTTGCAGAGGGGTGGTGCTGAGTGCATTTTCCCCTCCCCCCCAGCCCCAGGAGTTAACTCTGATACATTTCTGTTCCCCCCCATCTGCTCTTGCAGGGAACACATTCAGCACTCTGGCTGGGCTGGTCTTTGACTGGACGATCGTGAAGGACACGGAGGCCAATGGGTTCTCGGACTCCCACAATGCCCTGCGGTAAGAGGCACCTCACCTTTGCAGGAAAGCAGGAAGGAGGCTGTCAGTTGGCTCCGTGCAGGCTGGGGGCTTTTATCATCATCATCACCGTCAGCAAGGAGCCCAGGGCAGTTCCCAGGATGCTGGCCAGCATTCCCCATGACTGATTGAAGGAAGAGCATTTCGGCTCCCATAGCTGTGCTGGAACCTTGCTGCTTCCGCAGCCCACTGGGGTGTGCTCTGTGGGAAGTTGTCGAGGAGGCTGGCATGCCCAGCTGTGGAAGAGAAACCTTGCCCCAGATAATGGAAGCTGTCATGGGGTGCTGGGAAAGGTTGTATGTGGCCTCAGAGGGCAGCCCTCCACTGGGGGTGAGTTAAAGGGGAGACAGGTTGTGGCTAGGAAGACATTCCAGCAGCGACAGCCCTCACAGGTGCAAGAGGCTGTGTTCCCCGGCACTGGACTCCTTAGGACATGGGTTTTTTAGGCATCTCGACTCCCTCAATCCCTCCAAAAGCCGTGTGGGCTCTAGTACCACCATTTTTGCCATTTTTCAGACATAGAAACAAAGGTTTAAGCCACTTACCAGATTGGTAAGTGGCGGAGCTAGAATTTGAACTCAGATCTATATAAATCTTCACTATCCAATATGGTGGCCACTAACCCAACCCAACCCTGGCTATTTCAGTTTAAATGAGATAAAATGAAAACTCCAGTTCCTTAGATGTACTGGCTATGTTTCACGTGTTTGTTAGCTATGTGGCTAGTGGTTACTACACGTTGCACAGAGCAGATGTGAAGCAGAAGGTCCCGTTGACGAGTGCTGGTGCAGACCCAAGGGCTGGGCTCATATCCCCTGCTATCCTGCATTGCCTCAGGGCTTATTAAATCAAATTTTAAACTCTCTTTTAAGGGAAAAAGATCTAATTTTTTTCAATATTCCCTTATAATCTTTTTAAAATTTTATTTTAATTTCAGTATAGTTAATGTACAATGTTATATTAGTTTCAGGTGTAAAATTTAGTGATTCAACATTTCTATACATCACCCAGTGCTCATCACAAGTGCCCTCCTTAATCCGCATCACCTATTTCACCCATCCCCCCACTCACCTCCCCTCTGCTAACCACAAGTTCTCTATTGTTAAGAGTCTCTTTCTTGGGTTGTCTCGCTCTCTCTTTTCTCTTTGCTTATTTTGTTTCTTAAATTCCACTTATGAGTGAAATTATATGGTGTTTGTCTTCCTCTGACTGATTTATTTTGCTTAGCATTATGCTCTCTAACTCCAGAGGAAGACTTAATTTAAAAAGGAAAATGTTTTAAGATTTTATTTACTTATTTGACAGAGAGAGAGAGAGAGCACAAGCAGGGGGAGCAGCAGCAGAGGGAGAAGGAGAAGCAGACTCCCCACTGAGCAGGGAGCCCGATGCGGGGCTCGATCCCAGGACCCTGGGATCATGACCTGAGCTGAAGGCAGACGCTCAATCAACTGAGCCACCCAGGTGCCCCTTTAAAAAATTTTGCAGCTATTTTCAGCTTACAGAAAAGTTGCAAGTATAGTACAAAAAGTGGTGTCCCTGAACCATTTAAGAGCCGACCTGATGTCCCTAATTATTTTAACATGCATTTACCACCATTAAGGACATTTTCTGGCATATCCGCAATATCATCAAAATGAGGAGATGAACACTGATGCCTACAGTCATCAGACCTCATTCAGGCCTTGCCAGTCTATTCCAGTTATATCCTTCACATGAAGTGCAAACCCCAGCCAGAGTCACCTGCTGTCTGTTGTCCTGTCTCTATCAGCCTAGGACAGTTCTTTGGCCTTTCTTTCTTTTGGGACCATGATACTCATGAAGATTATAGTCCAATTATTTTGTAGAATGTCCCTCATTTCAGGATTATCTGATATTCCCTCCTGATTAGACTCAGAGCTTTGCATCTTTGGCAGGAAGATGGCAGAGCTGAACTTCTTTATTCTCCTGATTGCATCTTATCATGATTTTGTGGGTCTGTCACGGATGACGTTCACTGTCATCACTTGGGTTAGATGGTGTCTGCCCGGATGCCCCACTATGAAGTTACTGTCTTACCACCTTGCAATTAGTAAGTATTTTGTGGGGAGTTAAAAGTCTGGTCTTTTATTTACACCTTTACAAGTCCAGCTCTGGGCTTTAGGGAACATCTCAGCTTAGCCCACGCCTATTTCCCTGGCAGACATCCTCACACCCTGACAATGGGCAAGCTGGGTTGCCCTTTTGGGTCAAAGGTCTTTGGAGGGATGGGACCCTCAACCTTTGTCTTCTGGATGAGCTCTGGACTTTCTGGTGTCTCGTGAAGTTCAGTCAGAGACCTGGATTCCCAGCCTGGCCTGGTCACTTCCTGCCTGCTTCCTCAGTCAAGGAATGCAGCCCATCTGGGCATCAGCATCCTCCTCTGTCCGCGGGAGGGGATTATTGTGGCTACCTCTGAGGGCAGCTGTGTGGGTCAGCACGGTATTCAGAGCCTCGCTCTGGGCCTGTCACACACCAGATGTTCAGAGAATGCTGGTTCCCTGCCCCAGTCTATGCAAGCAGGTGCGTTTCCTGTCATGATAGCCTCCTGAGCTTCCAGAAACTCTGTGCGTGAGCTGAATGTTAACCAGAATCAAAGGCATTAAGGCATGTTGCCACCAGAGTGTCCTGGATTTTCATTAATATCAGGATGTGACACGTAGTAAAGCCACACAAGGGAGTCAGTCACAGCATACTACAGCCGCTGGCGGACCTTGGGGAGGGTGGAAGCCTGTCCAGTGGACTGCTCTCGTTCAAAGTGGGAAGGCGGGCTACCCTGTAAATCACAGTCTGCAAGAGAGAAGTGGAAAGGGTCCCTCAAGCCAGCCCTGCTTCCTGCCTAAACTGTGGGGTCGCCGCCTCTGACTTCTCTCCCGACGTGGGGCTTCTCCCCACAGCCCAGCCCCACGGGCAATAAGATGGGTGTGATCCCCTCTTCCTGATACTGGAGGAGGGTCATTGAGTGTCATTTTCCAGGGGCAAGAGCTGGCCCTGAGCGGTGGGTAGGACGTCGCAGGGAGTCCTGGGAGCCTGGTGGGCATTGCTGGCACCACCCTGGCTGGGTCTGTGCTCTCGGGCCTGCTTCCTAGTTTCCGTGGGCCTCACCTCTCACACCTGGGAGAGAAGCATTTTGACTAAGCAGGTGGTCCTCATATTGCAGGGTTTACCCTAATCACGTGCGGATTTTGATAAAAGGCACAGTGCCAGGCTTCAAGCAGATAAAGGCCTGGGCCAGGGCCCAAGAATCTGCGTTTTTCACAAGGAGGTGGGCAGTTCCGATGTAGGAAGTTTCAGGGACACACTTCTAAGCAGCACCAAGCAGGGCACCATCACTTACTTCAGCGTCTGGCCCCTCCTAGGAGGTGCCAACAGACAGTGAATCCATTAGGGTCTTTGCTTCCACATTCAGGTCTGATGACACATTCCTTTTCCAGAATCCTCACGTTCTTGGAGTCCACGTACATCCCTCCTTCCTACATCTCTGAGATGGAGAAGGTGGCCAAGCAGGGGGACACCGTCCTGGTGTCTGGGATGAAGACTGGCAGCTCCAAGCTCAAGGCGCGCATCCAGGAGGCCGTCTACAAGGTGGGGCCCTGGGGCTTGGGAGGAGCGGGGCTTCCTGGCATGGCTCACAGCCATGCGCACCTTTAGGAGTGGTACCGTGGAAGTTTCACTGTTCATGAACTGGGAACTTCGGGGCGTGATTCTGTATTCCTGCTGTTGGGTTTGGTGTTTTGGGGGCCACAGCTTTCGAGAGAGGTAGTTGGGGGACCAGAGTGTACCATCTCCAGAGCTCCAAAGTAGTTGATCCGTTGTCAGTTTCAAGGGAGGTCCAGGAGCAGTGGGATGCTCATTAACCAGCTGATTTGCAACAAATACCCCCCTCCGTCCCAGTGGAGGGATGCATCCAAGCATTTGGGGCTCTGAAAAAACTGGGGACTTCCAAGTGTCCTCCATGCTCCACTTTGAGCCCTGGGACTGGTGGTCCCATCTGTGGGGTTAAGGCTCCTTAGCTCACCGCCCCCCTCAAGTCACCCTAGCCTCACTAGCACCTACTTCTCCATCAGCACCCATCGGGGGAGGGATAGGACAGCAGAAAGAAGAGGTCCTGGTTCTTTCCCGGTTCTTGTGGGCACATGTCTGCCCTGCCTCCTTTGCACTACAACCCTGAGATCTTCCTTTCGTTTGCCTGGTTCCTGGAGCTCACACAGAAGGGTGTGGTCCTCCATCTGCCATTGAATTTCTAAAGTGACAGATGAAAGAACACCTCCTGATTTACTCTTCAGTGGTTTAGCCAGTAGGCCAGGGGTCCTGGAGGGTTTTAGAAGCACAGGACGTGCCATATTGTAGGGGTTCATCTTGTAGCACCCTGCAGGTCATGTTTGGAGACTGTTTGTCTCTTTTTATTCTGGACCCAAGCCCAGCCCACCCCACCTCTGAGCTGCAATTCCCCCTTGTCCTGCCTGCTGCCCGTCCATACGCGGCTTCCCTGCCTGCCCCCTGCTGGAAAGCACCCACTGCAGAGCGGGGCCCAAGGGCTGCTTTTGTCTCTTTGGATGAGTCAGAGATACTATGTAACTTACTATTAAGTGAGGAAACCTGTAAGATGTTATAGCTGGAGCAAAGGAGAACCCCAAGAATTTAGGAATAGAAGCAGAACTGGTCAATATCCACGGGATGATAATCGACCACACCTCCACCTGAGACAATGTATTTGCATCTCTGTGGATGAGAATCATTTTCTTTGCTGAGTTTTCTCCAACTTGAAGAGTTGCCAAAAGATCAAAGGCAGGGAAAGGTGCAGGCCCCCATAGACTCCGGGAACCCAAGGGGTGCGCTGGACTGGTGGTGGTTCTCCCATTTCAAGTCTCTCACACCTTTTCCTGATGAGGAGTTCGCGGCGCGGCGGGAGGGGGAAAGGGCTGAGCACTCATCAGGGACATGTTTCTCTCCCATTTTCAGGTTTGCCTGTGGCTTTCCAACCAACCTGGCCTTTGGGCTTTTGTGGGTGGAGCCCCCGAGCCCCTGGTGGCCACAGTATCCATGGATATCACTCCTCACTTTTCTTTCTGTGTAACTATTATGATTATACATTGAGCTATAGCACGCGTAACGTAAAGTGATGTGCTCAGCACGGTTCAGCAGTAGCCGCTGAACATGTGCCTCGTGAACACACAGGGTTCCCCCGGGGCTTTGGGGGTCTGAAGGTGGGGGGCTCTGAGCATTGCCTTGTTTTTTTACCCCTAACTTCTTTGTCCCTACATAAGCATCCTGAGAAGTTCTAGATTCTCTTTCTCTTGTCTACACCACTCTCCATTCCCACCCCACCTCACTTTTTCTTCTTATTTTTTATAAGTAGGCTCCGTGCTGGGTGCGGAGCCCAGCACAGGGCCCGAACTCAGGATCCTGAGATCAACGCCTGAGCTGAGATCAAGAGTCGGACGCTTAACTGACTGTACCAGCCAAGCACCCCTCCCTCACCTCACTTTTTCTACCCTCTTTCTTCCAAGCACGTGCGCCCTGCAGAGGTCAGACTGCTGATTCTGGAGAACATCCTTCTGAACCCAGCTTACGACGTCTACCTGATGGTGGGGACCTCCATTCGCTATAGGGTGCAGAAGATCAGGCAAGGAAAGATCACAGGTGAGTCACTGACTCAGCGAGGTGGTCATGGCAGAGGCTTTTTATTATTGTGGTAAAATACACATAATATAATTACAATTTTAACCATTTTTATTATTGTGGTAAAATACACATAATATAATTACAATTTGAACCATTTTTAAGTGTGCAGTTTAGTGATATTGAGTATATTCATATTGTCATGCAACCATCCCCACCATCCATCTCTGGGACTTTTCACCTTCCCAGAATTGAAACTCTGTTTTCATTAAACACCAGCTCCCATTGGTCCCCCCAGCCCCTGGCAGCCACCATCCTACTTTCTGTCTCTGTGAATTTGACTCCTCCAGGGACCTCATATAAGAGGAATCTTACTGTATTTATCCTTTTGTGACTGGCTTATTTCACTTAGCCATAATGCCCTCAAGGCTCATCCATGTTGTAGCGTGTGTCAGAATTTCCTTCCTTTTTAAGGCTGAGTAATAGTCCAGTGTACGCATATTCATATTTGTTGAGTGCTTATCCATTCATCTATCAATGGGCGCTTGGGTTACTTTGCTTCTTGGCTATTGTGAATAATGCTGCTAGGGGCATGGGTGTGCAAATATCTTTTCAAGATGCTGCTTTCAGTCCTTTTGGGTGTATATCCACGCCTTTGTTTTGAGAATGTCAGAAGCTGTGAGCTTCACATTGGAGCGGGCTTTGCCCTTGGTCAACCACTGACTGCTGTCCAGCCTTGGCCGACCACTGCCCCTCCTTTGGGGCTCATTTTCCCCTTCAGATACCTTGAGGCCTTTCTGCCTATGCTGTGAGGGCAAAATTAATTAGTGGATGTGGATTTGTTCTGGAAATTCTAGAGTGCTGTGTACCTGTGATGCATTTTATATGGTGAGGGTTCTTAATACAGCACCAATCCTCCTAAGAATTATTACTATTATCATTTTTTTAAAGTTTATCCATGGGGCACCTGGGTGGCTCAGTCGTTAAGCATCTGCCTTCGGCTCAGGTCATGATCCCAGGATCCTGGGATCGAGCCCCACATCAGGCTCCCTGCTCCGCGGGGAGCCTGCTTCTCCCTCTCCCACTCCCCCTGCTTGTGTTCCCTCTCTCGCTCCGTCTCTCTCTGTCAAATAAATAAATAAAACCATTAAAAATAAATAAATAAAAGTTTATCCATGTTTCCTGGCCAGAGCACAAGATGTCAAGAGTGTCACCCATCTGTCCAAGGGCTTTGGCACGTGTTCAGGCAGCTGCCTCCCCCAGGTTGGAGGGTCATTCTGTCTGTGATGCAGGGTGTTGTGTAAGAAGCACATAGATGCTTCAGTATCCAAGAAACTTGGGTTTTGTTCCATAGATGGGGTCCTGAAAGACACTGCCTCACCTGGGAGCAATGGATCTGTTGAGAAGTTACAGTGTGGCAGAGCACTCTGCCCCTCAGACCACGGAAGCTGAGAATAGGCTCCTTCTGGATAGGAAGCAGGGTGGGGGCTCTTGGCCAGAGATCTGAGAGCTGGGCCCCAACCGGGGAGTGCAGTCAGCATGGTTAATGGCGGGTGATTTAATGAAGAGGTCTTGAGAGTTCACCCTGAATTAGTTCAGATGTCATAGTCCAGAGGAACAGCACATCTCAAGGGACCCAGAAAACTTGTGGGTTGGGTCACTGACCTACCATATATGTCAAAGCGTCGGAACACATGAAAGGTAGCCCAGGGCAGGAAATAGGAATGTTGCCTCCCTTTCATCAATGGGGAAATGAGATGGAAAATTCCTCCAAAAATGAACATAGCTGGGTACTTGATGGTTCTGGTTGATGCAGGTCTGGGGTGGCTTCCAGACAGAACCCTTGAGAACCGAGCCAGCAAGGTCCACCATAACCTAGTCATACAAATGGAAACTCTGTCCATTTGTTTTAGATGGATTAGGCTTTTTTTTTTTTTTTTTTAATTAAGATATAATTCACATCACTTTTTTTTTTAAAGATTTTTTATTTATTTATTTATTTGAGACAGAGAGAATGAGAGAGAGAGCACATGAGAGGGGGGAGGGTCAGAGGGAGAAGCAGGCTCCCCGCCAGAGCAGGGAGCCCGATGCGGGACTCGATCCTGGGACTCCAGGATCATGACCTGAGCTGAAGGCAGTCGCTTAACCAACTGAGCCACCCAGGCGCCCCACATCACTGTCTTTTTAAACAAGTTGACTAGCAGGGAAGTGACGACTGATGGCATGACAGGGACATGAATTTCAGCTGCTGTCCATCTTGCGTGGCATCCCGTGTTGGCTTAGAGAATTCTAGGTTAGAGGCCAGTTATCTGGACTTATTAACATGCGGATAATTATAACCCCAAATATATTCTTTCTCTTTTTTTTTTTTTCAGTTTTCCTTCCTTGAAAATGTAATTTTTCTTCTTTTCTTCCATGTCTTTATTTCCCTTCTGTCTGCCTCCCTTTAAATTGGGTGGCTCGCTTTCTTGTAAGCCCATTTATTGAGCACCTATTCAGTGCCGTGGTCTGCTAGAGGCTGCATATGCTGCCTGGGTTTCTGCCCTCCTGGAGCACACAGCCCAGCAGCCAGTCCAATGGTTACTCTCCGAACATCTTACAAGTGGGGGTGGGGAGGGGGGGAGGGGCTCTTGGAGCTTGTAATAGGGGGCTATGTGCTGCCTGCAGGGCAGTGTTTCCAGCGGGGGCCGCAGGTCTCTCCCCTCAGTTCTCAATCCTTTGGTATTTGTACTGCTTGAACACATGACTGGCACAATAACTAAATTATCAGACAGAACAAAAGGTGGGGAGGCCATGCTGACTGAGGGAATTGGTGTCCAAAAGAACGTGAGTGAGTGCAATCATGGAAGGAACAGAGATAAAATGCCCTGAGGCTGGGAGAATCACCTGCACAGGCTGGTGTCGGTGACCCAGGTGTCAAAGGGACTTGGAGCCCAGCACACCCTTGAGCCATGGCTGCCCAGAACTAGCTCTTATGGGCTATGTGAGCAGGGGCTGGAGCCAGAGGTGAGGGAGTGAGCTCCCCATCCTCCTGGGCTCAGATCTACCTCCCCAGGAGCTCCATGGTCATCCCTGGAGCCTACCCGTGGGGGGGGGGAATAAGAAGCACATCTGGAGGGTCAGCCAGGGTCAGGAGGGTCACAGAGCCTGTCTCCTAGAAGCATGTGGGCCTCTTGGCTTATGGAAGGGCAGCCTTGGTGATGGCCCTTTATCCTCTGCAGATGGTAGATGAGCTGGTCTGGTGCCCCAAGAACAGCCTTCCTATTTTTATAGATAGACAGTGACCCTTAGCATCTGCAAAGCCTTCTGCATTCAGTGCTTCTCACAAGTAGTGAGTTCTGCATTATAAGAGGTGTTTAAGGAGTCAAACAAACCCCTTATTTTCATTGTCCTAGGATTTTGTAATTATGTTGTTGTGCAAGATCTTTTGAGAATCCGTATATTCATTTCCCAAAATGGCCTATTCATTTGGAGAACTTTAAATAAAGGAGGAAGCTAGTGCTTCATAAAACAGCATAAAGTAATACTGCTTTATTGTGCAATGGCATTATTTTATTATGGCGTGGATTCTCGATGCACTTCTGCCATATTCTGAAAATATAATCCTCAAGAATCTCAGCTCAGCTAGGCTGGGCTTCCCCCATTTAGAGGACAAGGAGATGGGCTGTGTATACGCTAAGGGATTCTCAGTTCTAGTGTGCCCTGGAATCACCCAGAGGGCCTGTTCAAACTCAGAGAACCAGGCCCACCTCCAGAGTTTGATTCAGCAGCTCTGGGGTGGGGGAGCAGTCATTTGGAGTTGGCAGGTGACACTGATGGTCCAGGGCCCACACTTTGAGAACCCTCTGCTCTAGGGCAGATTCTTGGGGACTTATTAGAACACACAGAAGATACCCTAAGACAGGAAGTGGACCAGTTGCTTTCCTTTTAAAGCTCCCGTTGGAATTCTTGGGAATTCTAAGGATGATCTAGCTGAAATTCCTCCTGGCCCTTGTCCTGGACACCTCCCATGGAAGGCCCTGAGCTGGGATCTGGGGAGGAATGGTGAGCAAGGGTGCAGTCTATGGTTCTCCCTCCTGTCTCTTGCTGGAGGGCAGAGATGTGGCCACGCCCCCAGGCTCTGTGAGCAGGTTGCTCAGTAGGAAAGTTGACAGACAGGACCGGGAGGGGTTGAGTAAAAGTGCTCCTGCTCTCTTTGTTTTTTTGTCTTGTTTTATGTTCAGTTAGCCCCTGTATAGTATATCATTAGTTTTTGATGTAGTGTTCAATGATTCATCCTGCTCTCTTTGGTTTGAATCTCAGCTCCGCCACTCCCCACTGGAGGACCCAGTGGGCTTCTTGGCTCGATTTCCACAGCACCACCATCTTGAAGCTGTGCGCATCAGCAGTACCCAGGTCAAGGGTGGTTGTGGGATAAAATGGGGTGGCAGGCCCATAAAGCAGCAGGCACAGTCCCACCACATCTTGATTTTGCAGTCAGCAGTAGCCATTTATAAAAGCGTTCGTGGTCACTACACATAGGCTGTGGAAGACTGACGCAGAAGCGGCAAGTTTTGTAGGATTGCTTATTTCCTGGGGAAATCGTTTTTCATCCCTCAAATCCCAAATTGAGCAGTTCTCTCTCTTCTACAACGTGACACCGAGCAGGGAAACCTTGATGGATAGTCAAGATAGCAAAAGAGAACATTCTTTGCAGATCCTAGACTGAACTCCCCAAACCTGGTGGAAAACAATGGATTGGTGCCTTTTTGGACCACCCCCCCAGAGGCTGCACGGCTCCCGTGAGCCCTACCCCAGGCCCCTCGGTGCAGCAGCAGAATTCACTCAGCTCCTGGATTCTGCAAGCAGCCTGCAATTGGTGTCAGAGGCTGTGCTTAATGAAAAAAAAAAAGCAGTTTATGAGTCATTAAAAAACTGATTGCTTCTGAAAATTCATGGGTAGTGTCAGTTTTGTCCACAGGCATGGAGAATAATGTTAAATTTTAAAGTGTTGAGAAAATTATAACACTGTATATTAACTATAGTGAAATTTTAAAAAAAGTGTTGAAGAAACTAAGTAAAAAAAAAAGAAGAAAGAAAGAGAAATCAAGCAGTCATACTGATAGTCGGGTCCAGGGATTTGGGGTGGGGTGGATGTATGGGTTTCTAATGTTTCCTGCCTTTGCTCTTGTCTCCCCCACTTTGTTTTTTTTGCTTCTGGGCGGCCAGAGCTGTCAATGCCTTCTGAGCAGTATGAGCTCCAGCTTCAGAACAGCATCTCGAGCCCCGAGGGAGACGTGGGCCGGCCCGTGGCCGTCTTGGACCAGGACACATCGATGGTCACCGCCGTGCAGCTGGGACAGAGCAGCCTGGTCCTGAGCCACAGGAATATCCTTTCCCCGGCCTGTCTGCAAGTACATAAGCATGTCCTGTGCAGGAGACCTGCTGTTTGGAAGTCATTTTTCTCCCCGAAAGCTTGGCGAGGCTAAAAATAACCCTGTTTTCCCTCAAGGTCTGAAAATTGGAAAGAACCGAAATAGCAACACGGCTGTGTGGAACGCTCACCTCTGTGGGTGACTCATAGGAGAGGCTCCAGGATGGGAGGTGGTGGCAGGAGCAGAGCCTCACTCCTCGCCTCCGGAACCTTCCCTGGCACGGGCAGCCCCATCCGAGGGTCCTGGGCAAGGCTGTTTCCAAACCAGCGTGTGGGTTGTCCCTGTCCTAGCCTTGTTTGTGTGGGCTCCAGTGTCCCTTGCAGAGATCCTCCTTTGCTAGTGTAGGAAGCGTGGTGTGGCCTCTGATTCTGGAACATGGCTTTGTTCTACTTGTCCTCACACAAGGGGTTTTCATCCTCTCTCCTACACATATGAGCTGAATCCTGCCAGTTGCTCTGTTCTCCTTCTTGTGTTTTGTTCCTTAAGTAAGCATTCAGGTATCCGCATGCAGGGTGCTTCCAGGTTACCCAATAGCACCATCTACGTGGTTGAACCCGGATACCTGGGTAAGTTTGGTCATCCTGGGTCCTCCCAGGTGCTACTGACAGGAGTTAAAAAAATAAATAAAGGCAACAACAGCTCCCCAGAAAATGCTTCACACCGGCCAGCTCAGCCAGCTCGTGCCAGGGCTGCTCCCCAGTCCTCCCTGCACTGATGCACAGAAACAAGCAGAGGGTAGGCCAAGGTCAACGTAGGTGGGAGGGCTTTGTCTCCTCCTGGTTTCTATACCAGGGCTCTGTCCAGACCTGTGGACATTTGGAGGTCGGTCAGCTCAGTGACAAAGGAGCCCCTAAAGCAAGGACACACTTGGTAAAAGTCTCAGTGGGGAGGAAGGGGAGGCATTTGACCCAAGAGAGGAAGGGAGGACTCGGCGGTCATGGAGGACCCGTGGGGGCGGAGCCAGGGCCCAGGAGCTGCCATAACTGATGAATGCTTGAGAGATGTCCAGGACCCAAGTGTCACCCCAGGTCATAGAGATGATGCTCCCTTTGAGTTTGCTCCGAGTTGACGCACCTGTTGGGTGTACTGAATTGGTTCAGGCGAGAGAACATTTGACCGACATGCAGCAAACCCCTAGGTCCTCCTATGAGCCACCATGTGAGCTTGCTGATCGGTGCAGACCTGAGCTGACAATGTGGTAACACCAGGCAGGTGTGTCTTAGGAGCTTCATTTATTCAGAAAGCCTTTTTTGGTACCTTCCCTCAGTCTGGCCTGTGCTGGGCCTAGAGTTCTGGAGGAAGGAAGCATAGGTCCTTGTGCTTGGTTTTGCAGAGAGAGAGCAGTGTAAACAGATGGTGACAGGACAGTGGTAGAGAGTTAGTCAAGTTGAGTGCCGAAGAACAGCTTCTGGGAGATGAGGGTTGAGGCAGGCATTTCCCAGAAGCTGCTCCTTTGTAGGTAGGTCGGCCTGGCGGAGTTAACAGTTTGGGCGAGGGTGTGGTGAGAGAGTGCACGGCCTCACGGGGGTCAGCGAGCAGCCCGTGTGCATCGTGTGTGGGGGCACAGCTAGAGGCCTGGGAGGGAGGGCTGTTCACATGGATAGAATGCTCAGTGCCAGGCCTCAGAGCCAAGACCTACTGTGGATTCAGAGCTCTACCTACTGTGGATTCAGAGTGCAGACCTACTGGGATTCAGAGGGTTATGGGTTCAGATGTAGACTCACCGTGGATTCAGAGTGCAGACCTACTGGGATTCAGAGGGTTATGGATTCAGATGTAGACTCACTGTGCATTCAGAGTGCAGACCTACTGTGGATTCGGTTCATACAACTACTGTGGATTCAGAGGCTAGACCTTCAGTGGATAGGTTCAAGTTTGAATGAGCCCGGGAGCAGTCAGTGTGGGATATGCTCAGGGTGGTGCTGGGGAAGCTGAGAGCTCACCCCAGCTTCTGCGGGCTCAGGGCCGATGGTGAGCATTAGATCTCACCATGCTTAGCAGCTGTTCTTTCTCCTTGGGGGAGTGCAGGTGAGCCGTTGTGGGGTCCTCCAGGTGTGCCTGGTGCCGTCCCCTTCCTCAGCAGCACGGCCCTGTACAGGCCCGAGTGTCAGGCTTTGTTGCTTGCCTGTTTTGTAGGGTTCACAGTCCACCCCGGTGACAGGTGGGTGCTGGAGACCGGCCGCCTGTATGAAATCACCATCGAAGTGCTTGACAAGTCCGGCAACAAGGTCTACCTGTCAGACGTGAGTGCCTGCCTTGGGTCCCGGGGGGGTGTCAGTGTGGGATGTGCCTCCTGGAGCGGCCCCCCAAAGCTGCAGGGCCCCCATGCAGGCAAGCTGAGTTATTGATTCCTAGTGGTGTTTCTGGGTCCATGAGAGACAGCACGTGACATCTCTGGGGCCTCTCAGGACTTTGTGAACCTGCGAGTCTGTGCCCCCCAGCCCTCCCCCTGCAGGGCCGGAGTGGGGAGAGGGGGCCGCAGGCAGCTCGGTTCCAGGAGGCGGTGATGGGGAGCAGTGTCCACCTGCTGCCTTCCTGCTCGTTTGTCATAGCCTGAGACTCCATGGTGCTGAGAATCCGCCTCTTCCTGCTCTGCAGAGGAGCAGGGAGCACTCCCTGACCTTTCCCTGTGGGGCCAGGAATACCTGTAACTGTCCGGAAGGCCCAGGTGACCCAGGCTAACCTCAGTTAGCTTTCTGGCTCTAGAAAGGAATGGCAGACACAGGCAGAGGGAGAGGAGTCCGGCAGGTTTTGGTCCTTCGTGAGAGGCTCCCAGGATCATCAGTTGGAATGCCTGGGACATTCCTAGTGGCTTCTGAGGTTTTAGAAGAAGAAGGCAGCGTTCCCCTGGGGGCAGCTTTGTAGGTCATTGCTTTCCTCGTGTTATTGAATAAAGACTGTCGATCACCATTTTTTTGGGAAGAAAACTCTGACGGATACTGATGACATTCTTTTGTGTTTGGTGGTTTCCTCGTTGGGACCTCAGGGTCTGAGAAAGCCAACGATAGTAGGCCTCAGGCTCCCCTGAGGAGCACTGGGTCATCGGGCCATGCGGGGAGTGTGGTGGCCTGGGAGGGGGTCAAAGGCTGGAGGGCTCAGAGCCCAGTTCTAGGGCCTCGTCCAGCTCGTCTGCTGGTTTTGGAGGCCTCTGGGCCTTGGGCCGCCCCATGGCCCGGCCTGGCTGCTCTTTGTGGGTCACGTTGCTCCTTTCCTGCATTCTGACTTCCTGACTCATCCCAGAAACACCTCTCTCACCCATCCTGCCTCCCTTCCAGAATATTCGCATCGAAACCGTGCTGCCTTCTGAGTTCTTTGAGGTGCTCGCTTCTTCCCAGAATGGGTCGTACCATCACATCAGGGCAACAAAGCGGGGCCAGACGGCCATCGAGGCAGCCCTCACCTCTGTGGTAGACCAGGCAAGTCAGCACCTCCCTCTCTCTGCCCCCCTGTACCCTCCCAGGCTGGACATGAGCCCTGGGAAGCCGAGGACCCCAACTTCAGCCTGGTGCACTGCTCTCGTGGGTACTCTGGGGGTTGCCTCCCATCTGGACTCATGGGAGATGTCTGGTGGTGGGGCTTTGGGCTTTCCCTGTCCCTGTGTCCACACAGGGTGCCCCTCCTACTTTGCCCTTTGCCAGCCTCTGTAAAGGTGAGCCTGCCCTTCTGGGATTGGGGCGGAAACCCTGTTGGGGAAGCGGTGTTGGGCCCGTGTGTCTAGCTGTGCTGTTTCCCGGGGCCATGAGCATCCCTCTGGCTATTTTAGCTCTTTCGTCCTTTAAAGTCTTTTCATTTTCCCCCTTTATTAGAAGACCAGTCAGTTATAGGTGTGAGCAGTTTTTTTACTGATTGGAACATCGGCATGGGTGTTCTCATCTTCCTACACTGCACAAAATCTGTCCCGGCCCCTTAGGAGGCAGCAGAAAGAGTGGCCTGTGGGGTAGACAGCAATTCCTGCCTGCCTGTCACTTCAGCTCTGGGGGCTTTGGGCAAAGTTGCTGCTGTGCCCCATGCCTCAGTTTCCCCATCTGTAAAGTGGAGTAACCACATCATCTCATCTGGGGTGCTGTGAGGATGAAGTCAAGCAGCATTTATTTGAGTGGCTGTTACAGAGCCATAGAAAGCTGTCTCCATGGAGACAGAGAAGGCTGCAGGGCATTTAGCATCTTCCTTCCTGCTCCCCGGCAATCACAGAATCTTTGTGACCTGATCTCCGGGGAGGGGCGGGGGTCTGCTTGACTGGGAAAACCTCTGATGACCTGGTTGTCATGGTGACGTGCGGCGCCCTCACCCCCTTGTAGGATGGAGGGGTCCACACATTACGGGTGCCCGTGTGGAACCAGCAGGAGGTAGAAATTCACATCCCAATCACCCTCTATCCGAGCATCTTGACGTTTCCGTGGCAACCAAAGACGGGCACCTATCAGTACACAATAAAGGTAACCGTGACACCCCACGTCTGGGTGCATTCCTTTGGGTGTTTCCATGGGATTGGGGCTCTTCACCTATCTTGTTTCTTTTAATCTTACCTTCTAGTGGTTGGAGAGAATTTAAAATCGGGGAGTTTTATGCTTTTTATATTTTCTGGGGTTTCTATCACAGCAGTGTATTTTGGTAATCAGAAAAAAAACCCTGAAAAACAGAAAAGAAAGCATGATAAAGAAAACCTGGAATACAGATTTAAATTCCACCTGCATTTGTTTTGATAAAAAAATGATTGTTTTCTACAAGTAGCGTAACTATCCCTGGAGAAAAATGTGAAATTCAAGGGAAAAATATCTCTAACTCTGTCACCTATCAAGTGTTCTCGCTTTCTGATATTCACGTGCCCGTCTGGCCTTCGTTGGCAGGGACTGACTTCTGTGGGGGCTTGAGCCCCTGTGGCCAGTAGAGTCCCCATCAGTCCCCACTGCCTCCCTGGCAGAGTGATGCCTGTCACTGGGACCCGCTGCCTGTGTGTCCCCTTCCTGGCCTCTCTCAGGTTCTGGGGTGATGGCCCCTGACCTGGGAAGCCGCTGGACTGTCTCTACTCCATGGAGGACCACCAGGAGCGGCTGGGGTGTGTGCCGGGAGGGAGCGTTGCGCCTGGGCAAGGAAGCAGCTTCCTGCACCTGACTCTGTGGCCCAGGGTCCTCCCAGTCCAGTCTGTAGGTGCTCCCAGGTCTGGGGCCACTGTTAGGGGCATCAGTGGGTGTCAGCCACAAGGCCCCCAGAATATGAGGAAGAGAAAGGAGGCAGGGTGGAGAGACCGAGGTGGGGAGGTGGTCTCCAGCCAGATGTCAGCCCATGGAGTGGGAGGCCGCTGACCATGCGAGTCAGAGAGTGAGACAGAAGGATGGACAGAGAGACCAGGCAGATGGACTGATCTGATGGTTTTCTTCTCCAGGCACATGGTGGGAGTGGGAACTTCAGCTGGTCTTCATCAAGCTACGTGGTTGCCACGGTCACCGTCAAGGGTGTGATGACCACAGGCAGTGATACTGGTCTCAGTGTGATCCATGCACATGACGTGCAGAACCCGCTACATTTCGGGGAGATGAAGGTGAGACCTCAGGGGCTTGGAGGCTCAGGCTGGCGGTTTCTAGCTGCCTTCTAACATCCAGCCCTCAGGCTTGTACTTGGTGTTGGTGGTGGGCAGTGGGATGGACGTGACATCCCCCACCAGGCAGGGGATGAGACCCAGAAGGGCCAGGGTCAGCATAGTAGGAATTTCTTGGAAGGGAGATCAGAGAATACAGAAGACATGAGATACTCAAAGGAGTCATTCTAGAAAACTCAGACCTGAAAGGTCTGAATCTCTGAATTGGAAGGGCCATTGAGTGTTGGTAAATTCACAACGAAAGGGAGGCCCCAAACTCCACGAGACCTGGGTCTGACTCCTTTCCTTTCCCTCTACTGGGGCCCGACACCTGACTCTTGACTCCAGGTGACACGGGACCAACTCACTGAGCAAAGGCCTCGGGTGGGAGTGGTCATCTGCAGCTGAGCCTCTGCCCACCCTGCCTCGGCCTCCTGACTTCTTGACCCTGACCTCAGCCTGCCATTATTCCTTCATTTAGGGCAGAAGTCAAAGCTCCATTCGCGGTGTGTCCAATCCCAACCTGCTCTTATATTTTTTGGGACATGGATGGACAGGTTATTCTAGTCTTTTTATTTGGATCCACTTAGAGACACACACACACACACACACACACACACACACACACACCCATCTAAAGACAGGTTATTCTAGTCTTTTTATTTGGATCCACTTAGACACACACACACACACACAAACACACACACACCCGTCTAAAGATTGATCTCATTCTCATATAAAAAGAGTCATAACTGAGACCCTTTAGCTACAGCATAATTGCCAAATATGTGGATAAACTATGACCACCTTGCCCCCCTCTAAGCTTCTTTATCTCAGTAAATGTGCAACCTTTCACCCAATTGCTCAGTCAGAAGTCTGAGAGCAGTTCCTTGAGACACAGTGTGTGTAATGGTTACAGTCTGGTTTCTGGGGCCAGGCTGCCCAGTCCAGTCTCCACTGTGCTTGGGCAAGTCCCTTACACTCCTGTGCCAGGTTCTTCATCAGGTGGAGGTTACTAATAGAATCTTCTTAACAAACAGGCTCAGGGGATTAAATTTAGCAATGTTTTTACAACAGAACCTGGAGGGTGGAAAGTATTGTTTTATAGAAGTATTAGCTGTGAGTGATGACACCTCTTACCCTGTACCGGGGCCCTCTTTATATTCCTCCAGCAAGCTGAGCTGGTACATGGCTCAGGACCTTTGCACACACTGTGTCTTCTTCCTACATTTTTCTCCCACGTTTCTGTCTGGCCACCTCTGACATGCCTCTCAGGTCTGAGTTCCTGTGTCACCGTATCAGAGGGGCCTTCCCAAACAGCTCTGTCCCCGAGCCCATTCCAGTCCCCAGCACACATGTCCCCCAAGCTCAGTTTCCTCACTGACTTGTCCTCAGTACCCAGTGCACAGCAGCTCTTAGTAAATACTGGCGCAGGCCCTTCCTCTCCCATGGAGCCTGATGACCCCCATCCTCACCCCTGTCCTCCAGGTGTATGTGATCGAGCCCAGCAGCATGGAGTTCGCCCCGTGCCAGGTGGAGGCACGTGTGGGCCAGACCTTGGAGCTGCCCCTGAGGATCAGTGGCCTCATTCCTGGTGGGGCCAACGAGGTGGTCACCCTGAGCGACTGCTCCCATTTTGACTTGGTGATCGAGGTAGAGAACCAAGGCGTGTTCCAGCCGCTCCCAGGTAAACCAGGACTGATGAGTGGGCACCAGACAGGGGGATCAGGCCAGACCGTATAAGTTCTCAACATGGGCTGCCCCAGATTCCTAAATGGAGGGCTTGAGGCAATAGGGGAATCAGGAGCATCAGGAATGGCATCTATCCCCTTGTCCACCCTCAACAATGGTCCGGTCTGGCTCTTGACCACCGTGTGACCTGCCTTGTCACTGGGCTTTCAGAACCACCCATCTCTAAAATGGGTGTCATCCTAAATAGAATTGCATGTCCTCATGCCCATTACACTGTCTAGAAGGTAGTAGGTGCTCACAATTCACTGTCCATAGGGCTTTTAGCTGGTGACAGAATCCTGACACTTTGGTGTTCCGACACCCTGAGCAGTCCAAGCCGTGCGCATTGCTCTTTCCTCTTGGGCATGCCCTGCAGGGTCTTAGTGGTGGTATCGGTGGTGACGGTGGCTGAGGCAGTTAGTTTAAGGGATGTCAACCCTGCCAGGTGTGGAGTGAGCACTCAGTGTGTGTGACTCATCAGACTTCTGGCGGGGGGGGGGGGGGGGCAGGGAGCTGTGGTTGGGCCACATGTCATATGAAGAGACTGGGGCTGCCTGCTGCCCAAGGTCACACAAGGGCACAGGTGGGATGGGATAGAGACCTGGGTGGATCTGGCACTGACCATGAAGCCTTTTGTCCCCTGAGAAACTGTGCCTCCCAGGGGAGCCAGCCAGGGGCAGCCGGGAGGTTCCTTTGCGGACAGAGAGAACCAAGGACTGATGATCCATTGAGGGAGGAAGAAGGTTTGGGCAGGGGTTAGAAGTGACAGGTGGGCAGGGTCTCTGTGGTCAGGGCCCAGAGGTGGGCACGGGCACATACAGTGGCCCTGGGACTGGAACGTGTCGAATCATGAATCACGAAGGGCTTGGATTCAGGGTCCAGGCAGTGGGGAGCAACTGTCGGCTGTTGAGCAGAGCACTCGATCCTGACGGGTTTAAGCAGCTCAATTGGCAGAGGTGTTCGTCAGGATCACCTGTGTGCCAGGCAGCTTCGCATGTCCCCGCTGTGCTTGTGGTTACTCGTGGAGCTGTGTGAACCTGAAGCTACGCAGAGGAAGGGGACGGCATCTCTGAAAGGTCACCAAGCAAACCGTGTTCGCGTCCTTCCTTGGCAAGTGCTGCTGTGCCTCTCTGACCACCCAGGAGGAACAGCTTTATGAAAATTTAAGTGTCCTCATTGAAGGACGGAGGAAGACATCAGCGTGAGGGAGAGGAGCCTGCTGATGGCTGGGAGGAGAGCCTGCAGGCTGTGGCCCCAGGCCCAGGAGGCTCTGGGAATGAAGGACACGGTTGGGAGCTCCACAGCTACGGGTCTGAGCACCGCTTCTTCCGTATATTGGCTGTGTGATGGTGGACAAGTCGCCCAGCCTCTCTGAGCCTCGACTCTTCCATGTATAAAACGGGGATACTAACTCCTCACTTGGCTGTGAGGGTTACAAATGAACATCCCTGAGCCCAGTGCAGAAGCATTGTTCAAGGAGTTTGGTTCTGAAGATGGCAGCCGAGACCAAAATCCTGTGGCATCAAAATTTCCCTTACAAAGCCCCTTAAATGTCCCTCAGTGTGGAGTTGATGTGGCTTGTTGAAGCCTGTGTGTAGGGTCTCGGTTGTATGAGAACTATGTATCTTAAAATCCGGAGCTTCGTCTGGGCAGAGCGATGCTGGTGTCATGGAAATCTGTGGGACTAGAGACCGGGTGGGGCCAGCAGATTGGGTGACATCTGTCTGCGGCACAGGAGACTCATGGAACAGACGCTTGGGGCCAGAGGGGGTCCCCACGTTAGGTTTCCTTCTCTGTCTCAGTCTCTTTCCCAGGTAAGATTGCCCAAGGGTGAAAAGACACAAGATGGGGCTCAGGTCCCAATTCTTAGGAAGGGGCGGCCCCAGGCCCCTAACACCCTCTGGGTCAGTTTGGAGCTCCACCCTGTTCCTATTGGAGTTGGCTGCTAGGGTCCCATTTCTTCCTTGTCCTCATCATTGAAGCCCCCCTGAAAGTCCCGGGGCTGGGAACCTCTGCTGGAGCCTCTGCTGGAGCCCCAGGGCTTCGGGCTTGGCTAGGCTCAGTGCCCAGGGTGGCGACACACCAGCTCTTGCTCTGCCCTGGCCCCTTCTCTGCTCCCAGCCTTGGCTGGTTCTCAGCAACCTGTTCACTGAGCACCTAGTAAGTGCTGTGCTCTGGGGGTTCCTGGTAAACACGAGAGGCATGGTGTCGCCTTCATGGCCCACACAGCCGAGCAAGACCCATGCTTCCACAGGCTGTTATGGTGCCTGGGACGGAGTGCGCCTGTGGGTGAGCACAGGTCCCGGCAGCTCCGTCCCACTCCTGGGCGTGTGCCCGGCAGAAATGCCCGAACATATTCCCCAGCAGAAATGTGCAGAAGATGGATGTCTAAGCCAGTTTGGGGGTGCCTGGGAAGGCTGCTTAGAGGAAATGAGAGCTGCACCTGAAGGATGAGAGTGGACAAATTGGGAGTGTCCTGAGGAACGGGAAGAGTATGTCAGGAGCCAGAGACCACAGAGGGGGTGGCATGCTCCAAGTTTGGCCCCAGGTCCGTGCAGGTGGATCTCTCATTGCCAGGGCAGAGGCCGCAGGATGGGGAGAGCCTGGTACTCAGGGAGCACTGAGTCTTCCCACTAGGCAGGCTGGGGTGGGAGGCGGAGGCATCATGCTCAGGAAGCTCCTCTGCCGTGCGTCAGAACCCCCGTTCTCCAGCGCCCTTTTCCCAGCTATGCAGAGGACCTGGCATCCTGGCTTATAATTTGGGGTCGTGTCCAGAAAAGCATTTGCCCAGACTCACTGCTGGCAGGGTCCACACTCAGACCTAGCATTTCCCTGTCTACTGTGTGTACTTGTGAACACAAATCAGCCCCTTTGGCAGAGTTGCAGTTTTCCGGAGCTCCTGGGCTCTGCGCACGGACTCCATAGCACACCCTTTCTGGCGACGTAGGGATTTCTGCTCGGGGCATCGCAGGCTCTGTTCTTTGGTTGCCCCAGCCTGGAAACAACCCCAATGCTCATCAGCTGGTGAATGGATGAGCACCCTTGTAATGGAAGACTCAGCAATAAAGAAGAACCAACTATTGATCATGCCAGAGCATAGATGGATTTCAAAAACATGCGTGTGAAACCAGCCAGATACAAAGAGCCCCCTTCATTGATGTGCAGTGTGAGGCGGACTGATCTACACGGAGAGCGACTGGTCATGGATGCAGGGTTTCTTTTTTAGGAGATGAGATATTCTAAAATTAGTGGTGATAGCTACACAACTCTGTGAGTATGTTAAAAACCACTGAATTACGAGTGCCCTCTAAATGGGTGATTCTGTGGTATGTGAGTTATAGTTCAATGAAACTATTATTTAAAAAGCAAAACTAAACTGTGGTGGAAAAAAGTCGGAATGCCATAGTGATGGCTTCTGGAGAAGGGGGGAGCCCCCGGGAAGGAGCAGGAGGGAACTGTGGGGGCAGGTCGTGTCCCGCATCTTCGTAGAGGTTCGGGTTTCACGGGTGGATGTGTTTGTCTGAGCTCATGGCGTGGCCCACTTAAGATCGGTGTCTCACTATGTGTAAATCTGACCTTAAGAAAAAAAAAAGAACCAGGAAGAAATACTGAACTAGAGATAATTATGCATATCTAAAGCAATTCGAATGAAGTGTGCTGAAGCTGCAACTTACTTTTAAATGCATTAAAAACTAAGATCAGGTGATGGATGGGTAGGGGGATGGATTGATATGTAAAATACAGCAAAATGTTCATTGTAGAATCTAGGGGATGGGTGTGTGGCATTTCACGGTAGAATTTTTTTCTAAGTGTTTGGAAAGAAAACAGTAAGATACCACTACCCTCCCACTAGAATGGCTTTTTTAAAACTCGTGGAAAATACCAAGTATTGGTGGGGATGCTGTGTAGCTTCTAGTAGCAGTATGACTTGATGCATCCATTTTGGGGAAGATACTTGGCAATAATGATGAAAAGCGAACATACCCATTGCCCTGGCAGTAAGGACTGGAGGCAAACATACCGCACTCTTAGGGATGCACACAACAGAAATGCCGGAATATATCCATCCCGGAAGACACGCACGCATGCACGTTCATAGCAGCACCCTGCGTCAGCCCCACGCTGCAGACAACCCAGATGTTTGCAGTAGCGTGGGGACATCAGCAGCTGTCTAGTCACACAATGCAATCATACTACAAATGTGGATAAAAGATCTACACTGTGCAAAATGTAAGGAGGGCTCTCACCACAGGCAGTTATGGTGCCTGGGACGATAGTGAGCTTAAGAGGGCAGACACAAAGGAGTTTATGCTTAGTGATTCACTACGTATAAAATATGGCAGCCAGCAAAATTAAGCTGGTGGTGAGAAGTCAGGTAACAGTGGTTTTCCTTGGGGAGGGCTAGTGACCAGAAAGATCTATGGGAGATTCAGGGATACAGGTCATCGTGTTTTTTGGGTGTGTTCAGTTTGTGGAAGGAAAAAAAAAATCACTATGAATTATATGTATATGCTACATGTATTTTTAGTATGGGACTTATACTTCAAATTTTTAAGTTGAAAAAATTAGATTGTGTATCAAGCCCAGGATGAAGGAGGGGCTGTCAACCTGTCATGTTTTTCCGAGCAAAGGCAAGTTCACAGTGACCGTTTGGCTCTCTTCTTACAGGGAGGCTGCAGCCAGGATCTGAGCACTGCAGTGGGGTCAAGGTGAGAGCAGAGGTCCAGGGCTACACCACACTCCTCGTGAGCTACAGACATGGCCACATCCACCTGAGTGCCCGGATCACCATCGCTGCCTACCTGCCCCTCAAGGTGAGCCCGGGGTCCCTGCCCTCCACCTCCTCCCCTGATGCGAGTAATTCATTTGCTCTGGCAAATTTGTATTAAAACCCTGACTGGTCAGAATAGCTTTTGGAATAGTTACTGCTCCCTCTTGTGTGGATTCAGGAAGGAGGTTGAAGGAGCAGAGCCTTCCTGATGGCAGACGGTGATTGCTAACTGTGTGTGGATGACATGCTCTCTGCAGAGATCTAGACAGGAGGGCTTCTGGTCCACTCCAGAGCTGTCCTGCCAGGTCTCCATGGAACCCTAGGATGGCATGTGGTGCAGATTCTGGGGTCTGGGAGACACGGGTCAGGTCTGGATTTTGCTGTCTGCCTGCCATCAGGCAACCAGCTGGTATGTGAGTCCCCCTTCGTCCATCTGTGGCCAGAGGCAGCTAAAGCCTCCACAGCTCAGAGCTCACTGCCTTGGCTTTGACACTGACTCCCCAGTTTGAATCCAGGTCCGACACCAACTCTGGGGCATTGGTTAACTTAGTTTTCTGGGCCTCCCATTTCCCTGCCTGTAAAATGAGGCTAATACAACACCAAACTGTAGGGTTGTGGTGAGGAGAAACTGAGCTAATGAATGAAATGGACTTAGAACAGTGCCTGGAAGGTAGTGAGTGCTCAGTAGGGTTAGTTACTAAAATGCAGATAAAGGAGAACCAGACCGTCCTCCCAAGGTGGTTGGGAAGGGTTCACACAGCAGCTGCCCCGTCACAGGATGGCAGTCCTAATGAGAACCCTGCCTCTAATAGGCTCAGGTGAGTTGGCTCCTCCTGAAGGGGAGGGTGAAAGGATTGTCCTGGGGGGGCGTCCCGCCAGCTTCCAGACTGGACCAATCAGGGCCGCCTTTCTCTGACACCCAGCGTCAGTCTCTAGGACAGCTCTGGTCCCCTTGGTTTGTGGTAACAGGTTTTCTTCCCCCCTCACCCATTAGAAGTGGGGTCAGTGAGGTTAGAGCCTTTCATCTCTGAACCCCTAGCCCCGAGCATAGTGCCTGATACAGAACAGACAACCACCAAGGGTTGGTTTTATGTTTTTTTTAATTGAGGTATAATTGATATGTAACATTATATTAGTTTCAGGTGTACAATGTAATGATTCATATTTGTATACATTATGAAATGGTCACCACAGTAAGTCTAGTTAACATCCATCACCATTCGTAGTGCCACATCTTTTCCTTGAGATGAGAACTTTTGAGATCTGCTCTCTTAGCGACTTGCAAATATGCAACATGCTATTATTAACTCTAGTCACCATGCTGTACACAACATCTCCATGAGTTCTGTATTTTATAACTGGAAGTTTGTACCTTTTGACTCCCTTCACCCATTTGCTGCCCCATGCCCCTCTCCAGCAACCACCAATCTGTTCTCTGTATCTGTGAGCTCTTTTTCTCTTTTAGATTACAGTGAGATCATACAGTATTTGTCTTTCTCTGTCTGACTTATCTCACTTAGCACACTGCCCTCAAGGTCCATCCGTGGTGTTGCAAGTGGTAGGATATCCTTCTTTTTTATGGTTGAATAATATTCCTGTGTATGTGTGTGTATCACATCTTCATCCATTCATCTGTTACTGAACACTTAAGTTATTTCCATATCTTGGCTATTGTAAATAATGCTACAATGAACAGGGGAGTGCAAATATCTTTTTGAGTTAGTGTTTTCATTTCCTTTGGTTAAATAGCTGGAAGTGCATATTTTTTGAGAAGGGTTGTTTTATTTAGAATCAATGAGTGGGCGAATGTGTCCAGGCTTACCAGCCAGGACGGAAACCAACATTTCCTGACCTCTCCCCTCCCCCACCACCAAAATCTATATGAACACCTTTTCTGCACCAGTCCCTGCTCTAAACCTTAGGGATACATCAGTGCAGAAAACACAGAGAAATCCTTGTCCTCATGAATGGACATGCTGGTAGAAACAGAGGTAGAGACAGACAGTAATAGACGAGTGCTTACCATGGAAAAAGTAAAGTAGAAGAGGGTGATAGGGAGGGTAAAGAAGGGAGGATGGCAGTTTAAAATTAGGAAGTCAGGATCCCCTTCCTGATCAGGAAGGAGTGATAGGGCTCAGAGAACAGGGTTCGAGAGGATTGGCAGCATTCTTGAGGAACCCCTGCCGCAGCCTAAGGTGGAGTTTTCCTAGGACCCCGGGAAGGAGGTTCTTCAGGGCTCTTCCTTGGTGCTTGCTCCAAATGACCAGACACCCTATTTATGTGGGGTATGTGGCTGAAATATCAAAGGCCACTGACTGAGCTCACTGTCCCAAGGTGGGATTAAGGGTGAAGATAATATAGACATGTCCCCAATCAAGGCTTCCTGACTGGACACATTATAGAAGGATATAGGTGTTTTCTTTTATCTTTCTTCCGTCTTGATAACAGTTAAGATCAGGTTTATTTACACATAACAAAATCTAAAACAATAGCTTAGCCAGTAGAGGGTTTATTTCTCTTTCACATGAGATCCTTCACATGGGGCTAGTGTGGCAGCTCATAGTCATCAGAGACCCAGGTTTCTATCTTTCACCATTCTAGTATGTGGCTTTCATCCTCAAGTTTGCCTTATAATCTAAAATAGCTGCTGGAGCTCCAGCCATCACATCTGCATTCCAATGTAGCTAGAAGGGGAAAGAGCTCTCCTCCAAGCTGAGTTAGTTTCTTCTAGTAACCTTGTCAGAAGTTTAAAGGAACAGTTTCTACTTGCATCTCATTGGCCAGAACTTAATCCATTGGGCACATCTATCTTCAAAAGAGTCTGGGAAATATTTTAGCTGGACACTTACCTACCCTAACAAAATGTGGTCCTTCCTCTAAGGAAGAGAAGAGTGTGGAAACTGGGAAAGCAACTCACAATGACTGTTTGCTTGTCCATTCACCAGTTTACTCTGCAGATCATCCCTGGGTAGGTACAGTTGGTACACAGCCCAGGCTGGAGAGAGAGAGATGTAGGGAGAAGTCCCACACTGCCCTAGGTGGCCACCGGTCTGTGGGGAAGGCAGGTGCTCAGACAACTGCAGTGAGCATGGTAGAGGGAATGAAGAGCCTCAAGGGGGACAGGTCACTGGTGAACACAGAAGTAGAAGGAGGGCCTGCTTGTAGGAAGCTTGGCTGGTGAGGACACTAGAAATAGTATACCTCGGGTCACAAAGGAGGCTGTGAAGGCCCTCTGGGTCAGATCAAGGAGGTGTTTGAAAGCTGGGTTAGGAGTGGGATATTTATTCTCTCCTTACCTAGCAGTGGACAGTTGGTGAAGGTCAGGGAAGGACAAAATCGGGTCCACACGTAAGACGGGTACTGCTCAGCCCTGCCCCCCAACGTACATGTAACCTCCTCCGTTTGGACCTTGGAGGGGCTTGTGTTCGCCGGCTACCTAATTCCCTCTGCAGTCAGCACCCCAGTTACTCTTCGGCTTCTGTCTACTGCAGGGATTTGGCACCCCTCGACCCACCTGCAGGTTACTCTCTGGGAGTCCCTAGTGCCTGGATCTGGGGACCTCACCTGGCTCTCCATTCCCGCAGTGTCAGTGTGACTGAACGTGATGACCCCTGAGCCTCTGGGACAGCCAGGTGCAGTGGGGCCCTAACTTCTGCCCACCCCACCCCGCTCCTTCTGTCTCTTGATCCTAGACCAAGTGTGAGTATCCCTGCGAGGGGGCGCATGGATGCCGTCTGCTGCAAGTGTAGGCTGTCCTTCCTAAGGGCCTCCTGATGTCTAGGTTCAACCTCTTGTTCTGCAAACCAGGATACGAAGCCCTGGAGTAGTAGAAGTCTTGTCTGAGGTGCAGGGCCCCTCTCCTCTCTGGCCTGGCCAGTGGCTGTACTTTCACAGCCACCGAGGAGCCTGTATGATTTATGAGTGTCTGTGTTGATTATTAACCTTTCTTCCTGGCACAGGATTCTGTGACACTTTTATACCTGAATGGGAAGAGAATTACACGTGAAGGTGATAATTCACTGTTCTCCAGCTGGTAATTATAGGCCACACGGTGCCTTTGCACAGTCTTTCCCTTAGGGCAAAATTCTTTGGCCACGTTTACAGTGACCTGCTTTGCCCACAGCGAAGTTTTGCTGGTTGTAGCATTGAGACTTGGGGAAGAACAGGGCATCGGAGTCAGAACAAACTGGGTGAACTTGGACGTATTGTTTTACTTTGCTGGGATTCATGTTTTCCGTCTATTAAATGAGGATGACAGTTAACGATAATGATGCTAGGGCCATTTATTGAGCATGCGCTGGACATGTATTCCGGGTTTTCGTTCACGTCCCTTGAATCTCTATGGTAATCCCATGAGGCTTGGGTTCTTGTACCCATTTTACTGGTTGGGGAGACTGAGCCTTATAGAAGTTAACCTGTTTAAGGTCACATAGCAGACCAGTAACAACTTCATTCTAGTTGTGGAGTCAGAGAAACAAATGACTATATGGAAAATGGTGGCACGTAGTGAGAAGGGTGGTTGAGCTGGGAAAGGAGGTAGCAAATGACAAGAGGTTCTGTCTTAAGGGGTCAGAGAAGGCCTCTCCAAGGAGGTGATGTTTGAGCAGAGGCCTGAGTGGCGCAGGCCGTGAGGCTGTCTTGAGGAGGAAGAGCGAAGGCCGTGATGATACTTGGCCATTCGCGTGCAGAAAAAGGGCTCTTTTGATGGTTTCAAGACCTGGGCACACAGCAAGGTAGAGTTTGCGGGTGGGGGCGCCCTGGGTTTTTGAAATTTCATATATGTGTGCCCACATATATGGGGTGTGCCTAGAGATCTGTTATCCAATAGCAAATTCAGGAAAGTGTCCATATTGCAAAAAAAAAAAAAAAAATTTCAAAGGACAGAATTCTCATTGACGAGTGATGCCCTTTCTTTGCTAAGAACCCAACCCAGAGAACCTGTGCCCAATAGGCCTCAACAGGTCATGTCATGTTGCCTGCCTGCCCCCATCCGGGAGGGTGTGTGCATCTTAAAGCTGTCACTCAGGTGACTCCCCCTCCATACTGAGGTGGCCGCCGGCCGGGGAACTGTTCTGGGTCCAGGACTGCAGGTAACAGCCGAGTGGTCATCAGTCTGTACCTGTGAGGACTTCAGGCTCTTAGCAGTTGGGGGATGAGGATCCAGCTACCATGGGGGTGAGGGCATGGAAGGAGCTGGGTGGAGGGTCAGGGGCCCTGGTGAGTGGACTGGAGTCTACACTGACCCTCCTGTCCTTATGACATCCCAGCAACACATTCTGGCCTCTACCAGACCAGAGGGGTCTGAGACTGGATGTTCTGCCCAGAGCAGCACGAACACTTGGGGCTTTAAGGATTTCAGGAGAGTAGAGCTTGGGGAAGCCGGACCTGGACGTAACTCTGTATGTTCTAGGCAATAAACTAAGGACGTACTCAATGTGTGTTAGCAGTAGCCTCCACACTCCCAGCATACTGGCCATTCTGAACTAGAAGTGGCCCCCGCCCATGTGGACTCCAGTCTAATGCAGACATGGCACCTGTGTGTATCTGTGCCCACAGCAGACATTGCTAATCGATCCTGGCATCCCTTTTGCCTGAGGCTGATTCCACCTTAGGAACCAACCCCACACACCCCGACCCCCATCCGGTCAGCTGTTGCAAGGCCATCAGGGTGACAGGTGTTTGCAGCTCTCGTTCTGAAAGATGTTGGGAATCGTGAGAGGTTAAGGGATCATTGAGGCCAAGAGTAGGGGACTGGTGCGGGCTCGGTCATTGCAGCATTGCTGTGATCAATCCATCAGATTGGTCTGTTTCCATTTCTTCTCAGTTTTAGGGCTTGCTTTTTGGTGTGTGTTTTTTTTTTTTTAATTTTGTTCTAATGTATATGTAAGTTGTTCATTTGGTTCCAAAGTTAAACCCATATTAGAAGGATCCTCAGAAGTCTTGCTTCCATCCCCTTATAGGGGAGTCAGAAGTTACACGTGGACTTTCGATGCCTGGTGGGTCAGCACCTCGAACCCCTGCATTGTTTAAGGGTCAACTGTACATATAAATATCGAACTGTTACGCTATACCCCTGAAACTAATATAACATTCTATGCCAATTACATCTCAATAAGAAAGTGAATAAATTCTTTGAAAAGGGTGCACGTTTCTCTACAGACTCACCAGCAGAGTGTGTGCTCAAACTTTTAGATTTTTGCTAATCACATGGTTAAGAAATAGTATCACCGAGTTGTGATAATTTCCTCCATCTTTTTTTTTTTAATATTTTTATTTTCTCTACATGGTTTTTCGTTTTTCATACAGTTTGCTCACACTGTGGATACAGAAGGAAACTGACACGCCTTACCTTTCATGAGCCCATAGGCTGATGAGGGAGGCAGACACCCAGACCAATCATTTCCTCTGTGACACGGGGCGGGGGAGCTGTCAGCCCTGGCAGGCTGGACATCACTGGGTGAGGGAGGAAACGGGGGCTTCTTGAGGGAAGGAGTGGGTAGGGGACCAAGGCAGCAAGCAGCTTCTGTGAGGCCCTAGGGACAGGCTAGTCTGAAGGTGGGACTAGGAGAGCTAAGGCAAGGGCGCCTGGGTGGCTCATTCGTTAAGCGTCTGCCTTCGGCTCAGATCATGATCCCAGGGTCCTGGGATTGAGCCCCGCATCGAGCTCCCTGCTCCGCAGGAAGCCTGCTTCTCCCTCTCCCACTCCCTCTGCTTGTGTTCCCTCTCTCGCTGTGTTTCTCTCTGTCAAATAAATAAATAAAATCTTTAAAAAAAAAAAAAAAAGCTGAGGCAAGGGCCAGGCTGGGAGAGCCCGAATCCCGGACTCACGGAGACTTTCTTCTGAGGGCAGCTGGGGCTACAGATTGGTCTTGTGCAGGAGTGACATGGTCAGATCTGTGCTTTCGGAAGGAACCTCTGGCAGCTCTTACAGGGTAGAGTTGGGGGGTCAAACAGGGAGGCTAGCTGACAAGTAAGGACTCAGGGCAATCTCAGTGAGACCCTCTGGAGCAGGGGATCAGACAAGCCCCATCAGGGAGCGAGGGAACAAGGCTGTGGGACCCCGCAGAGGGCCCACTTTCTCTACATCCCTGCTGAGTCTGTAAGGGGAGATGTCCTTGTGCACAGCAAACCTCATCTTCCCGGAGGTGCTGTCCCTCTCCCTGCTGTTTCCCACAGACCCTCAGTTCAGCCACCGTCCCATGCAGGGAGGCCCTGGGACCCTCAGCACAAAGATCGTGAAAGCAGATGAGAGCTTTTTGTAAAACTTAATGTAATTCATCCTTCCTTTATTGGGTACTTTTAGGACTCAGTGTTCACTCTCTCCTTCAACAGATAATGACTGAGCACCGACTATGTGCCAGGCACTGTTCTAGGTGCTGGGAACAAAACAGGCAAAAAAGCCTTGCCCCCCCGAAGCTCCTCTGTATGTTATAGAAAGTGTGGGAAACTCCGTGGAGTAAAGAGGAAACAAATCGCCAGCAGGGACAGGCCATCTGCAGTTGCCCCCTTCATCTGGTGTATTTGTAGGATTGCTTTATGCTTTTTAAAACAGCATAGTTGTGATCACACTACACAGTCAGTGTTGTACCCAGCTCTTCGTAAATAACTGCTTTAGGGACCCGCATCACCTCCTGTGGCATGGATGGACCACATTTAGTTAACCAGCCCCCCGTTGTGGATTTTAGATCGTTGGCCCATTATTTGCTATAATAAGTGATAGTGTGATGAATGTCTCCTTGTGCGTGAACTTGTTTTTCTCCTTGTTTGGTCATTAGGTTAGATTCTGGAAGAGAAGTTCTCGGGTTCAAGGGCTCTGGATATTTTCAAGGGTTTTACCCATGATTTTACAGAAGAAGCAAATCAATTTACCTCCCACCCCCAGCAGTATATCAGAATGGGCACACAGTTCTTCCTGGAGCACTCATAGGCCTTTGGATCTTGACAACAACCCTGCTGGTGTTGATGAGCAGACCAAATTCCAGAGAGGGGTTGGGGCTTGTCTGGCCTCCACGGGGGCAAGCTGGCAGGGGGCCGAGCATGTGCCTTCCAGAGGAATGCTGATTCTCCTTTTTTCCCCCACAGCCGGTGGATCCCTCCTCTGTTGCCTTGGTGACCCTTGGGTCCTCGAAGGAGATGCTGTTTGAAGGAGGTCCCAAACCCTGGGTCCTCGAGCCTTCCAAGTTCTTCCGGAACATCACCTCCGAGGACACAGACAGCATCAGCCTGGCTCTCTTTGGGCCCTCTACCTCCCGGAATTACCAGCAACATTGGATCCTCGTGACCTGCCAGGCCTTGGGCGAGCAGGTGAGAGGGCCGTCACCCCTAGACCCATCTTGTCCAGAGGAAGGGGTGTAAAGTCCCATTCCCTGAGTACCCTGCTGTGCTTACAGCACCATTTCACAGACAGGCAAGCTGAGGATCAGTGAGGTGGCATGACTGAGTGGATAGGCAGGTTGATCGGGATACAGCACTCGGGGACCTACAGGACAGCTTTGCTAGAGCTAGCACCCTTTCCACTGCTGGGGTGACCTCTTCTCTCTCTGGGCTTCATCATTGCCCACCACCAAATTGGGGGATGGGATGAGACCGGGGGAGGGGTCACAGTCAGAGGTCTCCAGGGTCAGGCAGATAGCATTAGTGAGCAAGATTTCAGCCCAGGTTTGGCAGATCTTTTTGGTGTTTCAAGATAAGCCAGGAATCCCAATATTTTTTTATGTGAAATCCCTCAATTTTTGTTTTTTTGCCATGCCGAAAACCAAAGAAATTCAGAGACTGGGTGGACCAACACAACATGTCTGTGACCTGAACTCTCGTGGGGCTAGCATGGGCTGGAGAAAACAGCAGCTCACCCAGCAGGCCCCCTGTGGCTGCCACTCCGGAGGCTCAGCGCCGAGTGCTCATTTTGCTGATAGTAGGGATCTAGCCCACCATTCACAGGATGCCCCGGAGCCGGGAAACAAAAAGCAAGGTGGGAGGCCAGGGGGGATCAAGAAAGATAGGAGAGAGCCCATGCCTTTAGGGAAGGGGAGAATGCCCTTACACGTGCAGTGGGGCAAAGAACGTCAGCTGACGTCAAAACACACATGTGCACATCACCCGAGGTACCCTTGTGAAGTGTGCCACACCCAGACTGCCTTGGTGTGAGTGGGAGAGACGCACATGAAAGCCCCTGATTCCCACTGGCTTTGGCTTAAAAAAAAAAAAAGTTAATAAGAAAATACTTTTTTTTTAAATTAAGAAAAATGAATAAGAGAATAAATTGTCTCCCCCCTGGCTTGGCTTGGTCATCCATGTCCCTGCTGGGCCGTAGGAGTTGGCCCTCTGAGCAGAGGCACCCCTGGGGTCCTCCCACTCCATGCCCTGTGCCTCACTTCCTTGGGGTCATTGCGGTAGAGGCCGAGGGCCTGCAGGTCAGCGTGGAAACCACCCTTTGTCCTGCCTTGTGGTCAGGGAGGGTGAGGGGCTCTAAGACCCGACCACTAGGTCCTACAGAAGCGTGAGTCATTTGAGGGGTCTGGGGTGCTTCCTTGGGATGGGTCATTAGCTGGGTGCTCGCAAAACTCAGGCCTGGGCTTGATTTCTGAGGTCTCAGCTCTAAAAGCAGACTTAAATTTCCCTCTTTTGTTGCATCTTTAATCATGGCCTCTGCAGCGGCCAAGTGAACTTCTCTCAAAGAGGAGGGCATACAGGCTGAGGCCCCCGCACATCCGTCTGCCATGCAGGCCTCTGTCCATCAGCACACACCCTCCCACACCTGCACCTCATTGTAAGGGATCTTCCAAGTCCGTGTGGGCTCCTCATTTGAAAACCCACAGGCTTGGGAATTCGCTCCTACAACTGGGGGGTCCTCGGGGGGTCCCGGGAAGCTGTGAGGCATCACCGCAGTGGTTTGGCCAGCATTTGTAAAGGACACTAGAGCCCCTGTCTGAAGGCCTCTTGCGTGTTGAGAGAGCACTCCCCCCCACATAGGTCACTGCACCCTTGTAAGCCCCGGGTGGTGCAGGTCTCAGCTGCCCATTCTACAGAGCAGCAAACTGAGTCCAAGGATGCTGGGTGGTGAGGCCAGGCTCACAGTGGAGCAGGCACTCAGACTCGGACTGCTCCTCTGCTCGGCCAGGTCATCGCCCTCTCGGTGGGGAACAAGCCCAGCGTCACCAACCCCTTCCCCGCGCTGGAGCCCGCTGTGGTGAAGTTCGTCTGCGCCCCACCCTCCAGGCTCACCCTGACCCCCGTCTATGCCAGCCCCCAGCTCGACCTGTCGTGTCCACTGCTGCAGCAGAACAAGCAGGTGGTAAGTGAGCAGTTCTCAGGGAGGGCGGCGGGTCAGCGCTGCTCTCTTGCCTCCATGCTCAGCAGCCCCCGCTGAGGGCCTGCTCCTGGTCAGCTTTTACATATCGGGGGGCTGAAGGCCCAGAGAGGTGAGGGGCTCACCTGGAGTCACAGTTGCTCGTGGCAGTGCCAGGTGGAGGTAGGGCGCCTCTGGTCCCAGGCTCGGCCCCCTCTCTGTGTGGCACTTGGCAGTTGGTAAAATCTCATTAACTTCTGTGACTTGGGGACCTTGAGGTGGGGCTGTGGCCTGTAGGCAGTGTGTGTGTGGTCAGAGTGGGGGCTGCTAAAGAGGGGGACCAGCTGCAGCATTCTCCATGAGTGAGGGGAACGTAGGGGGGCTGTGTTTCAAACATAAGCGTGGGAGGGGGAAGAAAGTCACTTGGGGGTTGCTCTGACAAGCAGGGATGGAAGGTAAATCCCACAGGTCTGGTCCCCTTGGGCTTACGGCTGGTCTAGCCCCCCAGCCAGGACCCCCAGAGGCCAGATGACAGATGTAGAGGACTTCAAAGCCCTCCTGTTCAGGGTCAGGGATACCAACACCCTCCCAGCCAGCCAGCCCCCAGTCCCTTCTCAGAGGTGGAGAGTGGGCAAGCTGCTTTTCCCTCATTCCTTCAACATGTATTTGTCCAGCACCTTCTGTGTGCTGGGCGCAGAGTTCTGGGCTCGAGAATACAGAGTACTCAGGACAGGTGAGGCACCTGGAGGGGACAGGAGACCAGGAGGCCCACGGATAGTAGACAAGAAGGGCAGAAGGTGGGAAGGGCTGTGGAGCGAGGGAGGTAGTGCAGGACACCTACCAGTGAGGCCACTTCAGATGGAGCCATGAAAGGCCTCTGTCGGGCGGACACCTACCATGTCAGGCCCCGTGGTCACGGCTAAAAAGAGCTGCAGTAAGGGTGTCCCGAGCAGGTAGAGTGGCAAGTGCAAAGGCCCTGAGGCTAGCCTAGGGTTTACATGGTAATCAGAACGGTTGTATGTGCCAGGAGCTCTCACTGTATGCCTCGTTCCCCATCACCCAGACCATCTGGAAGGCCAGGCTTGTTGCATCCCCTTCATGGGTTTGCTCCCGAGGCCTGGAGGTAGGCAGGATCCTGGAGGCAGAACCTAGATCTGCCCAGCTCCAAGTTTTCAGTGCCTCCTCTGTGGCCCCTGCGGCTGCTTCTCTCCTCCCAGCCCCGGCCTTATGATCAGCCCCAAGGCGTGTCCCGCTGCCCTCTGCCCTGCTGGCTCCTGAGGGGCCCTGTGTCTCCTGGAGCCACCTCTAGGGATAGGACACTCTTAGCTCTTTGCTGTTTGCCCTGAGAGGACTCAGCGCCCGTAACGGAAGCGTTCTGAAGCTGTTTATGTGGGCAGCCTCTCCCACCAGAGCAGAGAGATTTGGAGTTTGGCTCCCCTTTGGGTGAAGAACAGCTTTGTGTCTGGTCAGAATACATTTCTTGGAAGCTCTGGGGGGGTCCCAGACTCCAGTGTCTAGGACTTGGGAACAATTCTGTCTGTCTGGTGTGTGACTCTCGGCCTCTCGGCCTCTACGTCCCCTGCAAGTTTAGTTAACTTGTCTTCCTCCTGTCCTGGTGGGCTTCTGCCTTCTCTCAGGCTTTCCTGATTGCTCAGCTCTGAGGTACGCGGCCGTAGGAGCCCCTCTGCTGCCACCAGTGCCGGTCCCTTTAAGAGTCACTGCCTCGACAGCATCCAGCACAAAGTGAGGGTTCTTTGTGCCCAGCCTTGGCGCACTCTCCCACCACCCGCCCACGGCAGCCAAGGTGTACCTCCCTGTTTCCTCTCGACAAGTGAGGAGAACCGGCTCTGAGCCTAGAGCTCCTCCGGGGGCTTGTCACCACAAAGCCGTGTTCACCCCTAGCTCCGGCCCGGGTGTTGGTGGCAGGGAGCAGGTGGCTGTCATTCCCAAGCTGAAAATCTGTGTGTTCAGGACCTAATTCTTCTCCCTGATTTTGGGGGCTCTTGAGATGAAAGTCCTGAAAGCTTCACATTTTAAATCACTTTCATGTATTTAGCACATTATCCCTAAAGAATATAGTCATGCTATGTCTGGACTCTTCTGGACAACCTGGCCTGTTGGTCCACTGGGTGTGAGGCCAGGAGTCAGACAGCAGCTGACATCAATAGGGACTGATGGCTGGCTCTGAATTCCTCCTTGAATGACCTGGGTGACAGCGGTCTCCTAGGATTATAGGGGACAAACATGAGTAGACCGAAGGTGTTCAGAATGGTAAATGTTACACTTCTTACCTTATTCTCTGCTTAGACCCGACCAGCAGCTTCTCATTCCCCCAGAGCAAAAGCCAATCCCCTTCTGTGACCTGCAGTCCCTGAGTCCTGGGCCCAATTAATCTCCCCCCACCTGCTCCACCCATGCTGGGATGCCCCGTCATGCTGTGAGCACCCTGGAACGTGCCCTGTATGCATCCCCAACTTGCTGTTCCCTCTGGCTTGACTTCTCTCCTCTCCTGTGCCCCCAGGCTTCCCTCCCTGCCTCCTTCACCTCTTGAGGGTACTTTATTCAAATGTTACCCCTTGGAAGGGTGTCCTCAGTCTTTACACCTTACTGAAAGTTTTTCCCTTCCCTCAACATTTCATATTCTGGTTCCCTTCTCTCCCTGCCCCTGAGCTCTTAACATCATCCAATGCTGTAGAATTTACGTGTTTATTTCCTTCTTTGCGAGTCTCTAGAAAAGAGCCCTCCTCGTGGTAGGAGGTCAGTAAGGTGATGGACAAATGAGGGCGCAGGGTGCTCGTTCCTGTGTCTTCTGCCCCTGACTCTTTTTTTTTTTTTTTTAAGATTTTATCATTTATTTTGACAGAGAGGAGAGAGAAAGTGTGTGTGAGCGCATAAGCAGGGGGAGTGGGAGAGGGAGAGGCAGGCTCCCCTGCTGAGCAGGGAGCCCGATGCGGGGCTTGATCCCAAGACCCTGGGATCATGACCTGAGCTGAAGGCAGATGCTTAATGACTGAGCCACCCAGGCGCCCCTCTGCCCCTGACTCTTGAAGGCCCAAATGCCCGGAGAAGCCAAGTGGGATGCTGCTGAAGGAAGGGGGCTGGCGGTAGGGGAACCAGGGGGTACTGACCTGGAGAGCAGGTGACCCTCCACAGGATAGCCTGCCCCTCTCAGCTCCAGCCCCTTCAAGCCCAGGCTGGCCAAACCTTCTTATTTTCAAAGGAAAAAAAACAGGCAGATCGATGGGCATCTTGTCTTCACACGCTGGGCACTTGCCAAGTGAGCTGTATCTGGCCGTCTGTTGGCTGTGACCTCTGGGTCAGCGCAGGGTTGTCTCTCTTGACTGAAAGATGACAGGCAGAGGAGCATGGCTCTGAATGGACTTGTGCGTGTCATAGATCTCACTCGCCAGGAAATAATGGACCTCAGACACAGAATCGCTGGGCCATCCATCAGGCCTGGAGTTTCGGAGCTGTGAGTCGCTTGGGCATGGCCCCTGTGATTTATGATCTCACTAGGGGACCTTGAGAAAGATATATCCCTGCCATGCATCCTGGGTATAGTATCAATTTAATTTTATACCTCTCCAAAGCCAGAAGCCACCCAAGATGTGTTTGCAGAGTAAATTATGGGTGAGGCCAGACACCAGAATGGAGCTGACCAGTCAGAGTGACAAAGTGGAACCTGACTCCGGCCTGACCCCAGTCCTCGGCTCGGGTTGTCCTGTGTTCAGCGCACTGCGGCTGAGCACCCGTTGCGTACCGGGAGACTGATTAGTCAGGGCTTGCGTGGAGCCCCCGCCCGACTGGTGCACCAGGGAGAGGCCACACAGTCAGGGGAGGCTGTACACTCACAGGGGAGGGCCTGTAGGCTTTAAAATTAGACCGGCAGAGTTCCCAAAACCTGTGTGACCTTGGGCAAGTTGCTGAATGTCTCTGAGTCTTGACCTTCCTGTTTGTGAAATGGGGATAATATTGTTGCCCCAAATGCCTGTTGGAAAGATCCAAGCATGCTTGGCACAGGGTGTTAATGTCCTTCCCTGGGAGCACGGGGGGGGGGAAGGGCATTAGTTTTCCACCCAGGTTGCTTCTAGAGGAAAGAGTGGGGCATCTAGAAAATGCCACTTCTTGTCCCTGCGCAGAGTCAACAGCTCCTGGCTCGAATCCAGAATTGTTACAAGATCCTTTGCATCTCCAGGGGATTATGCTGACCTGAGTTTAAAATATGCAGCATGCTTTGGTTCAGTGTTTGGGGGCAAGAGAGCTAGGAGGAGCTGGGGAAGAGCCCTCCTGGCACCCGTCAGGAGTTCGGGGACAGCCTCAGTCTGGATAGGTGAGGCTAGGCTGCAGTAACAAGCACCCCCAGATCCCAGTGCCTTCCCACAGCACAGTTCACTTCTCCCTCATGCCACATGTGCATCATGGTGGTGGGGGAGGGACCAGGCTTCGTGTCACTGTTCTCTTCCTTCCGAGACACAGTTGGTGAGACAGCCACCATGTGGAACATGGCCAGAAAGAAGGAGAGCCTGGCAGGTTGCTTTGCCCTGGAGGCATTTTAAGTCAGTTTCCCCTTTCACCGGTCAAAGTGAGTGACATGGTCACTCCTAACTGCAGGGGCCCAAGAAGTAGAGCCCTGGCTTCTGGACCCGTGCCTGACAGAGAACTGGACACACTGGTGACCACTGCAAGTGACTGCCCATTTCCCGACTTGCACGTTTGTTTTAGTGAGCCGGGCTCTTTAAAACGATCTCATATGACCCTTACTTAAAATGGAGTCCTGGGAGGTGGGTTCTGTTATGATGCCCACTTCACAGACGGAGGAACTAAGGCTCTGGGAGGTGGGCAGTTGCCTGGGTGGTGAGAGGTCGAGGTTTGAGTCCAGGCAGTGGAACTCAGATGTCTATGTGCTTAGGGTCCCTGTTTTGTCCCCTTGCCATCTGGGCAGGGAGCAGAGGGGATGAACCAGTATCTGGGAGGAATGAGGCCGGCTTGGCGTGGGTTCTAAGGGGTGGATTTGCTTGGGGAGCAAGAGGTAGTGGTAGAGTGGTTGTAATTAAGGGTTTGGAACTGAACCCTGAAGGTGTACCATTCATTTCCCGAGTCGCCTTTGATTTGTTCGTTTTCTTCCCTGGGACTCTGCTTCCTCACCCTTAATATGGGGATGACTCCTCCCATCTCACTGGGATATTTAAGGATCAGGTGAGAACTTGGCTCCAAGAGGAGCTTTGCAAGCTGAATGACTCTGGGACATTTTAGAGGTTGTACTTGGTGTTCCTGTTAAACCCTTGGGGGCGGGGGTCATCCTGGAGGAGCTGGGCGTCCATGGGCCAGGGAGGAGGTGGCAAGGATTTGGGAAGGTAAGGCCAGAGAGGAAGCAGAGCAGCCTGGCTAAGGTGGTGGTGGAAGGGGGATGGGCTCTAGGGCAGGGTCTCCTGACCTTGGCACTCCTGACATTTTGGACCAAATCCTTACTTCTTGAGGGTTGTTCTGTGCATTGTGGGGTGTTAGGCAGCATCCCTGATGCTCACTACCCACTAGATGCCCATTGCAACCCTTCCCCCCCACCCCACAGTTGTGATCATCAAAAAGGCTTTCGGACATCGCCAGGATCATGCTTGGGGGAGCAAACTTTTTCCCCCCTGAGGACCACGGGCTGGAGTAAAAGGCCATGTTGGACAGGGCTATGAGGCATCTTGACGGCTGGGCAGCATAGTTAGTGACTTGGCCCACCTCATCACCAGGCCCGGGGAGCCCTGAAGGCAGCCAGCCAGGTCCAGAGTGCCCCGCGCAATCAGGAGCAGCTGTGCCCGGTTCTGGGCTTGGCCAGGATGTGGGACTTTTACCTCTTGCAGGTTCCGGTCTCCAGCCACCGCAACCCCCTGCTGGACCTGGCCGCCTACGACCAGCAGGGCCGCAGATTCGACAATTTCAGCTCTCTGAGCATCCAGTGGGAGTCGACCAGGCCCTCGCTGGCCAGCATCAAGCTTGAGCTGCCCATGCAGCTGGTGGCCCAGGGCGATGGGAGCGGCCAGCGGAAGCTGCACGGTGAGCTGGGTGGGGAGCCTGATGACCCAGACCAGGAGTACAGAGTGTAGTGAGACCCAGGGGGATGGAGGGGGCACTGAGGAGGGCTGGTGGCAACTGTGGACCCCACTGGATCCCTCTTGCAGGGCTAGGCAGACAGGCTCAGGCTCAGGGCAGGGGAGTGTCACGTCCCAGCTTGCACAGATCAACCAGCCTCCGAGACCCCTGTGGCTCTGAGCCACGCGCCTTCCCAGACCCGTGGGCAGCCAGAAGTTGCGGCCAGCGCAGCTCCCCGAAGCCGCACTGTGGCACTTTGCTCAGGGTCTGGTAACTCTTACGGTGCATACAGTTGAAACAAACTCGCTTATGTATTTTTAGGACCAGAGATTTAAAACTGCAAGTCGGAAGGAGGGAGGGGCTGCTTCACAGGCGGCAAGGGGGCAAAAACCCAACATCCGTTCTCTCCCTGGACTCAGGTTTGCAGGCCATCTCGGTTCACGAGGCATCAGGGACCACAGCCATTTCCGCCACCGCCACAGGCTACCAGCAGTCCTACCTCAGCACGGCCAGGGTGGAGCAGTCGGTATCTCCCCGGGCCCCGGGCAGGGTGTTCCCCCTGCTCCTGCTCACGTCCTGCCCGCTCTCTGCGCGTCCCGAGCCCCCGAGCCCCCTCCGTTCACCAGCCCATCCCCAGTCGAGTGCCATGGGCTCACGTGAACTGGGGTGCCTTCCCGCTGGCCTCCTGCCTCCAGCACCCCCATCCCCCACGCCTGGCACTCAGGCAGCTGGTGGGATCCAACTTAAAGGCAGTCAGTCTGGCCCTGGCACCTCGTGGCCCTGCACACAGCTTTGGGAGCCCTCGTGCTCATCCGTCCCGCCTCTTCTCCCGCACAGCCCTGACCTCACATCCCACCCAAGGATGTGCCTCAGTGGCTCGGGCCTCCGTGACTTGGCACCCAGAGTCCCCACTGCCTAGAAGGCCATCCCCCTCCTTCCCTTCACTCCTCCCTACCCGGTGGCCTCCCGCTCATTAGTCCCAGCCACAATGTCAACCTGTCTGCAGAGTGGTCCCTGAGCCCAGGCACCGAGTACCTGCCCCCCCACCCCCCGGCATGGTATAGATGCCCCCCGCATACACACTGTTGCCACCGTCTACATACACTTGGGTCAAGGCCTATTGAATCCTCTCTCTCTACCCTAGCATCTCATGGCCCCCCCGCAGAAGCACTGCTTGTGGGTGAAGTGGGTACATACAAGGGGGGCATGAGAAGGGCTCCCCAAGAGGGGTCTTGCCTGGATGATCCCCACCCCATGGTGAGGGAGGGGCAGCAGTCAACTTGGGTTTTGTATAGGACGAAGGCAGGAGATGATGGCTGGAAGGAGAAGGTGGGCCTCGGTTCCAGGAGACCCTAAATGCCAGGATAAGGAGCTTGAAGTTGTCTCCTGGGTAGTGGGGAGCAAGGGAAGCATTTGGAGGGGGTGGGACTCCAGTGGGAGCAGCACTGAAGCTGGCCTGGGGGTAGGTGGCCCTCAAGGAGTACACCTGTATGCCCCTAGTGGCTCAAGCCCTGGGTCATCTGTCCCCACCTGCACAGGGAGTCCCTTGGCTCTGGGTGGCCTCATGGGCCTCCCCCTTCAGGGCCTTGGCACCTAGGCTCTTTGGCCTGTGGGTTTTTCTCTAGTGATACCACCCACACCTTCACTTCCTTGGTGTCTGCTCACCTGAGAGTCCCCCCCATCCCTAACCTGCCCTTCACTGCCTTCACAACCCCCCCAAGCTCTGACACAAGTCCTTCATTTACTTTCCCTTCTAATCCTGACCTCCAGTAAATTTGCATCATTGCTGAGGGCAGTTAGGGACCCCCGGAGGCTAGCACAGTGCTGGGCACAGGGGAGGTGCTCAAGCACGTGAGTACACGGCAGGTCCGAGCTGGGGCGGGTCCAGCAGTCTCCCTTAAGGTACACATCGCAGCATCACGTACTCGGATACGTGCACCACCCACGGGGGCAGGGGCCGTGCTTGTTCCCTTGTGAGCCCACCATGAGGACGCCCCTCCACTCAGCGCCTTTGCTGCTTGCCCAAGCCCCGGCCCCTCACACACGGCTCTGCAGCTGGTCATCTGCTGTGTGCCCCCGCTTTCCTGGGGGGTGGTGAATCGCCTGCTTCACGGGGCCTGGCAGGTGGGGTGGGGTGCCGGCCTTGGCAGAATTACCGGATGTCTCAAAGGGATGTGGCCTCTTGTCTGGGCTTGGAGCATGATGGTTTTCCCGGGGCTGTGTCCCCAACATAACAAGTATAGGGTGACGCCAGGACCTGGGGTTTCTAGTGCTGCCCTTATAGGGGTGAGGCCCGTGGGCTGGCCCAAGGTTGGCCCATTGTCTTGGATCTGATGGCACTGCCTTGCCCCTACAGTACGACCCTCTCATGCCCGTGTCAGCCTCCATAGAACTCATCCTGGTGGAAGACGTGAGGGTGAGCCCGGAGGAGGTGACCATCTACAACCACCCCAGTGTTCAGGTACAGATTCTTTTCCCTGCCACGATGCTACTTGGGCGTGGCCCACAGGGGCCCCTTCGCTTCTGACACCCAGGCTGACCCCTCCTTGCAGACCGAGTTGCACATCAGAGAAGGCTCTGGCTACTTCTTCCTCAACACCAGCACCGCAGACATCATCAAAGTGGTCTACCAGGAGGCCAGGGGCGTGGCCATGGTGAGTGCGGGCCCTGTCCCTACGCTCCTTGCAATTCCTCATCCGGTGGCCTTAGGTTTAACAGAGTGGTTATTTCCAAAGTAGGCACTTAATCACATCAGATGCAATTAGCAAGGTCTTTAGAGTCTGTGATTCATCGTTTGTGAAACTTTCATCACTTGTGAGCTACCTTTGTGACTTTCATTCCACGTCTACAAACTACCCACACTGTTAGTTATTAACTAGTGGTTTCATGTCTGTCAATCTTTTAATTAAAACATGATTATATAAGTAGCACTATAACAATGATAAGGAAGATTGCTTTTGAAAGGTATATTGGCTTTTTCTGTTCTTCCATATTCCTTTCTTGACCCTCTCCCTATTCTGGCAAATACTGACTCAGCTATGCCCACAGTATGGAAGAATTTAGCATTCTGTGTTTGTCAGGGGTTGCACCCTAAGTTTTTTCCCCCATGTTGCTATGTAGGCTGGCTGATTTTTAAAAAATAGATTTTTTAAAGATTTATTTATGTATTTTAGAGAGAGAGAGAGCGGAGGAGAGGGGCAGAGGAAGAGGGAGAGAGAATCCCAAGCAGACTCCATGCCGAGCCTGGAGCCCGATGCAGGGTTCGATCCCACAACCCCGAGAACATGACCTAAGCTGAAACCAAAAGTCAGACGCCTAACCGAATGTGCCACTCAGGTGCCCCTAGGCTGGCTGGTTATTTTTATGTAGTCGTTTGTACTTAGCCATTCTCTCTTTGTAGAACATTTGAGTTGTTTAAATCTTTTTGTTTTTTAAAAATAGCCCCATAAAAATCCAAATCAAAACCTCAATGAGATACCACCTCACACCAGTCAGAATGGCTAAAACGAACAAGTCAGGAAACGACAGATGTTGGCGGGGATGTGGAGAAAGGGGAACCCTCCTACACTGTTGGTGGGAATGCAAGCTGGTGCAGCCACTCTGTGTGTTGTTAGAGGCAGCATGAGGGTTGCTAGAAGTCTGAGATCATAGGAAATGGTCCCCAGAGCATTTTTGTTCCCTTTATAAAAGAAAGGATAATTCCCTGGCCATCCCTCCTGCCATGTAAATGAGTCTTCACTGTCACATCCTTCATATTAAAAGGAAAAGCTCAAATCATAAATAATTCTGACTGCTTGAGACATGCCTTGCTTTGCTTTACTTCTGGGGATTTAAAAAGAACTCCCCTGTTATTAACAGGGTGCCTGCATGGCTCAGTCAGTTAAGTGTCTGCCTTATGGCTCAGGGTGCAATCCCAGGGTCCTGGAATCGAGCCCTGTGTCAGGCTCCCTGCTCAGCAGAGAGACTGCTTCTCCCTCTCCCTCTGCCCCTCCCTGCCGCTGGTGCTCTCTCTCTCATGCGCTCTCTCTTTCTCTCTCACATAAATGAATAAAATCTTTAAAAAAAAAAACAAAAACTCCCGGTTGTCAAGAAGAGAGAAGCTTCAAGTTCAGAAAAATGTGTACAGTACCAACAATACTTGGGGACCCCTTTACTCACATTTACTTCGCACCTTACATTTTGAGTAAGCCTGGAGGATGGGCCTGCAGCCAGAGAGAGAACTCTCCTCCAAGAACAAGAGCTTCTAAGAGCCCTGTTGGACTGGACTGCTTCAATAGATAGTGAGTGCCCTGTCTCTGGAGGCAGCCAAATAGGAGCTGGGACACTTGTCTGGAAGACTCAGGATTTCAACATCAGGGTCAGGTTTCCCCAGACCTCGAGCCCCTGTTCAGTCCCACAGTGCTGCAGTACTAGGTTTATCCCTGTGCCATCCCTGTCAGCAGCAGATGCTAGGTTTCTCCAGTCAAGACAAGTATTTGTGTCCCCATTCTACAGATGGTCCCAGCGAGAGCCACAGCAGTTCTCTGGTTGTGGGCTGGCCCTTGCTCATGTGTCTCATCCCACCATGGCTCTTGTGGAGTGGGACAGAGCGCCCGGGGCAGGCACGATCCCCAGGACAAGCCAAGCACTATGGGAAGCACCAGCAGCCTCCCATGGGGCAGACCCCCCACAAGGGGTGTTTAGGAGGCACCTTGACCCCTGGGGTCTCTGCCTCCCATCGGCTTGGGCCTGTGCGGAGACCATTGCACCTCGAGATGGAGATTGGGTTCTGGTTCCCTCTGCCTCTTCTGTAACCTGCTGGAGGAATTTTTCATGGAGCATTGACAATCGGTGACAGATCCTAGCAGCTTCTCTCAGACAGTTGTTTCTGAAGGACGTTTACACATTTCTTTGGCATTTTCCTGCTGCTCATTAGCAACATTCTCATTTCCCTTAATCACAGAGACGAGAAAGCCCACAGCGGTTCTTCAATTAGCTCATAGAAAATGTTTCTTTCTTTCCTATTGATGCACATTCGGGATGCAAGAATGGCTCCTGGGTGTGTTTCGGCTTCTGAGTGTCTCTGGAAGGTAGCTGTGGTACTCACACACCAGGGCCATTGTGGGGCTAGTCTGCCCACACAATGCATGAAGGGCTGTGCTGATTTCTGCTCACACATACCCCAAAACTCTCTGCGAGGGGCCTTTATTTCATTTTTGGCTGGCTTTTCTCTAGGAGTGCTTACCTGATTTAAACTTAGAGTTTCTTTCTTCTCACCCATTCTTTCCATTTCATATCAAGTCCTGCATGCAGAACCCATGTGATTAGAAAGGCAGGGGGAACGGCCCACTGTGTGCCAAGCACCTCGTACCTTTAAGTAATGCATTCCTTCTGCAAAAGACTGGTGCCGGCCCAGGCACTGGGAGTCAGTGGTGAACAAATCACAAGCCACAGTGTTTCTCTCCGTTTCCTCCATCCTCTGATGCATCGGCAGGCATGGCGACATTGTATATTCGACAAGTGCATCAGGAAGGAAGATGGGGAGAGTAGCAGGGGGCGGCCACAGGCTTTGAACTCGGTGTGTCCTGCTTTTTCCCAGAGGTACCTGTCCCAGTCCTGGCCCAGCAGGAAGCCTCAAGGCCAGCTGGGGTCCCTGGATGGATTTTCATCCAGCCTCCAAGCCAGGCCTCTTCCCCATGCCTGTGATTTCCCTGTGTTCGTGGTCACCCCCTGCAGGTCTCAGGGACGTCTCACTGGGGGCATGGACCCCAACACTTGCATGGCGCGGCCTGACGCGCCCCCCCCAATTGACAGGCACTCCATAATAGGAAATGGGAGCTGAAGGGTCCTGTGACGTCTGGAAGTATTTATAGGGTCCTTACTCTTCTATAAATGCCACCTGTCAAGGGACAAGCCTGAAGCGTATGGGGACCCAGGGAAGCTCGGAGCCGAGCCGGTGCGGGCAGAAGCTCGGGGCCGGGCGGGCGCGAGCGGATATCACGGTGTCAGCCAGCTCACGAGCAGAGCCACCTCAGGCTCCACCGCCAGGGTCTTAATGAGCAGTAATGTATTCATCGTCCCTGAAGAGATGACAGGACTTTCCTCTCGGCTCAGTATGCCCTGAAGTTCTCACTTCTCACTGAAGTTCAACACTTAGAAATTAGAACTCACTCTGGGCCTGGAGTGTCTCCTACTCCTCTCCTTCATACACGTTCCCCCCCGAATGTCAGTCAAGAAGCAAGTGGGTCCAAAATGCCACGAGAAGCAGACAGGCACAGTCCAGAGTTGGCAGTGAGGCCGGTCCCCGCTCGGCCACCAGTGGCCTGGCAAATGTCCCCCTTCTCCAAGAGCGGTTTTTCTCCCAGGTGGCCCGGTGTGCTCTCCCTTGAAGCGTTGCTCAGCAGGGGTGAGGTGAGCCACTGTATGCCAGCAGGGGGGCAGGCCGGGGCACGCAGCCTCTCCGCGGATGGCAGATTGATGCCAGTCCTCCACGTCTGTCATCCAGAATGCGGCCAGACGTCCAGCCTCTGGGAAATCAAGTGGAAGACAGAATTGATTTCCCCTCGCCATTTTATGTCTTTGTTTAAAATGTGCCAAATGGTCCTTTTGAAGGGGAGGAAAAAAAGAACAAGAAAAAGCCCTCTGTGCATTCCCCTGCGTGGGTCTATCAGCCGCCAGGGCAACATGTAATTTCTTGGTGCCATGAAGGATGCACCGGCCCCTGACAGCAGGAGGAATAGATTGGAGCCTCGAATTCAGTTTTCAAAGAAAGCTCTCATTTCTCTCTCGAATTTTTAAATGCGTTTTCATTGAGGGAAAAGGAATAAGCCAGGGTGAATCATCCTCGGCAAAACTGGAGACCTGGTGCTTCCCAGAGCCCACTCCTCGGCCTGTATTTCATACCAGACCTGGGTGGCGATGGCTCAAATTGCCGAGGCATCGCTTTGGAATACAACCATGATTTCCACTCTGGGGTCTTTGTTAATCGACTTTTAAGTCATCGTGTGGAATAACTCGGGCATGCCTCATCCGTGTTGATGTGCCCTTGAGCTCAGTGATACTGACAGAGTTTCCAGCTTGGCCGAGCTTGCTAATCCTCCATGCCCCCAGCTAACTGTGGGTTTGGGCCTCTGCCTCAGCTCTGGCCTTTTCCTGCCCTGCTCTCCTCCCCTGCCCACGGTTCCGTTTTGGTTGCTGGGGGCATCCTGTTCTGGCAAGTGGCAAAGTGTGGTAGAAGGAGCCCTGAACTGAGAGCTCGGGCACCTGAGTTTCCTCCCCAGTGCTGCCCCTTCAAGGCTGGCTTCCCACCCTGTGTGGGCCTCAGTTTCCCCATATGTGCATTGAGAGTTGGACCACAACCAGCATCTCCCAAAGAGATGAGGGTGTGTGGGTTTGCAGACTTTTTTATTTTTCCTAGAATTTCTAGGTCTTTGCAAAGCTAAAATTAAAGGTAAGCAAGCAAGCTGGAGTACCAGGTTTCTTTGCCATAACTGTAGTGACCTAGAGCTGTGACCCTGCATCTTGGTCTGATCAATACATGTTTACTGGGGGGTGAGCCTGTGCCAGACGCTAGGCCCAGCCTTGAGGCTGTAGCTGATGAGAAGACAGCCTGGGGGAGGACGGACACTAGACTGTGGTCTCTGTCACAGCCCAATTACAAGCAGTAAAGCTGCACTAGGAGAAGTGAGCAGAGGTAGCGGGAAGCCTTAGCTATCTAACTGGGGAAGACTTTCCTAGGAAGGATGCTTGAGCAGAGGCCTGAAGGATGAGCAGGAGCCAGCAGGTGAAGATGGGGTGTGGGGGGGAAAATGCCCCAGATTGTTAAGATGGGCTGTGTGGCCCTGAGGCAGGCAGGCCCTAGCTGGCTTTGAGGAACAGAGCAGAACGGTGGCTGGAGCCTGACAGTGGTGAGGGAGCCTAGTTTGCAGTGACATTAGAGCCATGGGCAAGGGCCGGCTCGTGTCAGGTTCTTCTAGGATGTGGGAAGGATTTGGACTCAGTCTCTGGGCCACCTTTGAAGGATTTTAACCTGGATATGATGTGATCACATTTGGCTGTCTCCTTAGAGTCAGAAACCTGCTTTTTCCCCCGACAGGTTCTTGATGTTGACATTCTAGCCTTGTAAGCACTGAATCACTGTAAACCTCCCCTCCATGCCCCCCGCCAAATGACTCTAACACCACAAACTGCAGCCAGCAAAGCCAGGGCCAGACAGAGATGGGAAGCAGCCCTCTGGACTCAGCCACCAGCTCCGTGGTTTGCCCCCCACCTGCCCAGCCCCCAGACCATCCAGTTGAGATACATGCCTAAGCAATATAACACATCACGGCAAGTGCGTGTGCAGTATGAGACAGTGATTGTGGTGCGGTTCATCTGGGGAGAGATGCTTCTGTATGTGGGATCCCTAAAGCAGATAGGGAAAGAAGTAGGTTTAAAATGAGGGAGGTGGGGAGTCTTTGCAGCAAAGGCTGGAACAGGTTTGTCCACCTACTCAGAATGTTCATGAGGTCGTCTCTACAAACACGGCCGAGGCAGAGATGAATGTCGGGAAGAATGAGACTCAGAGTGAATACTTGAGACTGTGGTGGCTTCTGTGGTCTGTTTCCAGGTTCTGAGATTCTGTCAGGTCAGATGAGGACTCCTGAGTGAGGGTTCTGTTCAGAAAGGAGTTATGTCGTATATGGCACTCTTCTATTACCAGAGCTGCAGGGGCAGGCGGCCTGCACAGGAGACATGTATCCTGGGTTTGAGCCCCTGTGTGTGTCCCGTGGCCACTGACTGCCCTGCTTTGAGCAACTTCCATTTTCTCCTTCTCATAAATTGTACCAAGTTGAAGTAAATGCTCTCCGAGATCCATCCTGGTTCTACCATGTTACATTTCAAGCCCTTCCCCTGGCTGGCAGAGGGGGCTCATAACGAGGAGTAGGCAGGGCAATATCTGGGTTAGGATTTTCCTTGTCTGCAGCTTCTGAGCCCTGGCCTGGAGGCCTCCTCAAGATGGCATCCCATGGGTGATAAGCGGATGCCACGAGCAGCTGCAGGACTGAGCACCCCCTCCAACCTTGCAGGTGCACCCTTTGCTCCCGGGCATGTCGACCATCATGATCCATGACCTGTGCCTTGCCTTCCCGGCCCCGGCAAAGGCTGACGTGTACGTCTCAGACATTCAGGAGCTCTACGTCCGCGTGGTTGATAAGGTCAGTAACAGTTCCTAATAGGGCCCCTCACTGCTGGTTCACAGAGACGGGGGAGTGGTGAGGTGTGAGAGTTATTTTCCTCATGCCCTTTGCTCTTTCTCCTGGTTTCTGAGCCCCTGTACCCGGCTCCTGAGTTGCTTCGAGCTTCTAGTGCTATCTCGCCTCCGTCCCTCCTTGGGCACGATGTGGAGCAACCTTTGTGTTTAGACTTTTTTATGCCAGTTGACATCAGGAAAGCTCAGCTGTAAATCCTGCCCGAAGTTGTCTCCTCCTTAGCCCCAACTTGGGAATTCCTGTCCTCTAGCTGGTGTATGTTACTAACCGACACTAAGCAAGGCACACAACTTGCTGATGGTGAATTTTCCCCCGATATGTGGGTTTTGGATTCTTGGGAATCTTAGTGGCAAATGAGTAAAATGCACTAATGCCAAGTGCTTTTGGAAAAGGAATACATGATAGAATCTTTAATTCTTTAATGCAAATAGGGAATTTTTATTGCTCCAAATACCTAAAGGAGCTGCAGCTAGGCTTACAGAGGGTTGCTATCAGGTTCCTAGTTTCCTGACTGGAGAGAACAGTTAGTAATTAAAAGGGGAATGTTTGAGCAGCTTAGAGTACTTGAAAAGCCAATATTCTCTTCCACAGCCTCAGATATTCCTTCTGTGGTCCTATTTCCTGATCAGACTTCTGTTTCTTCACTAAGCATTTCTGACGCTTCGTATCCCAAGGTTCTTACTGTATGTATTATATATACTACCAGGTGTGAGCTATTTGGTCAGTGAGCACTTATTGAACTCCTACTGTATGCTATTCTGGCTGCATCTTATCACTCTAGATTCTTAGCTCTTTAAGAGTGGGGAGTATAATTTATGTGTCTGAGTATCCCCAAAGCCCCTTGTATACAGGAAGCACTTAAGTGATATTCATTTGTTGATTGGCCGATTATCTGGAGCTCAACCTGGGTCTGTGGGTTTGAGGTTAACAACGCTTTGGCAGAAAGCCTTGGAGTGCTACCGGTGATAGAATTAGTCACTCAGAGGCTACCCTGAGTCTTTGTCCCCCACGATGTAGGTGGAGATTGGGAAGATGGTCAAGGCATATGTCCGCGTGCTGGACTTTCACAAGAAGCCTTTTCTGGCCAAATACTTTGCCTTCATGGACCTGAAGCTCCGGGCGGCTTCTCAGATCATCACGTTGGTGTGAGTCCTCCCAGGGGGTCCAAGGAAGCCATCTCAGGGACAGCACGGGCAGGTTGAGGGGAGAAGTCCCAGCCCTTCCCTCTGTTCCAGGGCCCTCGATGAAGCCCTTGACAACTACACTGCCACGTTTCGCGTCCATGGCGTGGCCATTGGCCAGACCAGTCTCACTGCAACGGTGACTAATAAAGCTGGACAGCGAATCAACTCGGCCCCACAGCGGATTGAGGTAAAACTGTGCCTCCTCCCACCAGGTGGGATCCATCCAGCCCTCACTGCCTGCGTGCATGGAGTGGGAAGTGTGTCGTTTTTGTGATGGGCTAGGAGTTCTAGGGATCGTCCAGGAAGCTGCCGTGGAGAAACCATATTAAAATCTCTGCCCTGCCATGTCCTCTGACTCAGAGAGAGCTCTCACCAGTCCCAGCAGCAGAGGGAGGGGCCTGAGGTACTTTAATCTCCCTCTGTCGGCGGGGGGGGGCCAGGATGTGGCTCAGAGAAGGGGGGAGCTGCTTGTCACATGGCCGGGGAGTGGCAGAATACTCTTTAAACCCTTAGGTGCTGAGAAGGAGGCAGATTAGGCTCACGTGTAGAAGCTCATCCCGACAGTCGGTCCGAACCAGCCCTCCGAAGCCGTGGGCTTCTGTTGTGGAACCCCCTGAGCAAGCAGGGAGCTCCGGGGTCTCCTGGGGTCATCTCCGTGTGTCACTTGGGATTGTCTTGTGGCATTAGGTTTGCACAGGAGCCTCCCAGTCCTCAGGGGCCAAGGCAGCCATGGCCCCACATTCACATCCAAGTTTCTCCTTAACCCTCCTGCCAGCGTCCTCCATAGGTCTTGTCCACACAGGGGCTGGCAGACTTTATATTAAACTGTTCCGGAGCTGGTGGTTGTGGTTTGTGCTTCTGGATGGAAGGGCTCCTTTCTTCTGGTGAAGAATTCATTTCTGCCTATAAATAGCACAGCCCTACAGAGACTAATCCTTATGCATATGCACTCACCGTCCGGACTCTTCCTGCTAGGCGGGGGCTGGCAGGAGGATGATGTTGGGCCTTCCGTGCTGCAGAGACAAGGGCATCCTTGTCCCTGCCCCCCCAAAACCCCTCTTTCTTCATCTAAGAAGTTTTGAGAGCATTGAAGAAGAGAACTGTTCTCGAGGGCAATTTATCAGTAGAAATTGGAGAAATGCGATGAAAGGGAGAAAACCTTGAAGGCATTGGAATGTGAACTTTGCTGTGCATCAGAATCCCCTGGAGGACTTGTTAAAACACAAGTTTCAGGACGCCTCCTCCAGTTCTGATTCCACAGATTGGGGTGGGCTGGAGAATGTGTGTTTCTAATGGTTCTTAGATGACGCTGATACTGCTGGTCAGGGGACCACGCGGTGAGGACCGTGCTGCAAGGGGAAGTTTTATGTGAAGAAGGTGTGTTTATCTTCATGGGGCTTCAGGTCTGGGGAAACGAAGCTTGGTTACAAACAGCGGAACATGCCCTTAGGAATCGCAGATCCTCAGGCCCCTGCGCAGGCTGAGATCCTGGGGAGGGGCGCTCAGGCTCCTCCCAAGCTGGCCAGGACCCCAGGCCCTCCCCAGTCGCCTCTCACAGAGGAGGGATGTCCAGGCACCACGTGTCCCTCTCCCTGAAAACATTCAGGGTGAATTCTGCCCAGCCGTGTGAGCTCGGAACACAACGGCCCACTTCTCTCTTGTGTTTCCACACGCAGGTCTTTCCCCCATTTAGGTTGATACCCAGGAAGGTGACACTGATCATCGGAGCCATGATGCAGGTAGGAGCCAAAGGCCACATGCTTGCCCATCCCCAGCCTTGGCCCCTGCCTGGCTCCAGGCATGCCCCCCACCCCACCCCCAGGCGTCAGGAGGCTAAGATGGAGAGCTCGGGGGTGTTGGCACCCTCGCCTCTGAGGGTGAGGCGTGGGGGCTGATTGGGCACTGCTGTTTCTCCCCATTCCAGATCACCTCGGAGGGCGGCCCGCAGCCCCAGTCCAATATCCTCTTCTCCATCAGCAACGAGAGCGTTGCTGTGGTGAACAGCGCGGGGCTGGTGCAGGGGCTGGCCGTCGGCAACGGCACAGTGTCTGGGGTCGTACGGGCTGTGGACGCTGAGACTGGCAAGCTCGTCATCGTGTCTCAGGTAATGCGTGTGGGTTGCACTGACCACGTGTGCTTCTGAAGCCTCTAGCGTTGGGGTGCACTGCAGTGGTGCGCTGGTCAGCTGTGATGGTGAGGAGGTCTGTTTACTGGGGTCGGGCTCTGCTCCCAAGGACCCCCTCTCTGAGGGCCCTGCTTCTGCCCTCTGAGTCCACAGCCCCTGTGTGCCACCCGCCCCCTCCCAGGGCCAGCCCGGCCGACCTGGGGTCCCCCAAGATCCAGCTCCAGACTGAGTCTCCCTAGCTGCTCCTTAAGGGACAGGGTCTCCAACGCCGTCCCCGCCCTGAGGACGTTCCAGTGCACGATGGTGTCAGCAGCTATGATGGTGGACTCTGCCCTGGGCACTTTACAACCTGCCCCCTTTAGTTCCCTCGGCACCCCTGCCCCCGGGCATTTGCTGCTCACCTGTTTCCTGATGCCAGGCCTAAGGAAGAGCTAGTGGCCCAAGGCTTGGGATGTTCATATGGAAGAGAAAGGATGCTGTTGCCTCCAACATGCTTTGTGGATTGCAGTATGAGTTTCCAGGGGCGTGCATAGCTTGGCTACTGTAAGTGTGGACAGTTGGACACCAGTAGGATTTCAGACCCAGAATTGTATTTCTAGGAAGAAAGGAAAACCTGAATCATGCACTAGTCACTTTTGCTCCACCTGAGGTTAAGTTATCCCCCAAGCCTCTTGGCTGGACTCGGGGACATTTGCAAAGTGCTTTTCTGGATCAGCAGAGATGTTGGAAGGCTCAGCTAGGGGAGCCCTCCCCACAGCAGGGTCTTCTTGCCCCACATCAGCGGCCCTGACTCCAGGCAGGAGAAAGTTGGTTTCTTTTCTTGTGTGTTTTGTTTTTTTGTGTCTGTTTTTTTAAAGATTTTATTTATTTGACAGAGAAAGACAGAGTGAGAGAGGGAACACAAGCAGGGGGAGTAGGAGAGGGAGAAGCAGGCCTCCTGCCGAGCAGGGAACAGGGAGCCTGATGCGGGGCTCGACGTGGGGCTCGATCCCAGGACCCCGGGATCATGACCTGAGCCGAAGGCAGACGCTTAATGACTGAGTCACCCAGGTGCCCGTTTGTTTCTTTTCTTTTTTTTTTTTTTAAGTAGGCTTCACACCCAACGTGGGGCTTGAACTCATGACTTTGAGATCAAGAGTCGCATCCTCCACCGATTGAGCCAGCCAGGCGCCCTGAACATTGGTTTCTAAGTCTGATGGTGCTCCTTGTTTCCCGGGGGTGGGCACCTCGTTGGGCTCCTCACAGGAGATGGGAGATGGTCTCCACGTCCTGAGCAGGCCTCAGAGTGCTTGGGCTCTCCCTGACATCCTGTGACCACAGTGACTTGTGGAAGCATCTCAGGGGAGGTGGCCAGAAATCTGGGCTCTAATGTGACTACGGACAGCCTTTTCAGAACCCCGTTCCCCTGTTCCTTGTCCGGCATCCAGGGCTCCCTGGAAGGAGTCCGTGAGCTCCTCTGAGTTCACCGCATCTGAACACAGGGCACCCAAGGGAGCTGGTGTGTGCATCGTCCTAGAGAAGGGGAGGCTGATGAGTCCTCCTTCCCAAGGCTGACTTTGATCCGACATTGAGTTCATTGATTTACTCCCTTTAGCAGAGTTGTAGTGTCTCTGCTTAAACCACCAAGTCTTTTTGAATCATGGAGGTAGATGCCCTGATTCTGCCTATCGATTTTATAAAGACGGCAAGAAAGCGTTGAGAATGTGAAATCTGTCCTGTGGCATATAGCAGGATTCAGATAGATGTCCTGGAGAATAACATGAAGGACCAAGGAGGCCTTGCTTTTTTTTTTTTTCTTCTAAAGAAAGGACTGTGGCTTCAGGAACTAGTTTATTTTCCTCCTCCTGGGGGCCCAGGTAGCTGAAATGGCAGCTGGCTGCAACTTCGGCCAGAGGGGCAGACAGCCATGCATTTCCCTCCCGGCCACTTCTCTTCCTGGTCTGACCTTGCCAGGCCACCTCTCTCTGTGTGTCTCCCATCTGGCAGGGTGGGAGAGGAGCTGGGGGAAGGTCCTGGTGCCCCTTGGCAGATGGAGAGGCTGTGCCACTGGTCCTAGCCGAAAGCCATCTTCTTGAGCCCAGGCAGGGGGGTGCTCAGCTTGAGGCCCATGTGTCCACAGAGTGTATGGGGTTCTGCTCCGAAGCTCCCAGTTCCATCTGTCCAAACCAGGTCACCGATTCAGCACCCATGGCCGGGGTATGGGCCGGGACTGGCAGAAGGAGACCAGGCAGTTAAAAGGGCAAAGGGAAGGAAGGGAATGGATGTTTATTGAGTACCTACTAAATGCCAGACATTAGCCCAGATCGCAAGACACAGGAGGCGGGCTCAGTATGAGCCAATGCAAATAAGGCTTAAGGGTTTTAGTAGCCTGGGTTCAGCAAGAGCCAATAGCACTATAAAAAAGCCTAATAAAGTTAATCTTTGTTTTTAAGATTTTTTTTATTCATTTGAGAGGGAGAGAGAGAGAGCATGGGCAGGGGAGAGAGGCAGAGGGAGAAGCAGACTCCCTGCTGAGTTGGCAGCCTGACATGGGGCTCCATCCAGGACCCTGGGATCGTGACCTGAGCCAAAGGCAGATGCCCCTAAAGTTAATCCTTAACCAGATTAATTAGAGTATAGACTTCAGAATGAAAGGATATACAGTCTACTCTAACTAGATTCTGTGTACTGCATTTGTCACAGTACCCTGTTCACTTACAGAGAAACATGCTAGATCTGGGGTTGGGAGAATCTGAAATCCTCTCCTGTGAGGGCCACCCCAAAGAGCAGTCCCCAGTCCCTGCCCCCAAGGCTCTGGACTGCTGACCTGGAGCAGCTGATCAAATAGGCCTCTAGGCTCAGAGGACCAGGCTGGGACCCCCAAGGAAACGGGAAAAACAGTGGCCAGTTCTCTGTGGGGTGAGTCACCCACGGGGCCAGGCTGCCTTGGGAAGAGGAGCATGGTGCTGGGCATCTTGTGAGTGCCTCCTGGCCGCAGGACTCTAAGCTGGCTTCAGCAAGATCCTCCTTCCCTGGAGGGGTCCTGTTGCGAGCCCCTAGTCCCTACCGCAGCCAGCCTGAACCGCAAAGCCCTTTCCCTAGGACCTCGTGGAGGTGGAGGTGCTGCTTCTGCAGGCCGTGAGGATCCGCGCCCCCATCACTCGCATGAGGACGGGGACCCAGGTGAGGCGGGAAGCTCTCCGGCCCCTCCCATCCACACTGGCTGCCTGAGCAGCTTCTCTGCAGATCTTGGGCTCTGAGTCCTTGGTTTGGGATGAGGTTGGCAGGGCCATGGCTAGGTCACTGTTCCCTCTCCTGCTCAACAGCTGCTGGTCCATGGGTTCAGCTCCAGCTTTAGGAGCCTTCCCTGTGTTTCCTGCTTTGGGCCCCTCTGTTTTCTCTGGCACAATTACTGAGCAACACCTGTGCCCCCCCCCCCCCCCCCCCGGCCGGGTCCACCAGCTTCCCACACCTAGAATAGCACCTGGCACATCACAGGAGCTCACGTTTATATGGCGGGTACTCTGCTCCGTGCTTTCGGTGCAGCAGTTCCTTCAGTGTTCATTAACCCTTGAGGTTGCTTCCCGTGTCATCCCTCTGTTATAGATGAGGATGTGAACACATGTGGAAAGCTTACGGCCTTGGCCCAAGGTCACATGGCTAGTAAGTGATGGAACTGTAAATTGACCCAGGCAGCCTGGCACAGAGTCTTTTCTTGGCTTTTGGCAGTGTCCCTCCACGTGTTTCCCCTGGCGGGCACTCAGGAACCTCAAATCCCACCTGTGCCCATTCCCCCATGAGCAGGGACCCTCGGCTGGGTTGAGAAAGAAGAACAGAAGCAGGGACCAACCGCAGGGCAGGATGAGCTGTGCCACTTGGGAGGCTGCAGGCACCCTGGAGCTCTGGTCGGGGGGTCACATCACAAAGAGGGGGTCGGTCAGCTAAGGTGAGACACCGTCCACAGCCCAAGGACTGTGTGCAGAGGGGCCGGTTCTGTCTTTTATTTGATCACTGGCTGTTCTGCCTGCCCTCCCCACACCTGTGCTGGGCCCATCTCTGGTGAGGGAAGGATGGGGCGCAGCTCCCATGGCATGAAGGAGACAGGAAAGGACCCAGGCAGTGGGGAGGTCAGGCAGTGCCCCAGGGCTTTGGGGGGCACTCTCGGCAGGGGGACTCCAGTGGTCACGGGCCTGGATTCTCTCCTGCAGATGCCTGTTTATATCACCGGGATCACCAACAACCAGAACCCTTTCTCCTTTGGCAATGCTGTGCCAGGCCTGACCTTCCACTGGTCTGTCACCAAGCGGGACATCCTGGACATCCGAGGGCGACACCATGAGGTAACTGCCCACCCTGGGCCCCCTTTCTGCCCCCCCATGTGCGCCAGTGTCCGGCGCAGGGAGGGTTCTCCCCATATTTCTGCATGTGGGGTCTGCACCCTCACTCCCAGGCCAGTCCTGGCCCCATTCTTTCTCTCAAGGCTCAGCGGGACACCTCGCAAATGCTGCCACCACACCATCCTCCCTGGTGTCCTTCCTCCACTCCCAGTCCTCTCCTGTCCAGGAATCTGGGCTCCTAGCTCTCCCTCCTTGCAGAGCTTTCCACTCTAAGCATGTACTTGCTAAGCGCTACAGACGGGCTTTGTAGGTAACTGACTTCAGAAGGCAGCAAAAATGACAGCCTTGTGGGGAGGTCACAGAAGTTCCAGAAGATCATAGGGTCTTGGTCAGGGTACCTAGTCTGTAACTTCTGACCTTCTCTCTCAGGTGATGCCTGGCAGCCCTGGGGCTTTTTCCAGATTTACCCCTGAGGGCAAACTCCCCTCCCCTTAGCCCTTCTGAGAGGGACCCTGGCCTTTCCTCAGACCTCAGAGCTGGAAGAGAAGCTACTGACCCCCTCTTCGTGTTGACTGGAGCCCATCTGTGGGAAGGGACTTGGTGTATGTCACCCAGTGAGCCAGTGGGGAAATGGGACAGGGTGCCAGCCCTGGTGACTCCAGTCTGCCACCCCTGGTGGGCCGTAGTCATGCGGGACCCAAGTGGGGGGTGGTTTGGGGATGTTTCTTCTTGCCTTATCTGTGCACAGCAGGGAGGGGGTGATTGGGGAGGGTGGTATCCCCGGGACCAGGTACTTCCCCAGACTGTTCCTTAAGCACAGACATGTCATGTGCTGGGCTTTTCAGGCAAACACTGCCAAGCCTAGCATCCCTCTTGGTTCATCGCCCACTCCACACACTAAAGGCTCTGAGAAGGCCTGCCCAGTTGGGTTGACCCAGCATGACCCACTTGCACCTGTGAACCTCTCCATGCTGCGTGGGTGCTGGGGTTAGCGGGCCCCAGCCAGAGCGGGGAGGCAGCAGGCTTTGAGGACAGGCAGGCAGCTGTCAGGGGTAGAGGGCCCCAAACCTTCCCTGAGAACGTGTTTGGTGTCTGTTCCAGGCTTCACTACGGCTTCCGTCACAGTACAACTTTGCCATGAACGTGCACGGCCGAGTGAAAGGCCGGACCGGGCTGAGGGTGGTGGTCAAGGCTCTGGACCCCACCGCCGGGCAGCTGCATGGCCTCACCAAAGAACTCACCGATGAGATCCAAATCCAGGTAAAGAGCAAGGGGGGCAGAAGCCACCGTTAGAGGGAAAGCAAGTGCTCCCCCCCACCCCAGGGTCATTCAGGCCCACATCAGCCCTGCTACCGCCCGTGCACCTGATGACTTCTTGGCCTGCAGGGATCAGGAGTATATAAGGTGCTGTGGGAGCCCAGAGTTGGGGCTGCCCGGGGCCCTCAGGATGGGGGCGGGTGGCCGGCAGGCCAGGTGGAAGGAATGGTGTGTACAAAGTCCTGGCGGTCTGAAATAGCTCAGTGTGATCCCCAAATAGCAGATAATTCTGCACTTAGAGTCTGAGGCACCTTCATAGTAGGAAGAAGCTGGAAAGTCATGAAGCATTCATTGAACTGTGTTTATTTCACAAATACTCAGCACTTAACGGAGGCAGGCTTGCCTTTCACCACTTCCCAGTGTTGTTTCACCTGGGAGGTGTTCCCATGAAGCCAGCAGGGCGCTGCTGCCTGATGATGAGTCTGCGGCCCGAGGGGGTAGGGGTCAAAGTGCCCCTCCAGGTCACGGTGAGTGGGTGGTGGGCCCAGAAAGGCCTGGAGGGCTGTGCTGTGTGGACGGCCTGGCAGACAGTGTGATCTATTGATTCACAGACGGAAACCGAGCCTCAGAGAGGGAGGGGGGCTGCTCAGAACCCCCAGGGGTACACCACTGAGTCAGGACCTAGAGCCCAGCGGTTCTTCTCCCACCTGGGGCTCAGCACCCATGTTTCTCTCTCCAGCCTGCCCTCCTACCTCCCGTGTCCTTCGGGGCCCCTCTCTAAAACTAGGGAAGGGACAAGTTGCTTCTGAAGAGCATTTTTAGCTTCACAGGGCCCTGTTCTACTCATCTGGGACTCAGTAACCTCTGGGTCCCCCTAAATTGCAAAGAAAAACTGAAAGTCGCCCTTAAATATCATGAGAAAGAAACAGATTCAAGCCTCCTCTTCAAGATGAAATAAGCCATTTCTAAACTAGACACTTACCTCGTCAGGGGTAAAGATTTTCAAAGAAAGGAACACCCATTTAGCAACCCCCTCACCTCTGTCTGCATGCATGCATGCACACGCAGACACACAAACATACACAGACTCACAGACACATACACACATGCACATGTACGCACACTGATACAACGCATATATACACGCACATACACACATACTTGGATAAATACAGTTATACAGACCCAAATACAAATATACATTCTTCCCAGTTAAAAATAAAATGAAATCATGTCTGGCACCTCTCATGAGATTAAAGACGGGGCTTTGTAGCTTTCAAATTCTGTGACCTCACTTGAGTCACTTAACATCTTTGTGCCTCGGTTTCCCTAGCTGACAGCAGCTGGAGGTTTGAGTACATCCGAAACTTCGAGACGCTGGATCTAGCCCACAGATGTATTTGCTTTGGTTCATGCAGTGCTCTGAAACAATTTTTATTTGTTGCCAACATTTAAAAATAGGAAGATGTTGTCTAAAAACCCAGTAGGCAGCTTGTCCTGAAGATGGGGCGTCTTGCCACGTGGCAGAATCAGCAGGCGATGAGAAGCAGCCTCCCCGCAATGGAGCCGGCCCCACACCTCCCCGTGATTGTCCCCCAGGTGGTGAGGCCACGGGTCCGTCGCTGTTGACCCTGGTGCTCGCACTGTTGCTTTCCTGACACTTGAGTTAACAGGAAAGTTAGATCGCTCTTACACCCTCCCCTCCCTCTAAAGAGGGGCAAAAAAGCACATGCATTTAAGAAAAACAGGAGGAAACCTATTTGTGGGTGTGTTTCCTGTGCTGTGTGTGTGTGTCCAAGTCAGAACCAGCGAGGCTGCTCCACCCTGGGCACCCCCTGCCTGGTGGAAGGACCCCCTGAAACCAGAACCCCATCTCGCTCCCAGAGATCATTTATCATTCACCATTTAGGAAGTGCCGCTCACGTTGCCACACAAATCCCACAGCATTTTGAGACAGACATGGCAAGGATTATGGTTTTAGACCCATTTTACAGATGAGGAAATCTAGGCTTATTTATATGATCAGAACCCAGCAGTGCTGGGAGGGAAGGGGTTTCCTTGGAAAACCAGGCCCTTCGCATCCAGCCCGTCTGATAAGATCAGAAGCCAGAGGGGGAGCTCAAAGCTGGGTTCAGCATCCAGGCCCGGATGCCAAAGGAGGTCCTCCCAAGGCCCCCTAGAGAAAGGGACTTGGAAGGGCGGTGGGCAATTAGGGTGCTTGTCGGGAGGGGTCTGGAGTTCCCGTAAGAGCTGCGACCCTGGGCTGGGGAGCTGTGGAAGGCCTCGGAGCTCCTGAGAAGTGAGGATCAGATTCGATCTGATTCGCTCCAATACTACCAGGTTTCTCATGGGCCAGCCTGGTCCAATGACACGCCCCGCCCCGCCCTGTGCAGCTCCTGGGAGAGCATGGCGAGAGGGAGGAAGATCAGGGCCAAGGGGCGGATGGGACTTACTCCGAGATGGGCACAGTGAGGAGCAGCTGAGCCAGACCCTGAGCCCTGTAATTTTGTACACTGCCTTCTGTGCCCATAAAGATCTCCCCACCACGGGAACTTGGGGGGCGGCCCGTGCTCCCTTGTTCCATGAAGCAGCCGCCGTCGGGCTGCGCAAACATGAGCCTGCCGCTTGTTCTCATCACACCTCTGGCCTCTCTTAAAAGTCCACCCTTCACATCCCATCCCCTGACGCCTGGCAGGTGCCCACAACAGCGTTCCTCCTTTCTGGGCCCCATTGGTCTCACTGCCAGGAGGGGAGCAGGGGCCTGGGCGGGACTCCAGCACATCCCAGAGAGCAAACCTTGCCCTCCATTCCAGGTATTCGAGAAGCTGCTGCTGCTGAACCCTGAAATAGAAGCAGAACAAATACTAATGTCACCCAACTCATTTATAAAGCTTCAGACAAACAGGTACGTGACTCAGCGCTTGTTTGCAGCAGGGCTGAGAAGCTGCGCTCCACATCCGACGACTCATTTGTCAAAGTTGTCAGGAGCCGCGGACGCTTCAAGAGAACTGCGTCTCTCTCGGTGTGAGTGGGTGCGGCTTCTGCATTCCCCTTTCTCTTCCCCATGGATTTCTCCTGCTGTTCCACATCACTGGTCCCCGGGGGTCCATCTTTCCTTCCCTGTCACCTAGAAAGCTTTTAATGCCTACTGCTCAAGTCCGCGACTCCAAAGGGAAAAAAGTACCACCTTGGAAGAGTTAAATTTTCAGATGCCCCTTTGTCTTCAAGACTTGCTGTTCGGGGGGTATCATTCCTGAACCAGCAGCATGGGCATCATCTGGGAGCATGGTAAAATGCAAATTCTGGGCCACAACCCAGACCTGCACTCAGCCAGATCCCCACTCGGTGGGGACGTACATCAGTGTCTGCAAGTATAATTCCTGCCTTGCATTCACGTGGGGTGCCTTTGGTAGCAATGACTTGCATGTGAACTGTGGTTTGCAAAGTGGGGGGGCTCTGAGGACCCCAGGGGTACTTGCATGTTGCATGAAACACATACATGTGGTGTTCGTTCAGCCACAGTGTCTAAATGCCAGGCTGTGTGCTAGGCTCCTGGAACAGAGTTGGATGACATTCTGGTGGGGAAGAGAGGAGTACAGCATAAAGGCAACAATCAAACAAGGTATAATGGTTAAGCCATAGCCCAAAGAAGGGCCTTCTGTGTGATGATTTAGGGGAGTCATGTCAGATAGAGATGGTTGAGCTGGGTTTTTTTTTTTAAGATTTGATTTATTTATTTGAGAGCAAGAGAGCTCGATCATAAGCAGGGGGTAGGGGTAGAGGGAGAAACAGGCACCCCGCTGAGCAGGATGCAGGGCTTGATCCCAGGACCCCAGGACTGTGACCTGAACCGAAGGTAGACACTTAACCGACTGAGACCCCCAGGCGCCCCTTGAGCTGGGTCAGTTCATCCTGAAGGATGAACAGGACTTCTGCAGGTTCCAGGGAAGGGGTAGTTGATGGGGGAGAAAGTTGAAGCAGAGGCAATAATACTTATTTAACGTTGTCTGAGGAGGGTCTGGAGGGCTGCGTGCAAAGAGCAAGGTAAAGGGGCTAGCCCTGGGGGCTGAACACATTTCCTTCCTGTTGTTTCTTTATTATATAATAAATGTGAGAGTATAAAATACTGTAGAATTTGTCTTCTACCCAGTGCAGATCATCAGTAGCTTTACGAACCATTTTCTGAGCAAGTAGCCCATTTTCATCCCATTCCCTGCCCTTGGAAATAGGACAGGGCAGGACCATTGCTTCCCTTTTTACAGTTGGGGAAACTGAGGCCGAGAGAGGAGACACGAGGTGCTTCAAGGCATGCAGCTGTCTGCGGGGCGTTGGGACTGTGGTCAGGATCTGCCCAACTTCGGGCCCCATCCTCTTTCCGCTGTGCCAGGCTGCCTTCTGTCAGTAAATGGGAAACCGTTTGCCCCAGAAAAGATCTTTTACAGCAAAAGTCCCATGCAAGGGATGAGAGCAGCTTAGCCCTCAGTCTTTTCTCGCAGAAGCAGTGCTCTCCTTGGAACCATCAGTTTTCCACATTAGGTTTCCCATGGGTGGCTGAGGAGGCTGCAGTCAGGCTGCCCACCTGGGTCCTAATGAATAGCAGAGCCAGGATCAGGTTTTTCCTTCTTCCAGGAGCCCTTGGGAAACCCAGATGGCTGCATCTCAGGGCAGGGATGCTGGTCCCCTCACCAAGACCTGCTCCCACAGCCACGCTCTGAAAAACTGGTCTGTTTGTTTTCCCAAGGGATGGCGCAGCATCTCTGAGCTACCGCGTCCTGGATGGGCCAGAGAAGGTTCCCGTGGTGCATGTGGACGAGAAAGGCTTCGTGACATCAGGGTCCATGATCGGGACATCCACAATTGAAGTGACTGCCCAAGAGCCTTTCGGGGCCAACCAAACCATCATCTTTGCTGTAAAGGTAGGCTCGTGTTCTCCTCCTTTTGGAGTAATGAAAGCAAGGGCGTTGAGGTAAAAACGTTCCCCTCACAGTTGTAAAATGGATCTATTCACCTTCCAGCTGAGAAATTGTATGGAAGAATTTATTGAAGAATAACTTGGGGGCAAAGGTCCTGGAGGAAAAGCTATAGCATCTTCTGAATGTCAGAGCTGAAATTCCGTAGAGGTTATTGATTGCAATGGCCTCATTTCACAGAGTGGGAAACTGAGGCCCAGCGAAACCTGTGATTTGCTGGGGCTGGCACCCCCGTGTCCTGACAGGACAGATGGTACCTGGAGCATGGTCGGTGCCCACGAGCAGTGACTGCGTGTGCTAGACACCCAGCGCAGAAATCATTGCATTACGTACGTGGTGACTAACCCATTTTACAGGCAAGGAAACAGACTCCTAGTGGAAGTGAGTCACTCTCGGTGGCTGCGAGGCAGGGTCGGGCCCTAACCCACGTGGGCCTGACTCAGGTTTGTGTGCCCTGGCCTCAGCACAATGCTTACCATGCCCCCCCGCCATTCCGTGCTCCTTTGTGCTAGGGACTTTCTCCTTGGGCGTCCTTGGGTCAGGTCCCCCAGATTTCCCACCTGTACCTCCTCCTAGCCACATCCTGAATCCTGAGTGACAGACGAGATGCGTGACTTCAAGTTTGCGATCCTGCTGGGGTCACAGACCTACTTCCTTAATTAATGCCTTTTTGCTTCAAGGTGGGAACCCTCCACCCTACTCTTTGAGTAAGTAGAAGTGACTCACTGCTCACCCTACTTCAGCAAATATGTATTGAGCACCAGCTGTATACCTGTCACTGCACCCACTGATCTTTATCCCAGAAATTAGGTCTTTTGAGGGGGCGAAAGTTCTGGCCAGGATAGATTTTACTCGGAGTTAAGGGACCAAGGCCTCCATCTCTGGAGCTCGGGTTCCCTCCTCCCCATCCTGCTTTCCCTGGAGCATCTGCAGGCTCCCAGCAGCTCCCAGTTAATGCCTCCTCTGCAGTCCAAATGGGCATTGTTTCCACTTAAAACACCCGGAGAGCCAGGTTTCCCAGAGAAACCAAACATTCAAAGCCCAGGGGATATTTTTGCAAATGTGAATAATGATCTAATTTTTCAAAGCCATGGGTTTTGACTCTTGTAGGTTGGGTTTTTTTTCGTAAGCCCGGCCTGCTGTGTGGGGAGGCAGGAGTCTCATCACTAGGCTGGGACACTCAGGAGACCAAGGCCTTTTCTCTTTCGTGACCCCCGAGTCGATCCAGCTCCCGGTCCTTCCTGAGGGAGGTGACCTGCCTGGGGGCAGATGTCTCGTCCTGGGGAAGCTGGTTCCCAGGGTGGTCACCACCACACCTGCTCACTATCCTCAGGTGTCTCCAGTTTCTTACCTGAGGATCTCCATGAGCCCCGCCCTGCACACCCAGAACAAGGAGGCTCTGGCAGCCCTGCCTTTGGGAACGACTGTGACCTTCACGGTCCACTTCCATGACAACTCCGGAGACATCTTCCATGCTCACAACTCGGTCCTCAGCTTTGCAACCAACAGGTAGGCTGTGGGTGACCCTCATTTCCCACTGGAAGGCGTTCCTCAGTTGTACCTGGATGGCAACTGGACAGCCTAGTGCCACTGAAAGGAGACTTTGTTACCTGCAGTCGCCAAGAGGAGGGGACGTGCCACACTTCTAGGGCCACAGGGGGAAGCCCTGGGCTCGGCCAGGAGGCAGGAGTGAGGAGAAAGCGGGGCCCAGAGCGTTTATTATCATGTGGCAGGAAGCTATCGGTAATGTGCCCTGTTGGCCAGGAGGCGAGACACAGTGTCGGGGTTGGTTCTTGAAGGGCTTGTGGTAAGACTTGTGTGTGCCTGGGAAAGCCCCCCGCAGGGGAGACGCACACGTTCCAGCGCCCCGGTGCCGGTGAGGAACAATCACTCCCCCTCCTGTGTCTCACTGATGCCTCACTATAGCCTATTTGTCAAGGCTCAGAGAGGTCAAGCCACTTGCCCAGGGTCACACAGCCAGGAAGTGGGTTTGAATACCAGGTCACATCTGGTTCCACGTGCAATTCATTTTGGCTCTTTGGAAATACAGCTGCAGCCACAGGCCTCATGTGAGGCGAGAGGGTGCTCTCCAGAGCAGGAAGAGAGCCGTGGCCTCAGTCTGGGCCTGCTGAAACCTCTGACTGGGTCTGCTGGAACAGTGAGTCTCAAAGCGTGGTCCCCAGACCAGCAGCGCCAGCAGCACCTGGGAGCCCTTAGAAATGCAAGTGCACAGGACCCAACACTCTGTCTTTTAAGGAGGCTTCCAGGCAATTCTAAAGCTTGAGAACTACTGCCCCAGGGGCCTGCAGACCAGCTAAAAGCAGAAGAGAGAGGCATCAGGCACAGGAGGAAGGAGGGTCTTGGGCAGGGGTGCTAGGGAGCATGGGGGGCAGAAGATTGTATCCAGGTGTGGGTGTCCGTTGTAAGTTGGCCTCCCCACAGGCCTGCGACAGACTTGTCCCCTGTTGCTCACATACCTGGGGCCAGGCATGGGGGACGTAGCATGGTAGAAGGACCAGGGTTTGGGGTTAGGTCCAGTTCAAGCCCCAGCTCTGCCCTTTGTGGGCCCTTCCTAGGCAAGGCAGCTCACCTCTCCAGGCCTCCGTCTCCACACCTGTTGTGTGGGGAACCTGCCTCGTCCTCAGGGCCATCAACTGAGGCCATAGTCGCAAAGGCCTCTGGCAAACCGTGGAGCTCCGTGCACGTGGTATGGGCCGTGCATCTGTCTGAGACCTAGGCTACCCTGGAGGAAGTGGAGGCGGGTCCTCCCAACCCCTCAGCTACCCCACAGAAGTCCCGCTGGCCTTTTTGTGGTGGGAGCACCTCTCCTGGAGACCAGTCAGGGCTCAGGGGTCAGAAGGCACGGTGGAGGAAAGGGAGGAAGCCAGAGACCCTGCCCCTCAGGCCAGCCAGTCCAGGCCTGGTGTTGACCAAGCACTAACCACGTGCCGGCCACTGGTCTCACTGCTTTATAGCCACCGGCCTGGTTTCACACTTACGTCAAGCCTGGGACGCGGGTACATTCTCATCCCCATTTTACAGAGGAGGCAGGGGGCAGAGGTCGTGCCTCCCGAGAGTGTCCCAGTTCACTGTTGGGAAGGGATTGGCAAGCGCTTTGTAGGCAAGCGTTTGCCCTCCGGCCTCAGCCTTCCCCTCTGGAACGTGGGGGATGTGCGCCGGGCCACCCAGCTGTGGGCCATGGGCTCCTCCCAGGGAAGAGGAGAGGAGGTCAGGTTCATGTGGCCTGTGGTGGCCCCAGATCTGCAGCAGCTGCTTGGGAAACTTGAGCCAGGGGACGTCTGGGGCCACGGTCAGCAAGAAGCTTCACCGGGCAGGGGACTCAGTGTGTTTCTCCCTCTGAAGTCGTGCGCGCCTTCCCTGAGACTGAGAGCCTGCCTCCCCCTCCTGTGCCTAGAGATGAGTTTGTGCAAATTGGGAAGGGCACCACCAACAACACATGTGTCGTGCGCACCGTCAGCGTCGGCCTGACGCTGCTCAGCGTGTGGGACTCGGAGCACGTGGGCCTCTCCGACTTCGTCCCGCTGCCCGTCCAGCAGGCCATCTCCCCGGAGCTGTCCGGAGCGGTGGTGGTGGGGGACGTCCTCTGTCTGGCCACAGTCCTGGTCGGCCTGGAAGGTAAGAGAGGTGGATACTGGCCGGGGAACCCTTCTGAATCCAGGCAGTCACGAAGATGGGAGCGGGCTCCTGTTGTAAGGGTAAGACAAGCCGAGCTCATCGGAGGTTCAAGAGCAGGCGTCAGAACCCGTGTCCACAGCCCGACACGTGTCCCATCTGGCCCTTTACCGAGCAAGCCTGCCAGCCCTGTGCTCACATAGCACTATTTGGTAGAAGTTTCTGCCACTGCGGAGATACCCTGTATCTACCGTCTAACGCGGGGGGCACTCACAATCCAACCCTGGAAATGTGGCTAATGCGACGAGGAGCTACTTGTTTCATTTGAATGCATTTCGTGGCTAGTGGTTACAGAGTAGGACAGAGTACCTCCGAAAGGAAATGTAAGCAAAGAAGAGCTACTGGGCCCGTTCCACGATTTCCAGATTTCAGCCGCTCCCACACCACTTGTATATCCATGACCTACGTTACTTGTTTTGTTTCAGGTTTTCCAAGTGACTCCTTATTTTTTTAATCTAATTAAATTCATTTTGAAAGGAAGTTAACCGCTGCCCTTAAAGAAAAACAAATCTAATGTGCCAGAAATAGAATGTGGTTGTTATTTTGTGGTATATATTCTATAATGTGATTGGCTTTTAACTAAGAAGTACTGTCCAGCACTGGCTCTTGAGCCTGACACCAGCTTTGTTTGACACAGTTGGGGGTGGGCAGGGGCGGTCCTGTGGGGAGGGCCTGCTCCCAGGTCATCCCAGGACAAGGGAATGATCAGGAGATTGCAAGCAGGGAGGCAGTGGAGAGAAAGGAGGGCCAGAGGTTCACTCTGGGCAGGGTGGCAGCTGTGCAGCGAGCAGGTGACCTAGACCTGCAGGTGGCCCCAGGTGGCCACGGCCAGGAGCCGGTGGGGGGCGGGGGAGGGCCAAGCCAGGGTGCCGAGGCCAGTGGGATGGCTTCTACCCTGAGGGTGACGAGTGAGCCCCCAGGGCAGCAGTGTAGAGCATGGGGCTGGGCGGGGCCCCCAGGAGGCTGGCACGGTCACCCAGGGCACAGGGTTTGGCCGCAGTTTCGGATGTGGGAACGGTGAGTGACAGCCAGGGCTTCCTCTCCCAGGCCTCTCTGGAACCTGGAGCTCCTCGGCCAGCAGCGTCCTCCACATCGAGCCCAGGACAGGCGTGGCTGTGGCCCAAGAGGCGGGATCTGTGACGGTTTACTACGAGGTTGCTGGGTACCTGAGGACCTACAAGGAGGTGGGGCTTCGGGGCATACGTGGCTGACCCACTCGGGGTGAAACCCTTAGCTTTCTATACTGAACACCTCCCTTTTCTCGAGAAAAGAAGCGGTAGCAGCTTGCCAGCGGTCAGGATCCAGAGTCAGGAGTCTGGGTTCCGCTGCCTACTGCCTCTGGGATTGGAACAAGCTCCCTTTTCTGCACAGGCCCCCGCCTCCCCACATTCAAAATGGTGCCATGACAGGGGCTGATGTCCTGGGGTGGCTGCCCCCCCCGCCCCCCGGCTCCCATGCACTCTGGTGGAAGGGCCGGAGCGTCCCCCGGGGGCGTCTCCCCAGGAATCTCGGCGTGGGCAGGCCAGCACGGTGATGTGGCGTCACCAGCAAAGTTAAGCCTCCCTGGCAAGTCACCTCTTGACGCTTTCTGGAGGCGAACAAAACCGTTCTCTCTTCTATTTATCTCCAGCTGAGAATGAATCAATGAGCAACGTCTGGCTGTGTTCCAAATGTGCCTCATTTTAGAGCCAGCGTGCACGTGATCGAATCCAGCAGTTTAAGCTAATAGCTCACATATTTAGTGCTGGGGCTGTGCAGTGGGTGAGCCGGTCCCAGAGAGGGGCACCTTGTGACTGATGAAGCTGTGCCCTCCCGGGAGGAGCCGCCAAGAGTGGGCAGGGGCTGGGGCGGTGGGGAGCTGGATGAGAGAGCATGGCATAGCCCTGGTGGCCGGAACCTAGGCAGTGGGGGGGAATGGAGGCTGGCATTGCAATCGTGATCCACCCTGGGTTCCAGGTAGTTCTGTGGGGTGGTTAAGCATGTGAGCTCTGGGGCCAGGCTGCCTGGGTTCCCATCCCAGCTGGGCCGCTGAGAGGCTGTGTGGCTTCGGGTAAGTTATTTCCCCTCTCTGTGCCTTGGTTTTCCTGTCTGTAAAATGGACAGAAGAGTGTTGTTAAGGATTAAAGGCGCTCACATATGTGAAACATTTAGAATGGTACTCAGCAAATGTTCAGTAGGTATTAGCTGCAACTGTTACTATTCCAGAGCAAAGAGGTGGAAGCTTATGCCAAACCCAGGAGGGATTCATCAAGGATTTTTTTTTTTTTTTTTTTTTACAGTAGAGAGTGATCTAGATCAGAGGTAAGGTTTAGAACGGGTCCCAGTGCCTGGCAGTCTAAGAGCCCAGGAGAGGGGGAGGAGCTGCAGGGTAGCCAGCCAGGGGGCTGAGGATGGGCCTTCAGCTGGCACTGTTGGGTGGCCAGAAACTAAGGGTGGGTTTGGGGAAGATTAAGGAGGGGGGTCACCAGAGCTTGAAAACCATTTGGAAGTAGGGAATGAGGGAATAAGAGGCTTTGGGGATGACTGCCCCGGGGTCTGGCTTGGATGACAAGGTGGATGTTGGTCCTTCACCCTGACCGGAGGTTGGGGGGGGAGGTTAGGGATGCAGAAGGAGTGGCCAGCGTGGGTGGAAGATGAGTGAGTTGAGACATGGCCAGCTTGATGTGGTTGCAGCTCCTCTATGTGGGGCTGATGGAGAGGCAGCAGGTGTTTCTGGAGCTCCGGGGCAGAAAGCTGGAGATGGGGTGGGGGTCTAAGGACAGAAATGGTTCTGGAAGACCTGAGAGTAGATGGGAACATGCAGAACATACCAGAGCAGGAGGGGAGAGGAGCAAGGCCTTGGGCCCCCTCTGCAAGGTGTGAAGGAGGAGGAAGAGGAACGGGGAAGAAGACGGTAGCATGGTGGTCAGAAGGAGTCCAGGAGAAGATGTGCAGAACTAGGGCCGGGGTGCAGGTGCCTACCAGTGAGTCTGGAGGTGATGGGGCCAGCCTGTGGGCCTGCCTATGCTTCTGTGTCAGCCATGGCCCTGGGAGCTGCGTGGGCTTTGGGGAGGAGTGAGACCCCATCCCGGCTCTTAGGGAGATCACGTTCCTGGGAGGCAGGAAGTGCTGAGTGCCTGCCCAGAGGTGGGTAGACAGACTTCCAGGTAGAGGGGGTGACACAAGCTGGGCCTGCAAGGGGTCCGGCTCTGATGGGGTTAGGCTCTGCAGGGGAGGGTGGAAGCTTAAGGAAGGCACACAACTGGAGGGGTTTGGGTGTGGCCAGTGCAGGATGAGCAAAGGGGATGGGCAGGGAAAAACCTGGGAAGACTTGAGTCTGGGGGAGCCTTCCCTACTCAGGCTGTGTGAGTTGCATTTTAGGGTGATTTATTTTGAATAAATGACAGTAAAGTAAAACAGCGCCTTCGCTCTTTGCCGAAAGACTAATTAACCAAACTGATGAACAGAGAAGTGATGGCAACCTCCACGGGAGCCAAGCTCTGCGCCTCACCCCAAACCATTGAATGAATTCAGGCCTGCCGTTCAGCTCATGCTCCGCTGTTCAGGAAAAGCAGCCTGTTCAGCGGGAGAGGGCAAGGCTGCAGAGTCTGACTGGTCCGGGGTCTAACCCCAGCTCTACCACCTCTGGACAGGTCTTCCAGATGTTGAGCCTCAGTTTTATCCCCTGTGCAATGGGCCATGCCCATAAACAGGCAGCAGGGTGAGGTCAGGAAAATGGCCGGCATGGAGCCCACACGTGATCGGTGCTCAGTGTAGCTGCCTCGGCTCCCTCCCCAGATAGTGATTGGTGTCCCTCAAAGGATCGTAGCCCGTTCCGTCCGCCCAGGCCAGACCAGCTTCCCGGAGGCCTCCAAGGTGACTGTCACCGTGGGAGACAGAAGCTCTAACCTGAGAGGTAGAGAGTGAGGGGCTTGCTTGGTCTGGGGGAGGGGGGGAACTGGGCTCAGGGACTCTGCTGCGGTTTTGTCTGCTTTTCCCACTCAAACTCACGCCAAAGCCAGAGAGAGCATTTAAACCCCTGCTGGCCCATTCCCTCCAGCTTTTTAGAAATCCGAGTCCTCCACAAGCGGAGACCATAAAAAGAGATCTTCCTAAAAGAGCCCGGCACCCAGACACGGCCTGTGTCTGAGCTGGAAATGCCACTTCAGCCCTAGGGCACCGAGTAAAGAAAGCCACACGTCACCCCCACTAATCCCAGAAAGTAATGACTTAGCAGGCCTCACTGCTGATTTTGATTTCTGTAATTACCTCTTCCAAGTCATGCATAGAACATTCGACCCTGTCCCCTGCCTATGACAGCCCTGGACACCAGCTGTCAGAAATAAATACATCAATACGGGCTGTTTGGGGGTTGGTTTTCTTTTTTTTTTTAACCACTTAACTGGTAGAATTAAATACGGCTGTTCTCGTTCTGATTGATGAGGCAGCTTTACTGCATCCAGTAACCTCTGTTTTCCTACCTCAGTGCACGGGGACAGCACCGTGCAGTTGCAGAAATGATACTCAGTGTATTAGTGGGGAGCTGTTGCCCTCCTGATGTCCAGAAATAAATTGCCCATTTTCCCCTGCTGACAGGAACAGATGACGTGCATTAGTGGGCCAACCCATCTGCCGGGCCGCTGGATGCAGGCTCTAGCCCAAATGCTCAGATTCGGATCTGCCCATGATTTAGAATGACCCTCCTCCTCCCTAGAATTGTCCTCAGCTTTTGTAAACTGTGGCAGCATCGTGAAGCTTGGGGCCCCCCGTGTGCGACATTTTGCAGCCCCGCTGGCCTGTGTGCGGCCTGCTCTCGCTTCCTCATTTTGGGGCTCCGCGGGCAGGTACAGAGGCCCAGGTGGGCCTGGCCCATGCCCTTCTCACCCCCTTCCCATCTCCAGGTGAGTGCTCCCCTGCTCAGAGGGAAATCATGGAGACTCTGCATCCAGAATCCCTCATTAGCTGCCAGGTCCAATTCAAGCAGGACGTCTTCGATTTCCCAGCACGCGACGTTTTCACGGCAGAGCCAGGATTTGACGCAACTCTGGGTGAGTTTGCAAGGGTCTCAGTGGGAAGACTGGCTCCTTTGGGTGTGTTCGGCTCACTGTCCCTCTGCATAGAGGGACGTTGTCTGTCGGGAGCTCCGGGGACTGATGCCACCCCTCTGGCCACTGGCCCCTTCCGGCCACCAGGAGGGGTTGGCAGGCCTGTGCTGGGTGGTGGCCGTTCCCCGCAGCCCCCACTCCATGCAGCAGGAAGGACACTTCTGAGTTGGAAAAGCTGGGTTTGAGGTCCAGAGCCAGCGGGTGTTGAGGCTCTGTGACCTGGGCAGGATGGTGCCTTGCCTGCCCGCATGTCAGGGCCGAGTGGTGCAAACAAGCCGGGGCTGGAAGGGTCCTGGGCCCGCATGGTGTGTCCGAGCATCACCATTCCATGGCCCGTGGAGCCGAAGGCTGGTGCCCTGGGGTTGGAGCGACTGCCTGGGCCCCCGGCATGTGGGCCAGGTGACGCGGAGTGTCACCAACACAACCTGAGGAGAGGAGTGCCCTCCTGGGGCACTTCAAGGGTTCGGTAGGATAGTTCCTGCGACCTGCTTAGCATAGTGCCCGGCACACACTCCTGTTACCGAGTCCTCGATGGTAGATGCCAATGTCATTATGGTAACGACTGTTGATGAGCGTTTGGCCCACTTTTCAGTTCCTTCCAAGAACATGCTGCCCACTCTTAATTAGGAGGAGTTAGCATCAGCATGATGCCTGGCCGTAAGCCCAGCCTGCCACGCCCCATGGCTCGGGTCAGCACCCGGGCCGCCGCCTAAGACGCAGGAGGTGTGTCCTCAGGACACGTCGTGTGTGGGGCCCAAGCGCACAGTTGGGCACGGAGCAGGCACCTGGGGGTCCCGTGCCCTATTTATTCGCGAATGTGGCCCCATGAGGGGTGCGACGTTATTCCCACTTTATTGAGGGAAACTAGCCGACTCACCGAGGGATGCTTGGCTGGCTTGGGCGTGGAAGGGACTCCAGCACAAGCACCCTGGTTCCGGACTGGGGGGCTCTCCAGGGCCCCGCTTGACAGTGTCCATTTAACTCATTTGTCTACCCAGGGCAGGCATGGAGGATCCAACAGGTATCAAAATCGTCCCAATCCATGCCTTTCCAGAACTTTCTGCTGTATCTGGGGCCATAGGCCGTACTGGGAGTCAGCCCCAACTGGCCTGTAGCCCAGCATTGGGTCAAGGTATCTGTTGATCGTTTACTCACCGTCCCTCTGAGCCAGGACGGCTGGGCCCTGAGATGTGGAGCTGGCCCACGCCTTCCCACCCCAGGAATGTCAGGGCGATGCGGATCTGGTGAACCAGAGCATTCTGAGAAAGGAGCGAGCAAGAGTGCTGGTCACAGAAAGCATGTCCAGGCTGGACCAGGGGTACCAAAGAGGGATGTCCCTGGAGGGTCCCAGAGGAGGTGATGCCTCAGTTGGGCTCTGAAGGATGAGAAGGAGTTGCCAGGAGAAAGTGGAGCATCAGGGCACGGGCGGGAGAGGGGACCGTGTGGAACATCCTCGTCTCCACAGGCCGGTACCTCTGCTCCGTCACAATGCACAGGCTGACAGACAAACAGCTGAAGCATCTCAGCATGAAGAAGACGGTGCTGCTGGTCACCGCCTCCATCCCGGGCATCCACATCCCAGGAGAGCACGTGGGCGCCGAGGTGCCCTTCAGCCCAGGGCTGTACACTGACCAGGCTGAAATCCTTTTGAGCAACCACTACACCAGCTCGGAGGTCAAGGTCTTTGGTGCCATGGAGATTCTCGAAAACCTGGAGGTGAGTGGCGTCCATGCACGAGCCGGGGGCCTTGGAGAGGACCAGGAGGCAGGGAGGCCCAGGTGGAACGTGGAGGCCTGGACCACCTCTCTTTAAAGTGAAAAATTTTTTTAAAAAATGTAAATAGGCCTTATCTTCTTCTTCCTTCCCCCAGCATTACCATTATCTATGAGCCTGTGTAATTGTATTAATTACTGTGACTTCTGCAAGTCTTCCCCAACCAGGAGTTAAGTATGCGAGGCCAGTACTTAGCATAGGGCTTCCCTAGCACGTAGTATGTGCTCAGTGAACATTTCATATGTTCAATGAAGGAAGTCAGTGCAGGAATGCACACTGACATGGGGCAGGAGGAAAAAGCCCTAATCCCTGACCTATCACTGACGCCTGCACAACTGGGGACAAGTCCCTGGCTCTGGGCCTCAGTTTCCCCATCTGCTGAATGCTGGGTGAATGGTGTCCTGGGTCCTGCTGCCCAGCAAGCTGGGAGAAGATCTGGGGTGATGTGGTGAAGGGGTTTTTGGCTCCACTGTTTGCTTCATCATCTCTTGTCTTGCTGCAGTGAATATGACTGAACATTCTTGGAGTGAGACAGGGATGAATTCATTGCTGGTGACAGAGGGTCTGCCAGGCCCTGGGGTTGAGCTGCTGGCGATCGGCCATAAACAGAGCTCCAGGCTGTTCCCTTGGAAAGTTGGCGTTTGATGATAGTTCATGTTAGTTTAGCATTTTTTTAAAGAGCACTTGATTAGAATTCAATGATATTGATCTGTCCTTTCTTAAAAACACTCCAAGTATAGACACTGTGCTCCTTCCCTGACTTTGCAGATTTCACGTTGTCACAAGTACCCAGGCATCATCACCTGCCTAGGAAGAGGGCTTGGGGAGGGGTCTCCACCCCTGGCCTTCGGGCCCAGGAGGGAAGCCCAGCATGTCAGGCAGAAGTGGGGGGGTGCTCCTCTCCAGCCCTAATGTCTCTCCCAGGTGAAATCAGGGTCCCCAGCTGTGCTGGCCTTTGAGAAGGAGAAGTCTTTGGGGCTCCCCAGCTTCATCACCTACACAGTTGGCGTCTCGGATCCTGCGGCCGGCAGCCAGGGGCCTCTGTCCACCGCCCTGACCTTCTCCAGCCCCATGACTAACCAAGCCATCACCATTCCGGTCACCGTGGCCTTTGTGATGGATCGCCGAGGGCCTGGTCCTCGTGAGTCACGGGATGGGGCACAGCTGGGATGGGCCTGGGTGAGGAGGGCTGGACTGGGTGGTCTTGGCTGTTTGTGGGAACCTGGGGGCGTCGAGAACTGGACGACTCAGAAACGCAGAACATCCTGCAAAGCGAATATCACTCATTCGAGCAGCCACACGTGCTTTGCTTCTCCGTCTGTTCTCAGCATGGCAGCCAGAGGGATCCTGTTGAAATGTGACTAGATCATGCCCCTCCTCTGCTCCAACACTGTGCTATAGCTCCCACCTCCCGAGGGAGATAAAGCCCAAGTCTCTCCAATGTCTTGAAAGGCCCAGCATAATCTGCCTTCCCGACCCATTTATGCTTGTCTCCCCCTTGAGCACCTTGCTCCAGCCACGCTGGCCTCCTTCCTGTTTTGGGGACATATGCAGCCCCCAGCTAAGTCCTTGGCATTCACTGTTCCCTCTGCCTGGGATGCCTGTCCCCCAGATAGCCCCTTGGCCCCCACCCCCACCTCCATCAAACCAACCTTCCCTCAAACATTCTCTGCTCATATAGTAGGAAACTTTGAACCTTACTTCCACTCAAACCCGTTTCCTTCTTCCATAGCACTATTCTCAACTGTCAGCCTATAGAATAATTAATACAATTAACTATGATTGCCACTGGTCTTCCCCAGCTGGAAGCTAAAGTGCTGTATGTGGGGACAGTGCTTAGAACAGGGCCTACCTAACATACAGTAGGTGCTCAGTAATAGATGATTCACTGATTCTGAAGTCATTATTAGCACCTGCTGTGTACCAGCCCCTGTGCTGGACAGAGGCCTGAGAAGCCCGCCACCTCAGATAGGGCGTGGGTTATAAACACAGTAAGAAAGGAATGGTTGTAAAGATGGGCCTTAAGAAGTGGGAGGCACACGGAGGGGGTAATTTTACCTCTGCCAGCTTGAGGGTGCAGTTCAAAGGGGCTGCTTACACCAGGTCTGGAAGGAGGAGTGGCCAGGGGGAGGGCGAGGCGGTCAGAAGGACCCTGCAGGATGAAGGGCTGGGCCATGAGGAGCCTTGAATGGCAGGCCGAGGACTCAGGCTTTTTCTTGAGAGCAGGGAAGTGGTCTGGTCAGGTCTGGCTGAGAGCCCACTGAAGGGGTGGGACCAATGTTAAGGGCACTTGAAGAGGCCACCACCTCCTTCCTGCCAAGCAGGGATGTGTTCTGACACAGGACAGCCCAGTGGCGGGGAGGGAGGGGTGCAGGATGAGGTGGAGGGAGAGGGAAGAGGAAGCCACAGTCTGGGCCACCCCGAGGCGGGGCCCCAGAGGAGGGGTGGCTTTGGAGCAGCTGATACTGGGCTCCCTTGGTGCTTGGGCCTCAGTTCGGAGGGCGGCAGTATCCCTGTCCAGTGCCTTTGCCCAACCCTGACTTCCACTGTCATGAGCAACGCTGCTCACGGCTTGACGTTTTCAACACTGCCTTGCCTTTCCGGGCAACTTGGCTGCCTCCTGGGCAGCCCCCACCCTCCGACTCCCCCGGACAGGTCTGCTCTTCCTTGGAATGGGTACCGAAACTGAGCCCACTTCCAAGGAAGCGGGGCCTCAGGGGCCTCGGGTGGAACTGGGTCGGTTCAAGTGGCCCAGGATGGAATAGGACGGAGCACTGGGGTGGCCGCCCCACAGGACCAGACGCCGCCCCAGGCCTCGGGCAGGCCACCTCACCCTCTGGCCACCCACACAGACATAAGGCAACTCCGTGCGTTGCTTTGGTGACTTGTCTTTCCATCGATCGCAGACGGAGCCACCCTCTTCCAGCACTTCCTGGACTCCTACCAAGTCATGTTCTTCACACTTTTTGCCCTGCTGGCTGGGACCGCTGTCATGATCATAGGTGAGGTGGGCCGCATTGTGTGCCCTGGGTTGCCCCCCACCCCAGCTCTAACCAGCCATGTGGTCTTGCAGCCTACCACACAGTCTGCGCGCCCCGGGAGCTCACCGCACCTCCGGCCCTCTCCCCACGAGCCAGCCCTCGCCACAGCCCCCACTGTGAGTAGCCCCCTGGCGGATGCAGCCAGGCAGGGCTGGGGCTAAGAGGGAGGGGTCCTGAGGGAGGAAGTGGGCCCTGAACCCCAAGTCTCAGAAGCTCTGGCCCTGGGCAAGAGTGGCAGCTGAGGTGTGAGGCCCAGAAGGCAGACTGGGGAGCTGGTGAGGGAAAACGGTATGCCAGTCCTGGGCGAGGAGAGCTTTCCCAGGCAGGTCGGTGCAGGGCGGCGGGCTGGCGGCGGGGAGTTGTCTCTGACGGTGTGCTCTCTGGGACTGGCTCCCCCCACCGGGGCTGCCACCGAGGGCTCTAAGCTGGGTTGGGCTGGCTGACTCAGAGGTGAGGGTTCCGGACAGGCCTGATGACGGATCTCCCAGAGGGAGAGAAATCACGAGGGCCATTCCTCTTCATAGTCCGGTTGTCTCTGGTGACCCTGAGGTCCTGGTGACCCTGTACGGCTCCAGGGGACACTTCTCCCTGTGAGAAGTGCAGTGCCTGACCATGAGGGCGCATGGCAACCCTTATGTCTTCTGTGTTCCATTGGAGGGTTCTCTCCCCTGAACAGGTGTCTACTGAGCCTAAGGGGGCATGGCCAGGCTTCAAAGGATCTGAATTTTTTGGAAGAGAATGGTTTTGTGTATAGATGCATTTTCCTGGGTGACAAGATCCCGCATGCATCCTGGACCCCTAGAACCATAGCCTTCCACAAACGTTCCCCAGCCACCCTGGCAGTGGGCATTCACCTTTTCTAACCCCGTCTCCCAATACACCCCTCCCTCTGTGTGTCGGAGCCACTGCGGAGTTTTGGCATTAGCTCTTGAACACTCCAGACTCTTCCGCTCACACTGGAGTCTTTGTTCATGCAGCTTTCCCTGCCCAAGGAGCTGCTCCTGCCCAGATGGACAGGCTCTCCTCCCTGCATGCCCTGTGGACTCATGGCCGCTTCCGTGTGGTCCTGAGACCCACTCCTTGCTCTCTCCCACAGGTCTGCTGTGGGGGGTCAGGGCTTACGCTCCAGGCCTCTCTGCATGTCCGGCCGTCACCTGTTCCTTGGGTGACATCACACCGCCGGCCCAGGGCTGCCTGGGGGCGTGGTCAGGGGGGTGGTGGCTGACACTTCTTCTATCAGGGGCTGTTCTGACGTGGGCACTGAGGAATCCCTGAGGAAGGCCGAGGTCTCCCATCTACTCTGTCACTCACTTCTTCTCTCTCCGCTCCAGATTTCGCTGCCTCGTCGCCGACGCCTTTCACCGCACTGCCTCCCAGCCGTAGAGCTAGCCCGCACTCGGGGCTCTGGAGCCCCGCATACACCTCCCACTAGCCAGTGGGCCAGCCCTGCGCCCCCGCGGTGGGGACTGCGCCAGGCCCCCCTCGCTGCCTGCTCCGTTCTGGAGCTCAGGCTGTGCCCTCTAGCTGCTGCTTACACGCAGGAGTTCCAGTTGGCTTTGGTTTGGTTTCGTTCTTAGCCTTTGCGAAGATGCTGGCTCATTCCTTCGTGCCTGGTTGTCTGGGGTTTCTGGACAACATGTAGTCATGCTTTTCTTTCCCTCCAGTCTCTAGAACCACTCTCTTCTCAAGACTTTGAGCAGGCAGAAGCTCCATTTCCTAGGAGGGGATGTGACTGCGGTGGCCTCAGGGAAAGGACTTTTTAATCACTTCATTTTTGTGGGGTGTTCCCCTCACGTGAAAACTTTACCCCTAGTCTGGCTCCTGCTAGGAGATGAGGGGAGGGAACAGACATGAGTGTCAGGTGCGGGCCTCGTGACTGCACAGAAGCCTCAGGAACGCAGCGGTGGGGACCCCGTGCTGGCTCAGCCTCCCCGGGGGGAACGCTCACTCACCACGGGAGCCGGGAGCCGGGCCGCCTTCTGCCCCTCTGTGGGCCACTGTGACTAAGCGTGGGAACGTCTCCTGGACGTGGCCACAGCACCATTGGGATGTCCTGTGGGGTCTGGTTCCTTCTCCCTCTCCTGGCCTCTCTATGGAATTGTAGTTAGGAAAATGTCCTTGAGCCGGAGACCGGGATCTGTTCTTCTGTGTGTTCTCCTGGAGAAGCCACTATGTTCCGCCCAAGCGCAAAGACCCAGTGTTAATCTGTTCCTCCTTTTGCATCTCAGCAGACCTGAGCCTCTGGCCCGCCCGGTGCGGGCACCAGTCTCCCCATTGGCATCGCTCCCCAGCAGGCCACGGAGCCCGACCTGGCCAGTGAGGGGGGTGGGCCTGCCCTCCAGGAAGGGGCTGGGAAGGAGAAGACAATGAGGAAAAGGCCCTCCTCCTTCCCAGACCCTTGTTCATTCAGCATCGGAGGCCCCCAGAACGCGGCCCCTCTGCCCTAGGCCGAGAGCCGTGCCACTCTCAGGATGAACTGGGACGCCCCGCAGGGCCAGGTATGCGTGGCCACTGTGTGTGGGGAGTCGTCCGCTTGACTCTGAGCCACAAGTGTGAATCCACTTCAGGCCTCTAGGGCTGGACCATGTGATTTATTTTTTGTAAAGCTGGAGACCGGAAGAATTGTGCCTTGCATATTACTTGAGCTCAAACTGACAACTTGGATGTAAATAGGCGCGTTTCTACTTGGTTTATTTAATAAAGCTCTAATTTCGTAAGAGGGGCGTGCTCATTGCCAGAATTGCAGGCGTCCTGCCTGGGGAGCAAGTCTGTTCTGCTGCCCCTCTGTGCCACACTCCCCTTCTCTGACTGGCCACCAAGGCCTCCCTCCGGTGCTGTCTTCCCATGGCTGCCAGCCCTGAGGACATGGCAGCCCCGCCCACATGTCACCGGGTATCACCACGGCCCCCTTTCTCTCTCTCTCTCTCCCCCCCCCCCCCTCCCTTGGGAGCTGTTCCTTCCTCCTGCCCTTCCTGCCCTCCTGCCCCACTGGCTTCCACCCCCACTCTCCTCAGAAGCTGACCTCCCTGGGATCACCATCCCCCTGCTTACTGGTCCCCAGCCCCTCCCCCTCTGTCCCGGTGCTTGCTCCCCTCAGGGGTGGTCGCCTGCTGGCCCTCCATGACCCCCTAGGGCCTAGCCTGCTTTCACAGAGTACTCAGGGGCTCACCCCGAGGGCCCGAGGTAGGTACTGCTGTCCTGTGTCATGGGTGCAGGAGTGGAGCAGATGCCTAGAGAGGCCAGTTGGCCGCCCGAGGTGGCAGGCTGCCCGGAGGTGCCTCTGGTCGAGGCCACCTGTTCCCCACATCACCCGCCTTCTTCCTTAGGACCCAGACCACTGACTCAGAGCAGGGTGGAGAGTGGCCACAATACACTCTAGGTCTCCCAGCCCTTTTGGCGGCTGGAAGCCAATAATGCAACTACATTGTGGGGACAGAACGTGAGCAACGGTGTCCCGTGCAGCTCGTGAAACGGACCAACGGGAGGTGGTGCCCCCCACACCACGTTGTCCCTCCCCTGGCTCGGCAGGCCGGGGAGGGGCCACCAGAATGGCTAGGCCGTTGTCTGTGGAGTCTGCACGGACCCAGGACAGCCTCCCTTGACAGGAGAGAACGACACTCCCAGGAGCTTCAAGGTCAAGTGGGTCTTCTGCGACGGCCAAACCTCATCCCGATGGATTCAATGGCAGCGCCCGAAAGCAAGCCTGGCGGCCAAGCTCTGTGCCCCCTCCTGCAAGCCATACCCCACATCTAGCCACCGCCTGGCCAGAGCTCTGCCCCCGCCACCATGGACGCACTTGTGCCTGCACGACTGAGGTCCCCTCCTCGGGCCCTCCTCGCCCATACCCTACATCTGGCCAGTCTCTAAGTTCCCATGAACCTGCCCTTTTCTCGGCCCAGGGCCCCCCCAGCCCCAGCATGAGGTCCCAGTCTCCCCACCAGCCTCCCCGCCCCAGCATCTCCTCATCTCAGTTGCCCCATCCCCCCCCCCCGGCTGCTCACAGATCTGACCGTCACCCCCTCGTGCTTACACGCTGCGACAGCCCGGCCTGCCCCTGGAGTGGCTGCCACCCCGTGGTATACACCCAGCAAACTGCAGTTTCCCAGACAGGCTCTGCCCCTTCACCTCTGCTCTTTCTCCTCAGGTAGAAGCTGCCCCCCAGGGCCTGGGGGGCTGAGGTGGGTCCTACACCCACCTTCTCCTGCCTGTGTGTTCTTGCTCCGGTCTTCCCCACTCTGGGCTTCAGTTTTCTCCTCTGCGAAGTGGGCACAGTAGTGCCTTCAGAGTTACTGTAAAAAATCAGCAAGATGCCCTGTGTGAGGCTTTCTTCTTGGGCAGTAGGTTGGTGAAGAGGGATGCCCTCTCTCCCGGAGGAAATGGCTGATCTGACTCTCAGAAGGGGTGGCGGGGGTGGGGGGAGGCCCCAGCTCCTTGTGGACGGCTCTGTGGGGCAGATCTGGCACTGAGGGCCCCAGGCAATGGGGGTGACTGGGCACAGAAGTGCCTGGAGGACAAGGGCCGACTTTAGGATGTGTAAGCCCATGTCATGGCCTGCCCACATTGAGAAGCTAAGTGCAGAAGCTAAAAAGCTAAAAGCACCATCGGTGCCCTGGGCCTGGTTTCCCTGATTGGGAAATGAGGAGGACACTGTCCTCGCGAGGCTCCTACAAGGACAAGATGAGCTGATAGACGGGAGGTGCAGTGTTCACATGTGCTCCTGTCACTGTTGTTGGGGAAAGCTGGAACGGGGCCCATAAGGAGTCCAGATGGAGACAGAGCGTTCGTTTGCAGAACGGTGAGATAGACAGCAGGTGAGCAGGAGAGAGGGTGCTCTTCCCCGTCCCCTGGACCTCTGCTGTCATTCCCTATCCTGTGTTGCCATTGTCTGACCCCACTATCCCTTCCCAGCTGGGACCCCCTTGAGGCTGGGTCTACCATGGTCCCGGGACCTGCCACACAGGAAAACCTAGAAAGCATTCAACCAGTGTCCTCTATGTTCAGCACAGGGCCTGCCTGGCATGCAGCACTCAATTTAAGCGTCAGTATTGCTTTCAGGGAAGCCCCCTGACCAACACAAGATGGCTGCCAAGATCCAGGCGTCACATCACAACCAGACATGACAGCATCCACAAGAAGAGGAGAAGCAGAGACAATCTCTCCCTGTCTCCTTCTAAGGACCAAAGGCATCTTCCCTGGAAGGCTCCTTGGCAGACAGCTCCCTCCCTATCTGTAGCTGGGGTTGGCTTTCATGGCTAGTGAGGACAATGGGATGATCACATCCATGTATGGTGATCCTGCAGGGTTGACTGGATGTCAGCATGTCAACCCCCTCAACTTCTTTCAGATCAAAATAGAAAGGTCTCTGCATCTGCTCAGTTGGTTTCCTCTCGGATGATGGTATTTTCTTCCCTTTACCCATCTTTGATACTCTAGAGAGACGGCCAGACATGCAGGTGGGAGGCCTGGGCCTTCTTACGCTCAGAGGTGACCACACAAAGACAGCAAACACGTGCTGCCAGAAGCAGGCCGACCTTGCCAGAAGTGAGTGCATTGACAAAACCAGAGGACACCCAGCCCGCTCAGCTTTCTGCTCCCAAACCATGCAACTTTCACTCTCTAAAGGGTGCCAAAAAATGCTTTTAGCACCATTTAGCGCTAAAAATACAGTATTGCATATAGATTTTTTTTTCCTCCAGAATTCCTAAGTTTGGACAAAAATTAACTCTCTGTATCTGCTTCTCCGTGTGTGTGTGTGTGTGTGTGTGTGTATCTTGGGTGCTCTGGAAATGTTACATCTCAAGGTCTGATGGACTGGCTAGGAGAAAGCCCAGGACCTGGGGCATCCAGGATGAATGGCAAAGGTCTAAGTCTAGGCTAGGGGGGAGTGTGTGAAGCTTAGAGATCAGGTGGCCAGGAGCATAGGCCTGCCTGCTGGGGCTAGAGAGCAATCATTTTACCTTTCTGGACCACAGCAGTTCCCTATTGTATAAAGTGGCCATCCTAACATTTGCCTGCCCAGCAGCCTGAGTGGCTACCAGCGGGAAGCAGGTGCATTATCATCCCAGGCTTCTCCCTCTTTGCAAACACACCCCTTAGAGGCTGAGTATATTCCCTCCCCATGGAAGTTGGCCATGGTCCTGTGACTTGACATGGTAGAATGTGGTGGAAGTGACAGCATGTCAGTTCAGAGCCTGGGCTTAAAGAGGCCTCGAGTGTCCACTCACCCCTCTTTTTTTTTTTTTTTTAAGATTTTATTTATTTATTTGAGAGAGAGAGAATGAGAGACAGAGAGCATGAGAGGGAAGAGGGTCAGAAGGAGAAGCAGACTCCCTGCCGAGCAGGGACCCCGATGCGGGACTTGATCCAGGGACTCCAGGATCATGACCTGAGCCGAAGGCAGTCGCTTAACCAACTGAGCCACCCAGGCGCCCCCACCCACCCTTCTTGTGCTTCTGCCTTTGACATAATAATAAGGAAGTTCAGGTAACTGCTGGTCCAGGGAGGGGGAAAGACACCTAAAAGGGACCTGAAATGAATCTGCCCATCCTGGATCCACTGACCTGCAGACCCATGACTCAATAAATGACAGTTGTGAAAAACCACTGACCTTGGGGATAGTTTGTTAGGCAGCATTATTGTGGCAGTAGGTGATTGATACAACGCGTGATACGGATTCCCCTCTGGCTGAACCACTGAAGGCTAGCTTCCTGCCACTTGTCAGAGAGTCTGACTGACATAGCTGGACCCTGGGTGGATCCATCCTGCTGGGACAGGGTTTTCTGGGTGGCCCTGGCAAATGGCTGGAAGGGCATGGGGCCAAGCACTCAGGCGGGAGCCTCCAAGCTCGAAAGGCACAGAAACGCCATCTGGTGCAGGGTCTTCCTCTCCCTGAGCTCCAATTTCCTCCATCCTGGGTGGGGACGCCATCAGCCACACATTCAAGGCTGCCAGGGATTGATGGAAACATGGCTCTGAAGGATTCCTTGCTCCATTGGTGTGGGTCCTACACCCAAAGGAAAACCGTGGAGGTGGGACTACACAGGGAAGGATATGTTTGGGATGGTTTGTTGAATGAATACAAGAATGAGCCCCATGAAGGACTAAGTGACTTGTGGGTTTTCCTCCACGGGCTCTAGTTTTCTGGAACACCCTGAGCGTCAGGCCAGTGGGGAGAGGAGCCAGGCCAGGAGAGGAAGGTGGCAGCTGAAATTCTTCAGTCCCTTTCACCCCAAAGGCCTGAGGTGGCGGGGGAGACAGCCTCCCCCGCCACCTCCATGCCACCTAGACCAGGGCCAAGCAAAGACAGCCTGGCAGGTAGCTAACTCCTCCCACAGCCAGCCATGGCTCCCTATGGCCAGTGTGGCTGTTAGAAGAGGTCTGGGGCCACCCAAGCAAGCAAAGCTGCTGACATTTATTGCAACCCTCCCCCAACCAAGCACATGCCAAGCCCTTTCCCATCTCTAGTTCACTTGGTCGTCACCTCAGCTCTTCACAGATGGGGAAACTGAGGCACGCAAGGTTAAGCCACTCTTCTGGTGTCCCTCAACTGGCAAGCAGCAGAACCAGAAATCAGGTCCACGCAGACTGGCATCAAGGTTTGCTGTTCCACTTCGGTTCTTGCCTCTGCCCATCTGGAGCGGGCGGTGTGGGGACCCCCACCCCTGGAGGGGGAGGCTGTGTGGGCAGGGAGCCAGGGCCTGCACCCCCTCCCTTCTGA